ATCGGACTGTTCACTCCTCAGTACAAACCGTCCAAACATGGAAACTGAACTGCACAACCGGCCCATTTTGAATTCATTGTTTTTATGATGTCACAAAAAACAAGACATTTGTTTCAAATTGTGCCACCACTGTCCAGAGTTACTACATGCTGGAGACCCTCCAAATGGGAGGGGTGTAACTCAGAGTGCTTCACTATTGGTTGTTGAGGAGTCCGAGTTCTGTGACGCTGGGTTCTCTGTTCCTGCCGGCTGGTTGTAGAACAAAATTATGTTGCTAAAAATGTGTTTTATTAATTTTGCCTGCATTAAAAACATGGACAGATCACAAGGTCTGTTTCATTTGTTAAACAATCTAAATACAGGTTAGTTAAATGGGCTTTGATCCTGCAAAGTGCAGCCTAATGTAACTCTTTCCTCTTAAGATTTCATGTTAAGTCGAGTGTAAATGCGTTTGTGTGAAAACTGAAGTGAACTCTTCTACCAGTGCTTAGAACCTGAAGATTCATTCTGATAAACATAAACACTGCAAAAATAGAATCTTGTCAAGTGAAATGATCTTAAATCTAGTCGATATATCCAATATTTCTCCTGTTGAGATTGTTGTAAGCTTATTATAAGGTTAATTAACTTATTTCCAAACATTTTTTACTTGTTTAAGTGATTTTATTAAGTAAATTTTTCTCACTATATTGGCAGATATTTTTGCTTATTTTAAGAAATGAGCTTCAAACAAGCTAAATAATCTGCCGCTATAGTGAAATCACTTAAAACAGATAAATAAAGTTTAGAAATAAGCTAGATAATCTTATAATAAATGCACAACCGTCTCAAAATAAGAAATATTAGATATATCGACTAGAATTAAGATCATTTCACTTGTCAAGATTCTATTTTTTGCAGTGAGCAACAAGTTCATTATTTATAGATGGAGGTTTGCGCTGTGTGACTCAGTGATGCCTGTATTTGCTTCTATTTTCATGCATTCAATAGAAACAAAGAACCGTTTTCACATTATTTAATTAATCACTTCTAGCCTAAATTAGTCAATCATAGCCTCAGTCAGCAAACGAGCTCCTTAGACCATAACCATTTTTTGGCTTCATCGTGTCAGGCATCCTCTCACCCAGACATGTTTTTAATTTGGTCTGTTGCAAAAGCACATCAAACTGAAAAGACTGGGTGTTTACATCAGGAAACATACTGCAGTTTTAAGCCTGATGATGAGTGTGTGAATCCCCCCTGGTATTCGGGGGTCCCGTGTTGTCCGTCTGCTAACTCTCTCCATAGCGGCGCTGATTCTTCAATGTCAGTAAATGTTTGTTTTATCAGCTGTTCTTCTGTAGAGTCTCTGTTCTAGTGCGGTTCTGCGCTCTTCCTCACATTAACTGAGATCTTCCTCGTCTCCTCTTCTGTAGAGTCTCTGTTCTAGTGCGGTTCTGCGCTCTTCCTCACAGTAACTGAGATCTTCCTCGTCTCCTCTCCTGTAGAGTCTCTGTTCTAGTGCGGTTCTGCGCTCTTCCTCACATTAACTGAGATCTTCCTCGTCTCCTCTCCTGTAGAGTCTCTGTTCTAGTGTGGTTCTGCGCTCTTCCTCACAGTAACTGAGATCTTCCTCGTCTCCTCTTCTGTCTTCAGTGTGAGAAATGAGGAACAGTCACTCTTCACTCCAAACTCTTGGGAAACTGGGCGAGTTTTCAGATTTACAGATCTGCTGCAGCTCATTGTAAAGCTTTTCAGAGGAATCCGGGCAGAGTTACAGTTTCTAGGCTATGAAGGACCGACTGGGTGAACCAGTCTGCTACAGCGCCACCCTGAGGCAGAGCAGTGCTGCAGCTCTAGTTAGTTAAGAACACCAGAGACAGAAGCTGATTGTGGGGGAAGCAGATAAACAATCAGCTCCACTGAATCTGGATTTGAGCGTCTGTTTTTCTCTAATGTACAGCATAACATCATAATAAGTTTGATTTTAAGACATTTAGGGGGTCCAAGACATTAATTAGGGGGCCTGGACCCCCCAGGACCCTCTGTATTTTGCACCTTGTTGATGACGTTTAATATTTGCTGTGTATGAAATTAAATATATTGGTGACACTTTATTTTGAGTGGTCATTTTTAGATGAAACAAACTCTCAACAGACTCTCAGTAACACGTCAAAAACATATGAGGGTTAGGATTAGGGCCAGGATGAGGATTAGGGCCAGGGTGATGGTTAGGGCTAGGGTGAGGATTAGGGCCAGGGTGATGGTTAGGGCTAGGGTGAGGATTAGGGCCAGGATGAGAATTAGGATTAGGTTTTGGGTTGAGGTTAAGGATTAGCGTTAGGATTAGGGCCAGGGTCAGTATGAGGATTAGGTTTTGGGTTGAGGTTAAGGATTAGCGTTAGGATTAGGCCTAGGGTGAGGGTTGGGATTAGGTTTTGGGTTGAGATTAAGGTTAGTGCTAGGATTAGGCCCAGGGTGAGGGTTGGGATTAGGTTTTGGGTTGAAGTTAAGGTTAGTGTTAGGATTAGGCCCAGGGCGAGGGTTAGGTGTTGGGTAAGGTTGGGTAAGGTTAGGTTTTGCGTAATAGAAGTAAAAAATAACTACTCCTACTTCACTGATATGTTGTCGATGTATTACTGATCATCGAGTTTATTAATCATCTACAAAAGACCAACCCAAATAAAGGGTTACCAATATATTTAGGCCAAGATTTCACAGCACAGAACGTTTGTACAGCTCGAGCTGGAGTGAAGACGTTAGTCTTAGACCAATAAGAAAGCATTAAACAGAACACAAACCCATTTGAGGAGCTTCCTATCTGCATTCGGTCCGGCCTGCAGGAACACGTACAGAAATCTCAGATCATCGTCTCTGACAGGATCAGCTAACAGCTAAACTGTCTGAACGACAGTGACGTTTGCGTGAAGTGCAGCAGCTTCTCTGAGTCACTCACTGAAAAACTAAACCTAAAACCTGTCCAAACTCTCCAAACTTCGAATATTCTACTTTCTGAGCGTCACTGTCCTTATATGGCCATGCATGTGTGTAATATCCTGTCCACTACCCTGAGTGGGCGGATGAGGTCATCACCATGGATACCGGGGCTTTATGGGCTCTTGTGTTTTGAGTGTAAGGCAGATGCCGTATAGATCGCTGTGCTCTTTCCTGAGGGTGAGTTAGTTTGGATGAGCTGGCAGGTGAGAGCGGGAATCCCCCTTAAATCCGCTTCATTAAGTCTCAGCATTACTGAGGAAATCTCCCCTCTGAGCTGCTTAGTTAGGGTTAACCGCAGGCCTGATCAATGAGCACATGACCACAGACTCCTGTGATTTTTTAAAGCCTTTGATTGACCTTGTGCACTTATTGATCTGCTGATATTTGGATCAGTATTATTTCTGTTGGTTCTGAGCCTCACTCTCTGACTGAGGAGGTTATAGGAGTGACCTCGGCTGTGTCAGCGCGCATCCCTTTCAAATCTGGAGCTATTATCACTGTCTTGCTTTGTTATTTATATGTATTTATATGTATAGCATAACTATGTAAAGAACTACATCTACATCTGAGTTTTGTTACATTTAAGTCGCCCATTTGCCCTTTGTTTACATGTCAAAAAGCGCTAAATGCTCAAATATGGTGCGTTAATGAACATCACACTTTTGTGTCATATATTTTTGTACATTTTGTGTCTTATTTTGTGAAGTTTGTGTTAATTATTTGTGTTAATTATTCAAATCATAATAAAATATCTCCTCTCGTACTAAAGTGGTCTGAATTGAAAGTTTCCAATCTGCACTTTCCTCACAGTTTTCAATGAGAAACAGCTAAAACTGCTGCATGCCTTAGTTATCTTTACTAATCTCTCTTCCAGCTATGATGTATATGTATATTGACTTGCTATGGAAGCTAATAGAGCTCTCAAAGTAATTTTGGACCATTTCTGTTGGTCTGTTTGTTATGCATTTAGCATTTAACACAATGCAAAGGGTAACTGGAGTTTTCAAATTATGCATAAAAGAGAAAAGCAAAAAACGCTCAACTATATCTATTTGAGTTAGTTTAACTAAAAATAAATAAAATACAGTATAAAATATAAAATATGCAATAACTTTTGCACAGGATACATTTTGTGTTTTAATATGTAAAATTGAGTAAATAAAGAGTATTTGTGTATTAAAATGTGCAGAAGTGTTTGTACATTTACACTTATTTACACTCATCAACAACAACATGGAATTTGATCAGTGGTGCACAAACTTTTGGATAATGCTGTTTATATATTGTGTGATAATATAAAATAGTGATGTTGCCCCATAAGACAACAATCCAAACAAAACAGTCCAATCTAAATCAGCTCTGTCAGGATTAAAGAACAGCAGCACCCAGGAAGCTCATTAACTTTACGAGTGCTGATGTGTTCACTGTATTAATGCTAATTGATTCACTTTATTAATGCTAATAAATTCACTGTATTAATGCTAATAAATTCACTTTATTAATGCTAACCTATTAACTTTATTAATGCTAACATTCACTGTATTAATGCTAATAAATTCACTTTATTGATGCTAACCTATTAACTTTATTATGTTAATGTATTCACTGTATTAATGTTAATAAAGCTAATAAATTCACTGCATTAATGCTAATAAATTCGCTTTATTAATGCTAACTTATTAACTTTAATAATGCTAACTTGTTAGCTTTATTAATGCTAATATATTCAGTGTATTAATGCTAATACATTCATTATAGAAATGCTAACTAATTAGCTTTATTAATGCTAATATATTCAGTGTATTAATGCTAATACATTCATTATAGTAATGCTAACTTATTAGCTTTACTAATGCTAATATATTCAGTGTATTAATGCTAATACATTCATTATAGTAATGCTAACTTATTAACTTTATTAATGCTAACTTATTAGCTTTATTAATGCTAGCTCTATTAACTTTATTAATGGTGACATATTTACTTTATTGATCGCAGCTGTATGTGTGTGTTGATCATGTTAGGATGCACGCCATTCAGGTGGACTCAGTGCAGCGCTGGATGGAAGATCTGCGTCACATGACGGAGGTGGAGTGTATGTGTGTTCTGCAGTCGAAGCCCATCGGAGTGGACGAGGACTCTCCGGGCGAGCTCATCGTGTCCGGCGTGGGCGCCACCGGCGATCACGTGACCCGCGACAATCTGCAGACGCTCCTGAAGAGGGCGCTGGTGGTCAGCACTGAGCTGGGGAAGATGTTCCAGAGGCTGGAGCGAGGCCGCTGGCAGCGCGTCCACGGCACGGCCGTCAGGGCCAACTGCCACGTCCGCTCACTAGTGCACGAGTATAGCGCTGCCCGGGGCACGCCCGCACACATGCAGAAGGTCAGGAGCTCTTCAACAGCAAAGCCATATTCCATATCCCACATCTTCCACATTTTAAATTTAATGTACCAAAAACATAATTAATTTCTACACAAACACATTCCAGCCTGTCTTTATCCCTTAAACAAACAGGCTGATAGATACTGCGCCTTTAAGACTGGTGTATGTAAATGAGCTCTGTACTGATTGGGTGCTCCATTTTGCATCTCATTCAAAACACTTCAGCATGAAGGGGTGGGGCTAAATTGCTGCAGGTTGAATAGGCAGACACACTATGTGGCCAAAAGTATGTGGACACCTGACCGTCACACCTATATTAGATTGTTGGACATCCCATTCCAAAACGATGTGCATCGACATTAATATTTACTTTCCCCCATTGCGGCCATAACACAATAGTAGCATCATTTCACAATGACAGCACTTACAGTTGACTGGGGCAGATGTAGCGGGGCAGACATTTCCCAAACTGAAACTGCCAGTGTTTGTGAAGACTGCATGGCTATGTGTTTGATTTTATACACCTTCATTAAACCTACATTGTGTATTATTGTAAAACAGAAGTGTCTAGGAGCAACAGCAGCTCAGCTACGAATTAGTAGACCATGCGAACTCACAGACCGGGACCGTCGAGTACTGAAGCACAAAGAAATCGCCCAACCTCTGTTGCATAATTCACTACAGAGCTCTAAACTGCCTCTGGAAGCAACATCAGCACAAGAACTGTCCACTAGGAGCTTCATGAAATGGCTGAGCAGCTGCACGCAGGCCTAAGATCACTATGCGCAATGCCAAGCGTCGGCTGGAGTGGTGTAAAGCGCCGCCACTGGACTCTGGAGCAGTGGAACCGTGTTCTCTGGAGTGATGAATCAGCTTCTCTATCTGTCAGTCTGATGATGAATCTGGGTTTGGTGGAGGTCAGGAGAACGTTACCTACCGGAATGCAGAGCCAACAGTACAGTTTGGTGGAGGAGGGATGATGGGCGGGGCTGTTTTTCAGGGTTTGGGCTCTCAGTTCCAGTGAAGGGTGATGTTGATGCTGCAGCACAAAGACATTTTACACAGTTATCTGCTTCCAGCTTTGTGTCAGCAGTTTGGGGAAGAGCCTTTCCTGTTCCAGCAGGACTGAGCCCCTGAGCACAAAGCAGCTCCATAAAGACATGGAGTGACCAGTTTGGTGTGGAGGAACTCCAGTGGCCTGCCCAGAGTGCTGACCACAACCCCACTCAACACCTTTGGGATGAACTGGAACAGAGCGAGAGAGAAAGAGTGTGTGTCAAAGGGCTGGCGCCCTCTAGAGGGCAGGACTCCATAAACACTACATACAGGAGATTCTCAGATAATGGCTGGTTTGTTTATGAATTCCAAAGCATTGTGTTTTTCTGTGCACTGTAATTTTCTGCACCTATCGAAGCTTGATTTGATTACAGTAAATTGCTGTGGCCAGGGTCCGCGTAATTGAGGCTTCTGGTGGGAATCCGACTGCTCATGTCAGAACCTGAAGACCTCGTACACGACACCAAGAGAATTACATCATTTTACGTCATAATATTTATGGTTCCTGTAAAATCAATCTCGCCTCAGCTCGGCGTAACACCCCCCTCCCTCCCCCGAACTGTCTGCGGCTGCAGCGTTTATAGCATGTAGAGCTTTTGGAAATATGACTCGCTACCTGATCGTCATTATTCTGTGCCAAGTCACTCAACTTTTTAAGGGAATCAGCATTCAGAGCTCCAGCTATCTGTGAGTAAAATTAAAATGAGAGCCGGTTCTAATTTTAGACAAGCTGTTTGAAGACAAAGATCTCATTGCAGGGGTTTCTGGGAGGAGGCCAGGTTCTCCTGTCAGATCTCATCATCACCCAGCAGGACAAACACAAAAATGACTCGTTCAATTAATTAGACACAATGATAGTGTTTCATCCTCCCAGGAGGTGGATGTAATGAAGTGGCTCTGTGAAGTAAATGTTGGCTAATGTGGTGTAAAAGCTGGCTAAGCTGTGATTCTCCTCTGTGCTGCAGTATGAAACAGCCCTGCTGGAGAAGTGCATGGAGCTCACTGTTATTACTGAGAGGTAAGACACCAAACAACACACACAACCGCACACCTGCTCTGAGCATTAAAGGGCTTTTCTAAACCAGTTAACCTTTTTTGGAAAAAAGGTTTGAAACTGGTATAAAGTTATTTACAATGTGTGAAATACAGGGGGTCGTGGAGGGTCTGGGACCCCTGAATTAACCTCTTGGACCCCCTGAATGTCTCAGAATCTAAATTCTGGAGGTCCCTGAAAATAAACTTATGACGTTATTCTGTCCGATTGGGAAAAACAGATGCTCAAATCCAGATTCAGTGGAGCTCATTGTTTATCTGCTTCGCCCACAATCAGCTTCTGTCTCTGGTGTTCTTAGCTAACTAGAGCTGCAGCACTGCTCTGCCTCAGGGTGGCGCTGTAGCAGACTGGTTCACCCAGTTGGTCCTTCATAGCCTAGAAACCGTAACTGAAAACTGTAACGTTAGTAAAGTTAGTGCTGACCGAATGGATTCTCCTCTCTGCAAACCACCTACATCTCTGACTGAGCAGCAGTTCTGAACATTTCTATCCCTCTTCATCTTAACTGTTCAGCTTTCAGACAGTAATGGGGTTTTCACTACTTATCACTGCTAGTCACCATGGAAATGAGTTCGGTGTAACCAATTAACTGTATGTATCGTAAATATTGAAATGGGCATAGTGTAACCATGGAAAAGGGGGTAGAGTTACGTACGGTATGTAACCTTGTCATGGAAATGGGAGTATTGTAACCTTGGAAACAAGTGAGTGTAACCATGTTCATAAAAGTAGCATAACCATGGAAGTAAGTGCATTGTAAACATTGATATGGGAGTAGTGTAATCATGGAAACAGATGTAGCATAACAATGTAAATCAATATAGTGTGGCAATCATGGCAATTGATGTGGGGTAACCATGGAAATGAGTGTAGTGTAACCATGTAAATGGATGTAGTGCAGGGTGTCAAACTCAACCATTTAAAAGGGCCATATTAAAAAAGCAAATCTGTGGAACAGCTGCGTTTTATTTCATTTTTACTTAACATTTTGCCGTGACCTGAACGGGTCATTGTTCATTCAAAATATGCCAAAACTGCAACAGCAAAATAGGCACTGAATACTTATTCAAAAATAATTCAAAATAAATTAAATTGTTTTAGGTAGTTTTTTAAAACTGCCTGTTTGCTTGAACTGGACACCAGGCATCTTTTCTGTTTGTGTAACCGCCAGCCCACAGATTGTTCTTGGGGATCGGAACGCACACTACATTGCACTGCATGCTGGGGACTGTAGTGCATCTCAGGGTAAAATGAGCTAATAAGAATAGAAAATTAAAATGATTTTGCTGGCCGAATAGTCCCGGGTCATGGGCCTGACTTGGCCTGCGGACCTTGTGTTTGACACATGGGGTGTGGTGTAACCATGGAAATGGGTGTAGTGTAATCATGGCAGTTGTTGTAACAATGGAAATAGTTGTAGCATAAACAGAAATGGATGTAGTGTAACCATGGAAATGTATGTAGCGTTTTCATGGAAATGGGATTATCATAACCATGGAAACAAGAGAGTGTAACAATGTAAATACACCGATCAGGCTTAACATTATGACCACCTCCTTGTTTCTACACTCATTGTCCATTTTATCAGCTCCACTTACTATATAGGTGCACTTTGTAGTTCTACAGTTACAGACTGTAGTCCATCTGTTTCTCTGATACTTTGTTAGCCCCCTTTTACCCTGTTCTTCAGTGGTCAGGACACCCATGGACCCTCACAGAGCAGGTACTATTTGGGTGGTGGGTCATTCTCAGCACTGCAGTAACACTGACGTGGTGGTGGTGTGTTAGTGTGTGTTGTGCTGGTCTGAGTGGATCAGACACAGCAGTGTTGCTGGAGTTTTTAAACACCTCACTGTCACTGCTCGACTGAGAATAGTCCACCAACCAAAAACATCCAGCCAACAGCGTCCTGTGGGCAGCGTCCTGTGACCACTGATGAAGGACTAGAGAATGACCAACACAAACTGTGCAGCAGCAGATGAGCTATTGTCTCTGACTTTACATCTACAAGGTGGACTGACAAGGTAGGGTGTCAAATAGAGTGGACAGTGAGTGGACCCAGCGCAACACACACTAACCACACCACCAGCACTGCAGTGCTGAGAATGCACCTATAAAGTAAGTGGAGCTGATTAAATGGACAATGAGCGTAGAAACAAGGAGGTGGTCAGAACGTTATGCCTGATCGGTGTAAATGTAACATAACCATTTAAATAAGTGGAGTGTAACCATGAAAACAGGTGTAGCATAACAATGTAAATCAATGTAGTGTAATCATGGTAATTGGTGAGGAGTAACTATGGAAACGGGTGTTGTGTAACCATGGCAGTTGCTGCAGAGTAACTATGGAAATAGATGTAGCATATACAGACGCGGTAATGCCACCATGGAAACGGGTGTAGCTCAACCATGGAAATACGTGTGTAGCATAACCACGGAAACGGGCAAAGTGTACCCATAGAAGATGGGTATAGTGTAACCATAGAAATAGGTGTAGCGTAACTATGGAAATGAGAGTGTTGTAGCTATGTAAATATCTGTACAGTATCCATGAAAATGAGTGTAGCGTAACTATGGCAACAGGTGTGAAAAAGCCACCAACACTAGGATTAAATGAGGCAGAGCATTTCCCCCATCGCTATGGAAACCATACTCATATGTATATAGTAGTAATTGTCTTTCATTAGAAGGATGTGTGTTCAGCTGTTGTGTCCGGTCTCTGTCCTGCAGGTGCCTTCACACTGATGATGAGTATTTCCTGAAGTCAATGAAGGAGGCCATTCACGAAATCCTCACCGACGTCAGTGACTCCTTCAGCCAAATGATTGACATGGCCCTAGCCAATGAAATACAAGTAAGGACACAGCACATACCAGTGCGAATAGAGACCTTAACGACCCCGGCTCTGAGCCAGAGGGGCTGGACAGTGAGCTGATGGCCATTAGACCTGACGGGCTTTCACTGAGTGTCAGGGTGGGTTATTTTTAAGGCAATTTGTCAGTTACTGTACTCGCTGTGTTTAGATGTATGTTATAGATGCTGCAGCAAACATTTAATCATCAGTCCACATCAGTGACTAAGCTCCACTAACTGGCCCTCTACTGACTGACCCATTCACTGACCGACCTTTCAGATGGTCTATGAGCAGTCAACAAATCACAGTTGTAGTGCATTATTTTATATTTATGTCAGTGTGGCAGAAACCCACCCTGACAGACTCACCAGAAAGATTTGTGATTGGTCTCTGTTTGTGTCTTTAGGGCCAGAAATTAGAGCATCGCTTTAAGAGAAATGAAACTGTAAACTCTCTTTAGGTTGGTGTTGTTTGGTTTTGCTAGATCAGTGAGCAGCCCAGACTTTAGTGCATCCCAACAGAGACGATATACTAACCTTTGTGAAGTAACGTGGTAAATGAGCCCTAATTAGGCTGCACTAAAACTAAAAAGTGTTGTTCAAGCCAGCATTGCTTTCATCAGATGCAGGCAGTATTTATATGCCCAACTTCTGACTTTTGTTCCGACAGATCCTGATCAAGCAGGTTGAAGAATCAGACGACGTGTTCGTCATTGAAAACGCCATCAGCAACCTGCTGTCTCTCACTCAGGATGGACCACAGCTGTGCAGCATCATTGCCAAGGTCAGCACAGTTACGGCATCATACCTTCACTGATGAACACTGCAAATAACTGAAGCTGAGAGGATGAGCAGGAAAATGACCTCTTTAATAACCACGTCCATTTACTGTAAATCTAAATCATATCTGCACATGAGTTTATATGCAAATGTGCATAAACCTACATGCAGTTAGAGAAACTGTGTTGTTTATTTATTACTTGTAATTATTTTAAATTTGATTGCATTAAATACAACCGCATTTCTAATAAAGTTGGGATGCTGTGTAAATGTCAAAATGTAAAAGAAAACAAAATGCAATGATGTGCAAATCATTTAAACCCTACATTTTATTAAAAATAGTACAAAGACAACATTTCAGATGTTAAACTGAGAAATTTTATTGCTTTTTGAAAAATATTTGCCCATTTTGAATTTGATGCCAACATGTTCCAAAAAAGTTGGACAGGGGGAACAAAAGGCTGGTAAAATTGTGTAATGCTAAAAAAAACACCTGGTGGTTGATTGACAACAGGTCAGTAATATGATTGGGTATAAAGAGCATCTCAGAGAGTCGGAGTCTTTCAGAAGTAAAGATGAGGAGGGGTTCACCACTCTGTGAAAGACAAAGAACTTCTGCTTTTCATCATCTACAGTACAGAATATCATTAAAAGATTCAGAGAATCTGGAGAAATCTCTGTATGTGAGGGACAAGGCCAAAAACCAGTATTTGCTGGCCGTGATCTTTGGGCCCTCAGGCAGCACTGCATTAAAAACAGACATGATTCTGTAGTGAAAATCACTGCATGGGCTCAGAAACACTTCTGAAAACCACTGTCTGTGAAAACAGTTCATCACTGCATCCACAAATGCAAGTTACAGTTCTAAGACCCAAAGAAGAAACTGTACATAAACAGGATCTAGAAATGCTGCCACTTTCTCTGGGCCTGAGCTATATATAAAATATATATATAGTATTTGATTATTTAGTCTAAATGATTATTAGACAGAGCGATCAGTTGTGGATGAAACTCTGAGCTGTAAAAGTCCCACAAACTTAAACTGATCACCAGCAAGTTGACGAGAAATGTTTCCTAATTCTGCTTAACAATCACTATAGTGAGCATGTAATGCTAATGCTAGGTAGTCAGTGAAACTCCAGTGAAGAGTTTTCTGTCTTTATGATGATCTAAATAATATTTCTGGGGATGTTATGCTAAAGGGTGGGTCATTGGCTTGGTGTCTGGGAGTGGACTTCTTGCCCCAAAGTCACTTCAAAACAGAAAAAAAACATTTTTTCACTCTAAATCAAATGTATTGCTTTCTCAACAACCCTCCCCCAATTATCATATATCATTTTTCTTTTACAAATTAGTATAAATATAGATGACGACTGACCCCAGAGGAATAAATTAGACCACAGCTATTCAATAAATGTAGAGATTAGTCTAGTCTAATCTTTTGGTCAGGAGAGAAAACAGAGGGGAGTCACAGTCTATGTCTGTGGTCAGAGCTTAGTGTACAGTGACCATAAACAGTAAGAAATAAAATGCTTTTTTGTGTTATTGTGTTATTGTGTGGATCTCAGGAAGGAGCTGTGGTGGCTCTGCTGAAGATCTGCAGGCAGGACTGCTTCAGCAGCCTTTACGCTCATGCGCTGAGGACCGTGGCCTCCATCTGCTGTGTGGAGGAAGGCATCACCCAACTGGAAAAGGTACAGCCTCACCACATAGTACAACAGCTCTCTTTAAAGAGCCCATAGCCTAAAAGTTTCATGTATTTTATTTTCCTTCGAAGGTCAACTTATAATAATTTGGGGTTTTACATATTAGAAACAGTCATAATTCATTTCTACGTGTCCATTTTCCAGCCTCTCTTCATTGCTTAGAATTACCTATAAGACCCATAAGTCTGGCTTGAAACACTCTAAATAAGGAACTCAGGCCATTGTAGGGTCGTTTACATTTCCAAGATTTCGGTGACTATTGGCTTCTGGTGTTTGTTAGCATAGAGTGTGTTTACATGCACGTAATAATCTGATCATTGTTAGATTTCAGCAGTTATCTGATTAAGTTGTCGTGAAACACACACTCTGATTTCTTAGATCAGATTAAGGTCTATACATCTGATTATGAAGTCTGATAAAGAGGCTGATCTGAGCTCAGTAATGGGGTTTCTCAGTGCTGTAAACTCTCACTCTGATTTTTTTCATTTCTCTCAGTCTGAGCATGTGCGAAAACAGAGCTCCGTCCCGGAAACAGTGAACAGCGTTTAACTCAGCATTTAACTCAGCGTTTAACTCAGCATTTAACTCAGCGTTTAACTCAGCATTTAACTCAGCGTTTAACACGGCGTTTAACACAGCGTTTAACACAGCGTTTAACACAGCGTTTAACACAGCCTTTAACTCAGCGTTTAACACATCGTTTAACACAGCGTTTAACACATCGTTTAACTCAGCGTTTAACACAGCGTTTAACTCAGCGTTTAACACATCGTTTAACACAGCGTTTAACACAGCGTTTAACACATCGTTTAACACAGCGTTTAACTCAGCGTTTAACACAGCGTTTAACTCAGCGTTTAACTCAGCGTTTAACACAGCGTTTAACTCAGCGTTTAACACAGCGTTTAACACAGCGTTTAACACAGCGTTTAACACATCGTTTAACACAGCGTTTAACTCAGCGTTTAACACAGCGTTTAACTCAGCGTTTAACTCAGCGTTTAACACAGCGTTTAACACAGCGTTTAACACAGCGTTTAACTCAGCGTTTAACACAGCGTTTAACACAGCGTTTAACACAGCGTTTAACTCAGCGTTTAACACAGCGTTTAACACATCGTTTAACTCAGCGTTTAACACAGCGTTTAACACATCGTTTAACACAGCGTTTAACTCAGCGTTTAACTCAGCGTTTAACTCAGCGTTTAACACAGCGTTTAACACAGCGTTTAACTCAGCGTTTAACACAGCGTTTAACTCAGCGTTTAACACAGCGTTTAACACAGCGTTTAACTCAGCGTTTAACACAGCCTTTAACACAGCGTTTAACACAGCGTTTAACACAGCGTTTAACTCAGCGTTTAACTCAGCGTTTAACACAGCGTCTAACACAGCGTCTAACTCAGCGTCTAACACAGCCTTTAACACAGCGTTTAACTCAGCGTTTAACACAGCGTTTAACACAGCGTTTAACTCAGCGTTTAACACAGCGTTTAACACAGCGTTTAACACAGCGTTTAACTCAGCGTTTAACACAGCGTTTAACTCAGCGTTTAACACAGCGTTTAACACAGCGTTTAACTCAGCCTTTAACACAGCGTTTAACACAGCGTTTAACACAGCGTTTAACTCAGCGTTTAACTCAGCGTTTAACTCAGCGTCTAACACACCGTCTAACACAGCGTCTAACACAGCGTCTAACTCAGCGTCTAACACAGCGTCTAACACAGCGTCTAACACAGCCTTTAACACAGCGTTTAACTCAGCGTCTAACACATCGTCTAACACAGCGTCTAACACAGCGTCTAACTCAGCGTCTAACACAGCGTCTAACACAGCGTCTAACACAGCGTCTAACTCAGCGTCTAACACAGCGTCTAACACAGCCTTTAACACAGCGTTTAACTCAGCGTTTAACTCAGCGTTTAACACAGCGTTTAACACAGCGTTTAACACAGCTTTAACACAGCGTTTAACACAGCGTTTAACACAGCGTTTAACACAGCCTTTAACACAGCGTTTAACACAGCGTTTAACTCAGCGTTTAACACAGCGTTTAACTCAGCGTTTAACTCAGCGTTTAACACAGCGTCTAACACAGCGTCTAACTCAGCGTCTAACACAGCCTTTAACACAGCGTTTAACACAGCGTTTAACACAGCGTCTAACACAGCGTTTAACTCAGCGTTTAACACAGCGTTTAACTCAGCGTTTAACACAGCGTTTAACTCAGCGTTTAACACAGCGTTTAACACAGCGTCTAACACAGCGTTTAACTCAGCGTCTAACACAGCGTTTAACTCAGCGTTTAACACAGCGTTTAACTCAGCGTTTAACTCAGCGTTTAACTCAGCGTTTAACACAGCGTTTAACTCAGCGTTTAACACAGCGTTTAACACAGCCTTTAACACAGCGTTTAACTCAGCGTTTAACACAGCGTTTAACTCAGCGTTTAACACAGCGTTTAACTCAGCGTTTAACACAGCGTCTTACTCAGCGTCTAACTCAGCGTCTAACACAGCGTTTAACTCAGCGTTTAACTCAGCGTTTAACACACCGTCTAACACAGCGTCTAACTCAGCGTTTAACACAGCGTTTAACACAGCCTTTAACACAGCCTTTAACACAGCGTTTAACTCAGCCTTTAACACAGCCTTTAACACAGCGTTTAACACAGCGTTTAACACAGCCTTTAACACAGCGTTTAACTCAGCGTTTAACACAGCGTTTAACACAGCGTTTAACACAGCCTTTAACACAGCGTTTAACTCAGCCTTTAACACAGCCTTTAACACAGCGTCTAACACAGTGTCTAACACAGTGTCTAACACAGCGTTTAACACAGCCTTTAACACAGCATCTAACACAGCGTCTAACACAGCCTTTAACACAGCGTCTAACTCAGCGTCTAACACAGCCTTTAACACAGCGTTTAACTCAGCGTTTAACACAGCGTCTTACTCAGCGTCTAACACAGCCTTTAACACAGCATTTAACTCAGCGTTTAACACAGCGTCTTACTCAGCGTTTAACACAGCGTTTAACTCAGCGTTTAACACAGCGTTTAACTCAGCGTTTAACACAGCGTCTACTCAGCGTTTAACACAGCGTTTAACTCAGCGTTTAACTCAGCGTTTAACTCAGCGTTTAACACAGCGTTTAACACACCGTCTAACACAGCGTCTAACTCAGCGTTTAACACACCGTCTAACACAGCGTCTAACACAGCGTTTAACTCAGCGTTTAACACAGCGTTTAACACAGCGTTTTACACAGCCTTTAACACAGCCTTTAACACAGCGTTTAACTCAGCGTTTAACACAGCCTTTAACACAGCGTTTAACTCAGCCTTTAACACAGTGTCTAACACAGCGTTTAACTCAGCGTTTAACACAGCGTTTAACTCAGCGTTTAACTCAGCGTTTAACTCAGCGTTTAACACAGCGTTTAACTCAGCGTTTAACACAGCGTTTAACACAGCCTTTAACACAGCGTTTAACTCAGCGTTTAACACAGCGTTTAACTCAGCGTTTAACACAGCGTTTAACTCAGCGTTTAACACAGCGTCTTACTCAGCGTCTAACTCAGCGTCTAACACAGCGTTTAACTCAGCGTTTAACTCAGCGTTTAACACACCGTCTAACACAGCGTCTAACTCAGCGTTTAACACAGCGTTTAACACAGCCTTTAACACAGCCTTTAACACAGCGTTTAACTCAGCCTTTAACACAGCCTTTAACACAGCGTTTAACACAGCGTTTAACACAGCCTTTAACACAGCGTTTAACTCAGCGTTTAACACAGCGTTTAACACAGCGTTTAACACAGCCTTTAACACAGCGTTTAACTCAGCCTTTAACACAGCCTTTAACACAGCGTCTAACACAGTGTCTAACACAGTGTCTAACACAGCGTTTAACACAGCCTTTAACACAGCATCTAACACAGCGTCTAACACAGCCTTTAACACAGCGTCTAACTCAGCGTCTAACACAGCCTTTAACACAGCGTTTAACTCAGCGTTTAACACAGCGTCTTACTCAGCGTCTAACACAGCCTTTAACACAGCATTTAACTCAGCGTTTAACACAGCGTCTTACTCAGCGTTTAACACAGCGTTTAACTCAGCGTTTAACACAGCGTTTAACTCAGCGTTTAACACAGCGTCTTACTCAGCGTTTAACACAGCGTTTAACTCAGCGTTTAACTCAGCGTTTAACTCAGCGTTTAACACAGCGTTTAACACACCGTCTAACACAGCGTCTAACTCAGCGTTTAACACACCGTCTAACACAGCGTCTAACACAGCGTCTAACTCAGCGTTTAACACAGCGTTTAACACAGCGTTTTACACAGCCTTTAACACAGCCTTTAACACAGCGTTTAACTCAGCGTTTAACACAGCCTTTAACACAGCGTTTAACTCAGCCTTTAACACAGTGTCTAACACAGCGTTTAACACAGCGTTTAACACAGCGTTTAACACAGCGTCTAACACAGCGTCTAACACAGCCTTTAACACAGCGTTTAACTCAGCGTTTAACACAGCGTCTAACACAGCGTTTAACACAGCCTTTAACACAGCGTTTAACTCAGCGTTTAACACAGCGTTTAACTCAGCGTTTAACTCAGCGTCTAACACAGCGTCTAACTCAGCGTCTAACACAGCGTTTAACACAGCCTTTAACACAGCGTTTAACTCAGCGTTTAACACAGCGTCTTACTCAGCGTCTAACACAGCGTTTAACTCAGCGTTTAACACAGCGTCTTACTCAGCGTTTAACACAGCGTTTAACTCAGCGTTTAACTCAGCGTCTAACACAGCGTCTAACACAGCGTCTAACTCAGCGTCTAACTCAGCGTCTAACACAGCGTCTAACACAGCGTCTAACTCAGCGTCTAACACAGCGTCTAACTCAGCGTCTAACTCAGCGTCTAACACAGCGTCTAACACAGCGTCTAACACAGCGTCTAACTCAGCGTCTAACTCAGCGTCTAACACAGCGTCTAACACAGCGTCTAACTCAGCGTCTAACACAGCGTTTAACTCAGCGTTTAACACAGCGTCTTACTCAGCGTTTAACACAGCGTTTAACTCAGCGTTTAACTCAGCGTCTAACACAGCGTCTAACACAGCGTCTAACTCAGCGTCTAACTCAGCGTCTAACACAGCGTCTAACACAGCGTCTAACTCAGCGTCTAACACAGCGTCTAACTCAGCGTCTAACTCAGCGTCTAACACAGCGTCTAACACAGCGTCTAACTCAGCGTCTAACTCAGCGTCTAACACAGCGTCTAACTCAGCGTCTAACTCAGCGTCTAACACAGCGTCTAACTCAGCGTCTAACACAGCGTCTAACTCAGCGTCTAACTCAGCGTCTAACTCAGCGTCTAACACAGCGTCTAACTCAGCGTCTAACTCAGCGTCTAACTCAGCGTCTAACTCAGCGTTTAACACAGCGTCTAACACAGCGTCTAACACAGCGTCTAACTCAGCGTCTAACTCAGCGTCTAACTCAGCGTTTAACTCAGCGTCTAACTCAGCGTCTAACTCAGCGTTTAACTCAGCGTTTAACACAGCGTCTAACACAGCGTCTAACACAGCGTCTAACTCAGCGTCTAACTCAGCGTCTAACTCAGCGTTTAACTCAGCGTCTAACTCAGCGTTTAACTCAGCGTTTAACTCAGCGTCTAACTCAGCGTCTAACACAGCGTCTAACTCAGCGTTTAACTCAGCGTTTAACACAGCGTCTAACACAGCGTCTAACTCAGCGTCTAACTCAGCGTCTAACACAGCGTCTAACTCAGCGTTTAACTCAGCGTCTAACACAGCGTCTAACACAGCGTCTAACACAGCGTCTAACTCAGCGTCTAACTCAGCGTTTAACTCAGCGTCTAACTCAGCGTTTAACTCAGCGTTTAACTCAGCGTTTAACACAGCGTCTAACACAGCGTCTAACACAGCGTCTAACTCAGCGTCTAACTCAGCGTTTAACTCAGCGTCTAACTCAGCGTTTAACTCAGCGTTTAACTCAGCGTCTAACTCAGCGTTTAACACAGCGTCTAACACAGCGTCTAACACAGCGTCTAACTCAGCGTCTAACACAGCGTTTAACTCAGCGTCTAACACAGCGTCTAACTCAGCGTCTAACTCAGCGTCTAACTCAGCGTTTAACTCAGCGTCTAACTCAGCGTTTAACTCAGCGTTTAACTCAGCGTTTAACTCAGCGTCTAACTCAGCGTTTAACTCAGCGTTTAACTCAGCACCCGCAAGACCAACACAGCACTTTTGGAGCGACGCTGAAACCGAATACACTCTCGACTGAATGAAGAATTTAAATATTCTTCATCTTCTCAGCCGGTCATGACATTTTATGAGTTTTATGTTACATTTACATCACTGTGAGTTTATTGGCTGGTTGTTCTGCTGTAAAGCAGAAATCTGATTAAGCATTCAGATCAGACAATGGGGTTTTCGCAGCTGATTACATGAGTGCATGTACACGTTGAACAGATTACTGACTAAATCTGATTTTCTGCAGATTAGTGTGAGTAAACACATTCCATGTTAGCTTTGTAGCTGCCGTTCTAGATATGGGGAAAGTGGAACATTGTGTAAATCAGATTTTTTGCTGAACTGTTCCTTTAATGATGCGTTCTGTCCTGTAGTGTGTTCTATGGTGGTGTCTTTCCACCCCTAATGAGGTAGAGGGAGTTGATAAAACAGATGGGTTACAGTTTTTAATTGTACATCTACATAGTGGAGATATATGGTGGGTGTTTCTGATAAAATGGCCAATAAGTGTTGGTGGATGTAATATACAGGAAGCTGTGAACAAACAATTCAAACAGACACTGAGGAAAAAGAGCAAGTGAAAGAAATGTTTGCAGTAGAAGAGCCCGAGAGCCGGAGCCGGCGGGCGGTAACCAAATAAAAAAGAAAAACAGAGGAAAAGTCAGTGAAAGTTGAGAGTGACGCTGGAGCCCCGCGAGAATCTGCCAGTTAAACTGTCACTGAACACTGAGCCTGAAAAACTCACACCTGCTGCACACCGGAACAACAACACACCTGCCGAGCTTCACACTCAGAACCCATCAGAACCCAATAACAGACTTTTATTAAACCCCTTCAGCTTCTACACTGAGAACAATGAACGGACTGAAACACGAACGTCTCTCCCACATGTGAAATATACTGGGCTGAACTATGTTGGATTAAACATATAGACGCTATTTCGTCTTTCACTTTACTTACTGTTGGCAACAACCATATTAGCGTAATATATTTAATTCAGGCGGAATAATGTACACATTAAACTCTAGTAAATTTAATGCAGTGTTTTTTTCAGTGCCGACATTTTAAATCTGAAAAATAGTGCTTTGAATTTACTTCATTTGAATGATATTCAAACTTCAAAATATTGATTAATTTAATAATAAACTGTACACATATTATTCAGTTATTAATCCTAAGGCTTATTATTCAGTAGCTAATATAAAATATCCAGTATATACCACAAATTTCTGAGCAACTACTATAAACTTTTCAGTATCTACTATGAATTATTCAGTATCTACTATGAGAGTGAGGAACTGAAGTGTGGAGCTACACAGACAGTTTAAGTGTTGAAGCATCTGCACATCGTCTATAAATCGCTACCCTAATAAGGTGTACTGTGATTTAAATTAAGCCATGAGCAGAACCCTGGTGCCTTAGTTCTGCAGGAGCTGCACTGTTATTAATAAAGGTTCTGTGCAGGAGCATTTTTCATTCATCAAGGTACAAACAGTGTAAATGTTCCCTCAAAGCTCCATCAGTGGTTTTAAGGTCTGACTGTGAACCTTAAATAAGTTTCTCCAGGTGAAAAGTTCGTATTTGTACCTTTTCATAACCGAATGTTTTAAACAGAACAGTAAGATAAAAGCCTGGAGACGAGACGGGGTGTGTGGAGTCAGTACAGCTTAGAACATATCATTTCAGTGGATTATGGTTCAGTTATGTTCCCTGACTGAAGGTACTGAGATGGAGCCTTGAGGGTTCCACCCCAGTGACAAGAAGGCAACTGACCCAGAGACAGTTTAGTACCTTTATTTCTGAGAGTGTGTGTGGGGGAATCTTCAAAAGCTGGTGTAACAGCGCCCCCACGTGGCCAGAAGATACAAATTGCAGCAATAAAGCTGAACATCAGCATCCACAGGTTTTATCCATTCATCCTGTTCCACTTTGCTGTCGCTCCCACCTCTCACTGTGGAGCTTCAGCATTTCGTTTTAGAGAAGAACAGAGCCGTGTAAACTCCAGTTCCTACACAGACTCTTATTCACCAGCTTCCTCGTCCATTTTTCAGGCACCAGAATATAAAAGCTGCACCATTTAAGGCGGAACAGAAAATTCAAATAAGAGGCCAGTTTTATTCTTGTAGTTCTTTTGCTGGATGTTCTAAGACGTTCCACTGCAGTTCTATGAGTTACTCAGTACTTAAGTAGCTCCTTTTGTCTGTTATGTGCAGGTGGACGGTGTCCTGTGTCTCGCTGATATCCTGACGGACGAGGCGTGTGCAGAAGCAGCTCGAGCTGAAGCAGCGGCGGTCGTGGCTCAGATCACTTCTCCTCACCACACGTCCACTCAGCACCTGGCCAGCTTTCTGGAGAGCATGCAGGACATCGTCACTGCCCTCATCAGTGAGCATCTGACCAAGTGGCAAAACCTCTGGGGGGGGCAATCGCACTGGTGCCCCCTAAAATCTTTACTGGGCCCTTTATATACAGCACTGTGCAAAAGGCAGAGACCACCTGGCATTTATTAACTTTCCACTCAAAATGGCCATTAAGTACAAATTATTCATTTTTCAGCATCAAGCCAAAACTATATTTAACTAAATATAATCTACTCTCAGCTGTGAGAGTCACTGAGTCAGTGAGTCACTCTGTACCTTTATTCCAGCTTCCATTCTCTTCAGGAGACTCACTTTCAGCTCCTCAAAGAATCTGCAGACACACCTCCAAAGTTCAGTCTTAGAAGCTGGTTGATGATTTTCTGAAGTAATCAAACACATTCAGTGGTGTTGAGGTCTGGACTCTGGGGTGGTCAGTCCATTGTCCAGCTTCTTTGTTTGATGTGTCCGTCTCCTTTTCTCAGTGAGGTTCTTCTTGATCAGCTACACATCCTTTCAGACCCACAGCGCTGAGTCGTCTTCTCACAGTGGAAGGATGGACAGAAACACCTGTGGATGTTTTCAGATCTGAAGCAGCTTGATTTTCTCCTCTCTCTCAGAGATGAAAGCTTTAAGTGCTGTTTATCTGATGGGGGCAGTTTTGGGCTCTAACAGGTCTTCCAGGTGGTTGTTATTTTCTCTGGAGCTTTTAATCAGTTTTTGATCACCAGTTTTGGAAACTTCTGTTTTTTTTACTTTGACTTTCTCGTTCCTTACGCAATTGGATTTTTATATCTAATCTCATAAATATCACCTGAAAAAATTAATAACTTGTACTTAATGGCCGTTTGAGACGTAAAAAAGTGAGTAAACCAGCAAATTACATCATCATTTATTATTAACTGAACATAAGTTTCATTTAGGCAGGGTTTAGGATCCTGTTTATGCCACAGAGCTGATCTCGTAACAATTTGGTTTGGTTACGATTTTTCAGGAAACGATTGAGTGCATGAATCTCAAATTTCACTGCAATTTAATTATATTCAGTTATTTTCTTATAAGTCTAAGTTATGACCTTTAGTAACTATTTACATAGTAATATAATACAGACAAAAAAATAATATTTTTTGCAATTGAATATAGCCTGTAAATTTCATACTTACTGGTAATATGAATAAATGAATGGCTAAATGACATGTCAGCCTGTATTTTGTCGACAGTGATGTCTGCATTAATATTCTTAGATTACTGTACTGTCCTCTGTTAACCCACCTGCTCTTAGCAGTGGGTTGGCCCAGTCTACATTAGGGGCGGGGCTATGAGCTTAAAGGGGTGGGGAAGAGATTCAGGCTAACGCCTGATTCACACGTGCTACCTTTGCGTGGCTTGAGCGATGCAGCAGCATAAGCGCTAAGCTTGAACGTGCTGGCCTTTCATACATACAGCGAGGAAGTTATACAGACTTTTCTTTTTCCCAGACGGCGAAATGGTCACATCCGCCACTCGCAATATAAATATCAGTTATAAAAGTGCACGATATGTTTGTTTATCCTCGACAGCATTCTGTCTTATGATTAGGCAAAAGTTTCAAACCAGGAAATCTGATTGCAGCATGGAATGTTTAACTAGTATTTTGTCATGAATCAGATTAAATTTAAAAATGAGTATTTTTAAGTTTTTATATGGTTTTCTGTTCAATTTTCATTGATTTTCATGGCTTATTTTAGTGTATTTTCCTGTGTGATGCCCATGGAAAAAAACAGAATCAGGCCTCAGGGGGAAAAATGGAGGGTATGAGGCCAGTTTGTGGAGTCTAATCAGCCTCAGGCCTCAGACTTCATCCTGTACTAGAGTCGGGAAGACTTCTTTTATCGGACTTTTATGTTTGCGGACTAGAACAAGTGAACCAAAGTTTTTCCCCTTTAAGTTTTCACTTATTTTCCTTTTTGCAGTTTTTCTTTTTCTTTTTTTCGTGTGAACACTAATAAATATGAACATTTTGTTCGAACTTACCTCGATGTACTGAGCGGTCCTTACGCAGTGAACCCAGGTTCCACCAAGCACTCAACCACACGTACAACCGTTCCACGTACCTGTGATCCATGTACGACTCTGTGTGTGTTCCCACAGAGCTGTGTGAGAGCGCCTCGTGTGGAGAAGTGTTCCTCTTAGCTTCCGCTGCCCTGGCTAACATCACCTTCTTCGACAGCATGGCGTGTGAGATCCTGCTGCAGCTCAACGCTGTTCACATTCTCCTCCAGGCCTGCAGGGACCGCCAGCGAGTCGACACGCCGTACTCGAAAGACCAGGTTAGAGCTCTGAATAATTTTTCTACTGGCCTCATCATTTATAAAGTCAGCTAGTCGTCAGTGCCACATTAAAAAAGTTCCAGACATTTATAAGATCATTTATAAGAGTGTAACACCCAAACCGTGTAGTTTGCACCTTAGCAGAGCTATTGTTGTATGTATCTATGCACACACACACACACACACACACACACACACACACTTATATACATTTTTATAAATATTTATATTGTACAGTATTGTATGTCATGCTATACATTTTCTTGATCTATTTTATAATTATTATTTACCTTAGTTATGTGTATTCTATGATTGCTGTCATCTCCATTTTTGTCGTTTTTCAGTTTTTGCCATAATTTGAAAATGTCTGTTTCCCTTTATATTGTATGTAAATTTCATGATTAACGGACAAAAACAAACGGCCCAAAATGGCTTTGAAAAAAGTCTGGTTCCATTGACTTACATTAAAAGTAAAGTAGGTTTTTTCCTTCTCCTGTAAAGTTACCATTTTGGAGATACGAGGTTTTGTTCCGACAGCAGTGCTGTGTTTGTCTTATATGTGCTGCTGGAACCCGTTTCCCTTTGAGGATTAATGAAGTGTTTTCTTTTGTTCACTGCAGAAGAGTTTTAGTCGTATTATTTTAGTTTCAGTCTCAGAGACTCAGAAGTGCACAGTGTGTGTAAACTGCACAGTAAAATCTCCACAGCTCTCAGAATCCCACACTGACTATTTAAACTCTCTGATTGGTCTGTCTGATGGGAAACAAACTACAGTTCATCAAGCTAGATTCTCATATGAGCAGCTGCATCTCTTCTCACCAGGGAGCCTTTATCCTTGTGCGCTCCTGGACCGGTACTCACGTGTTTCCTTTTGGGAGTTGATGTTAGAAATCATAATCCACACTTGTGGTTTGCACTGTTAACCCCTTAATATCTCAGGTTTATTACATACTAAGGCTTATTATTCAGTAACTACAGGGACTTCAGTGCAAACTGGCTGAGCTGTTCTTAGATTATAGAAGTGTGTAATAAAGCTTTGGGCTCTGGACATTTAAGAGGTTAACTTGTTGTCTTTGTTCCCCTCAGGTTGTGACAATTTTGGCAAATCTGTCTGTTTTGGAGCAGTCCGCCTCCGAGGTCCTGCAGGAGAACGGTACGTAAAATATACGATGGAAAGCGCTGATAAAAGCTACAGTCAGACAGTGCAGTTTGTCTAACAGGAAGCTTTAAAAATGTGTCAAATGTGTCTAGAATGATGAACAGACAGATAAATAAATAAATAAATAAATAAATAAATAAATAATCCAGATTAATGCTGTAAAAAACACTAATACCCAGAATGTCTAATTACTGTATGTTATTTATCACTTAATAGCTTCTTGTTGTCCCCGTATTCTTAAAATATCATAAATACTTTTAGTGTCCAGCTTGGTGTCTTCACTATTTAAGCAATGTCTACTGTAAAAATATAAGTAATATTATTAATGTTACAAGCGTTTAAAAACCTCTGTAGGAATTGAGCGGCTGCTGCTGTTGTTGGGTGAGAAGCCTTCATCCTCCAATCCATCAGAGGGCGCTGCATGTGAGCGGGTTCAGCAGAAGGCTGCCGTCACGCTGGCTCGTCTCAGCAGAGACCCGGATGTCGCACAGGCTGCCATTGAGCTTCAAGGTACCAGCAGAGTCAGTTCAGAGGATTCTGCTCATTTTTCTGATAATACCACCGTCCCAAAACATCACTGTAAACACTAGAGGGCGCCAGAGTGAGTCCTTAGTGAATGGGGATCAAAGGAGCTAAACAGCTGGAAATATTAATTAATTATGTTTCTGGTCATTTACATAATAATTTCCTTTAATTTTAGTAAAGTAGAAAGATGCATTAAGAACAAAACCTTTCAAACTTACTAATGTATTTTGTTTTTCCTACAGTAAATAGGTTTTAGTAGTAGGGCACGAACATTATTACTACTAAGTGCTGATTCGTTGGTGAACTGATTAGATGATCAATAGTTCCTGAATAATTCGTAGTAGGTACTGTATAATTCATAGTGGATACTGAATAATTAATAGTAGATACTGAATAATTAATAGCAGATACTGAATTATTAATAGTAGATACTGAATTATTCATAGTGGTTACTAAATACTTTGTATTAGATACTGAATAATTTGTAGTAGCACTGAATAATTCATAGTGGATACTGATCAATAAGTGTTTTGATTAATAACTGATTATTAAGCCTGTAAAAATGAGTGTTTTTTTGTTTTTTTGTTTGTTTTTAAAGCTGTGCCGCGTCTCATTGAGCTGTGCCGCTCTCCGGCCGAGAGGAACAACAGCGACTCTGTGCTGGTCGCCTGTCTGGTAAGAGATACAACATCTGCATGATCTTTAAAAAATCACTGTAAAATTACAGTAAACTATGGAATTCTCACTGCATTACTTTCACAGTAATTTACTGACCCATATTAACAGTAAATAACAGGACAATAGCAGCTGTATACCGTGACTGCACAGTCACCTGCACTTACGGTACACACTTACAGTGATAAGCTGTAATTAAAATACAGTAATCTCCTGTATTTCTACAGCTGTAAAGTACTGCATCTCTGCAGCCAGTAATTTACTGATTTACATATTAAAAACTTTTGATTTTACCAGACCATTTAAACAATGTAATATGTAAAATGCATGTCGCGCTTTTGAGAAAGGGCCTCAGAAAAAGTCTCCGTCAGGTTCATGACGAGTTCTTAAAGCGCAGAACTGTTCTCACCTTTGTGCTCTTGAGTGAGTGTAGATTCTGTTCTTACCGAATCCCAGAAAAGAGAACACTGGTGAATCAGAATCTTTGTCAGAACTGTATAAGTGGGTTAAGAAGAAATTTCAGTCTCTCTTTATCTGGACAGTCCACTACAGTCCCCTATAGATCATCTACAGATGTTTAAATTGTTAACAAACTATCTGTTGAAAGTTGATTCTAAACAGTGATGGGGTTTGGGTTAGGATTTGGACCAGGATTAGGGCCAGGACCAGGGTGAGGGTTGGGTTCAGGTTTTGGGTTGAGATTAAGGCTAGGGTGAGGATTAGAGCAGGTTTAGAGTTAAAGAAAATCAGTTTAGTAGAAATTTAGTGGAAAGTAACTTAAAAGTAAATAAAGTATCTACAAAGCATCAAAAGTGGACTATCTGAATAGTGTGTTTATGAGGCTCGTTGTTCGTACCCAGATCGGTTTAAACAGAACTGTGTGGATATTGGAGCTTTCCTTGAGAGGAAAAGGCCTTTCTGAAGGATGAAGATGACGACGACGATGATGATGATGATGATGATATAGAAATCTAGATTGTACTCAATGAATATTGTGTCCTTTATAGGTTAAACAGGTTGTTTTCCAGTAAAAATGCATGAAGCTTTTCCAATAATTCACCTCGTCGCTGAGTTAGTGACTCTCAGCCTGATCTGATCTGACGATCCAGTGATCTGATCGGCTGCCTGTGTTTGTGTTTTGATCCTGTCCTTCAGGCTGCTCTGAGGCGACTGGCCGCTGGTTGTCCAGACAGCATCGCTCCATCTGACCATCAGCAGCTCATTAAGCCAAGACTGGTCGACTCGTTTCTGCTCTGCTCCAACATGGAGGAAAGCTTCGTCTGAGTGATCCTCCAGATCTACGTCAGAAGATCTGACCGTTAGTGCAAACGCCACCAGACTGGAATAAAACTCTAATATTCATAATATAAACTACAGACACTTCATAAGAGATACATGTTTGTACTTTTGAAAGCTTGAATACCGGCTACTCGTCTCTAAATCAGCAGGACGATCTGCCTTCTTGTTACCTGCACATTTTTTAAAAAGCCTAAAATATCTATGTATTATTAAATACATCTGTTTAAAAAATAGAGAATGGAAAAAATCAGAGTGGGCTTTACAAGCACTACCTGAAAAAATCTTTTTTAAAAAAAGCTTTATGTTTGCGAAATAAAAATATTTTAAAACATATTTGTTATCACAAATATCAAAAGTAAACAATGATTGCTTGATTGCTTAAATTAATACAGATCATCCTCCCAAACGTGTAATGTAAACAGAAAGAAGCTGATTTTGATAACTGTGTTAATGCTTTTACTTTGACGTCGCTTTTAATGGTGATTTTTATTTAAAGAAAGTGATTATATGGCAATAAAAGCTGCTGCATTGAGACTGGAGTTCTGTTTTAATGAAAGTGCTGCTCTGGGATCAGCTCTGAAATCTGAGGAGGATCTTCTTTAGAGGTTCTCCAGGGAAAAATGTGTTAATGACATTCTGCACAAACAGACAGCAGTGACTGCTCGATCTTCAAAATAAAGGTTCTAAGGTTCTTTCGTGTGGTGCCACTGAAGCATAGTACTGGTTTTGGTTCTCTAAGGCATTTGAAAGTCAGGCCCCTCCAGATTTCGGACAGCTCAAAGAAAATAAAGTCATCTAATGTCAATGAAATGCTACAAATGTAATTCATACACAGATGCCTGTTTCTGCAGGCCCCCTAGTGGCCACTGGCAGAATGGCCATCGATTTGTACATTTTTAATTAATAGAATCACAGAAAATATTTGTAAGTGTGGAGGTTTGTTTTTCATTTTGGCTCTTATTCTGCATGTCATGATGGAACAGTGTGCATTGCATTTGGGGCTGAAAGATAAACTGTTTTTATATCAAAATAGCAATTTTATGAGAGTGCAAATTTCAAAACGCAAGAGCTGCAATTTTTTAAAAGTAATAACACAGAGCTTATAAACTGCCTGTAGATGAGTTAGACCAATCAGAGGCAACCAAACCTCCCTGTGTTGTGACATCACAACCACAACTCACTGGCAGTCTGGCTCACCACATTCAGGGATCGAACCTCAAGCCAGAAAAGGTCAATATTCTGGTCTTCTTGGCAAAAAAGAGGCCTGAACCTTAATTTCTAGAAAATAATCGTAATTCAAATCGCAGTCGCAATATTAGCCAGAAAAATCGCAAATAGATATTTTCACCAAGTCGTTCAGCCCTGATTGCATTTCACATTTTTCCACTGTAGTGACTGCATTTCACAAACTCCTCTCCACAGCTCCTCCCAGTATGACATGGAGGCAAAATCACAGCAGGTTATGGTCACTAAACTGCAGGTTGTCCAAGTGATGCTCAGAAAACACTGTAAAAGATGGCCGACTAAATTAGAAACATTCCCACCTGTCTGGAAGGACAGCCTGACTTTCTGCTGCACGTTTAGCCTCTATAGAGGTCATTTTTTGCCAAAAATTTCAAATAAAATAATAAAATCAACAAGCAAACTATTGAGTATCAAAATGTCCAAAATATTTAGCAAATTCAAATAATAAGAGTTAAATCAAACTTAACGTTTTCAAAAAGATTGTTACTCATTTTCACTCATTCTGATATAAATGTATTTCTCATTTTGACAGTTTTTGCTTTCATTTGTTTCTATTTGCTGATTTTGCTGTCATATTTTTTGCTTCTGGAATGGTTCTTTTGCTTCTGACGGGTCTCAGAAGAGGGTGTTCACCTGCACTCTCTATTAAATACAAATAAAATAAGTAGTGATCTTTTTGAAAAGGTGTTTAATTTAACTCTTATTATTTGCATTTGCAAAATATTTTGGACATTTTGATTCTCAATATTTTGCTTGTGGATTTTATTTTATTTGATACGTCTGTCACAAAATGAACTCCATAATCCTCTCCACTCTTTGATTGAAAATAACAAGAATAATCCCAGATTACTGTGTCACTGGAAATGTTCATGAAAAACAAAAAAACATGAACCCCCTATAGGTAAATATTGAACATTTATTATTTATTTAAAAAAACACATCTGATATTTACTTGAACTAGACACCCGGCATCCTTTCTCTGCTCACATTACATTGCAGTGCATGCTGGGGACTGTAGTGCAGTGCACTGTGAAACAGGCTAATATTGATAGAAAATTAAAATACTTAGCTGGATAGGATTGTGTCCTGATCTGTGTTTGATCCTTGTGTTTGACCCATGGGGTTCAGACAGTCAATAGGCACAATAATCTCCAAAGTTTAAACCAGGATTAGGATGTATCAGCATATACATATTGAGAATATCTATTCAGAACACAGAAATTAAGTATCTGTATTCAGTCCAAGTAAATTTTTGTATTATTAGCTGGACTGAATACAGTTGTAATTGCAGTTGTAATCAGAGAGTAATATTTTCATTTTTATTTCCAATAAAATACTCTGTTCTTTGTGTTTAGCAGAAAAACTCATTTCTGTTCCCTCCTTAACTGCAGGTTTTACCACCACTGTGTTTGCCAGTTTGCTTCTATAGTTTTCTACCAAAACGTGTTGCAGCCAAAATGCATGAAAGTGTTAATGTTTACCTTAATATGTATAATGCTTAATTAAGGTTTCCACTTCTGTATTACTGTATTCTCAGCATGGGTCAGTGTGGAGTTTCTTCACAGGGCTCAGGGAGGCAGAGGGACTGAACTTTATTTGATTTGTAATCATAAATGCCGCAGCATCAATATGAGGGCATATGTGTGAGAAAGTCTGTGGCTGTAAAACAAACAGAGCCAGAATGAAACAGCTTCTTCTCAGATACAGCCTTTTATAATAAAAGAGTAAAATACTGAACTGCAACCCCATTTCCAAAAAAGTCCATCGTCTTGCTGCAATAATCAAGGCCTTCCCTGAAAAAGACGTCATCTGGATGGCAGCATATGTTGTTCCACGGCCTGTTTATATCGTTCAGCATTAATGGTGCCTTCACAGATGTGCGATTCACCCCATGCCACGTGCACTAATGCCCCCCTATACCATCATGAATACTGGCTTTTGAACTGTGCACCAGGTGACAAGAGGATGGTCCCTCTCATCTTTAGCCCAGAGCACGCGGCGTCCATGATTTCAAAAAAAGAATTTAAGATTTCAATTCGTTGGACCACAGGACACTTTTCCACTTCGCCTCAGTCCATGTTAAATGAGCTCAGGCCCAGAGAAGGTGGCAGTGTTTCTAGATCCTGTTTATATTTGGTTTCTTCTTTGTGTTTTAGAGTTTTAACTTGCATTTGTGGATGCAGTGATGAACTGTTTTCACAGACAGTGGTTTTCAGAAGTGTTTCTGAGCCCATGCAGTGATTTCCACTACAGAATCATGTCTGTTTTTAATGCAGTGCTGCCTGAGGGCCCAAAGATCACAGCAAGCCTTTCTGCCTTGTCCCTTGAGATTTCTCCAGATTCTCTGAATATTTTAAAGATATTGTGTACTGCAGATGATGAAATCCCCAAGTTATTTGTGTTACGACCTCCAACGTCTAGAGGAAAAATAAGCCAACGGCATCAAACTGGAGGCCAAGACACCACCAACTACAAATAATTGACCAATTATCAGCATTTATTTCTTTTAACTTGTACAAGTTAAAGGCACCATCTTGTAAAAGCTGGTAAGTCTAGCTTTAAACTGGTGAAGTGCAGGTGAGCTTGTAGAAGAGGAAAACTTCAGGGGGTGAGATCATCCCAAAAACAAACCAGAAACAAAAAGATAAGGCTAAGGCTACCTGAGAAAACAACATACAAAAAACAGGGCACTCACCCCCCCTACTGACACAGAGAGGGCTTTACAAGTATTTAGACAAACTAACACGAGCTCACAAACAAAGCTTCGAGTACTTGGTCTGGTCAGGTGGAGGCTGATGGCACAGGTGCAACCACTGGAACAGCCCTCTCCTTCTGCAGTGCATCTCTGCCCCATAAGTAGCTGGAGCGCCCCCTGCTGTAGCCAATCAGAGTCCTCCAGGCATTAACCCTATGGGAAAAGGTGATAAGCGGGAAAGAGAGAGCACAAAACACCTCACACCCCCAGGATCGTAACATTCGCTATTTTACGTTGAGAGACGTTATTCTTGAATTGTTGCACTATTTAATCGTGCAGTCTTTCACAGAGTGGTGAACCCCTCCTCATCTTTACTTCTGAAAGACTCCGCCTCTCTGAGATGCTCTTTATACCTAATTATATTACTGACCCTTTGCCAATCAACCACCAGGTGTTTCTTTAAGCATTACAGAACTTTTCCAGCCTTTTGTTTCCCCCGTCCTAACTTTTTTGGAATGTGTTGCTGGCATCAAATTCAAAATGGGCATAAATAAAAAAAAACAGTAAAATTTCAACATTTGATTTGTTGTCTTTGTACTTTTTTCAATGAAATATAGGGTTTAAATGATTTGCACATCATTGTGTTCTGTTTTTATTTACATTTTGTACAGCTAATTTTGGAAACAGGGTTATTGGCTTTGCCCTGTGCTGGAGAAGCACCTGTGTAACTGCGACCGGCTGATTAAATGAAGTTAAATGAAGATTAATGTCAGAATTTTTTGATGTGCTCTGAACCTCTGGGAGTGCCTAACACAGCTTGGAAGCCACTGGTCTATGCACCCCCCTAATTGTCGTGTGTGTAAATATAGGTAGACAGCACCATGTGTTCACTGTAGAATAACAGAGTTACAAACACAGAGAGAATGAAAGTAGCACCACCGCAGTGATGAACGTGCCGTTCTGTGCAAATAAAGCCACTGATGAAGACTGTGCGCCGCTGTGAGGTGGATGTACATTATTTACAGTTAGCAGATCTCCACCTTATAACTGTTGAGGCTGTTGAGGTATATAGATGATATTGTCCAGCTTAACATAGCCTGCATATTTTAAAGGGCCCATATCATACACTTCATTTATTTATTTATTTATTTATTTATTTTCCCCCTGAGGTCCACTTATAATGTCTGTGGGATTTTTATGTATCAAAAACATCCATAATTCACTTCATGACTATTTTCTAATCTCTATTTATCTTTTAAGCTTTAGTTACTTTAAAACTGGTATAAGTAAATGAGCTCTGTTCTGACTGGCTGTCCTGCATAGTTGTAGTATTATTGGCGGAGCTAAAGTCACTCTTAAAAATGATGATTCTTCAAGGGCTCTTTAGTAAAGAAAATGGTTCTACATAGAACCGTGAACACTTAAAAACCGTTTGCATAATTAAAGCGTTCTTAGTATTGTGAAAGGGTACTTCAGACTGATGGAGAACGTGCGTAGATGGTTCTATATAGTACCAAAAAGGCTTTTTCTATTGTGTCAAGCTTGACATCATAGCAACAGAATAACTTTTTTTGGTGCTATATCGAGGCACCACAAGTTCAGGGAACTCCAATTCCCAGAAGCCCTGGGGCTGATTAGGCCCAACCTGGCACACCTGTGGACTCCTCTATTAAGGCTGTGGCAAACAGCAGCCCTTTGTCACACCTTTGTAGAGGGGTGACCGGTACAGTATGTATACAAAAGGAAAAGAAAAGAGAGAGAAAAAAGAGAAATTGCCCCAAAACTACTTAAAAGCAAAAAGAAAGCTTGAACAACAAACGACTCCAAGCCATACAGAAGGTGTTTGTTCCACAAAGAGCAAACAGGCGAAACGTAAAGCTGATCTTCCTCTCATGATTACAGAGGAAGTGCTTTTTGTTTTCTGATTATCTTTTATCACTTTTCTATCTCAGCCTTTGTTTGAGCGCTGCTTTCAGCGTCCCCTTCGTTTGTTTGTTTTTCCCACCATTTTTTATTTCCCATTCGTTGAGGTGTTTTTCCTGTCGCTTGTGCTTCTTGGTGGCGTGGTGGTAACTCCTCGGACCACCAATCAGTATATTGACAGTTCGAGCCTGGCTCTCAGCCACCTCAACCCCATCACCAAATAAACACTCCACCACCTCAATAAGTTCATTTAACACACTTTCTCATGGGTTTTCCTCTCTGCTCTTGGGTCCGCCTCCCTGCCGTCCCGTAACAATCTAGCCATTTTCAAAAAAGGTTCTATGTAGAACCTTCTACAGCACATTCTCCATCAATCTGAAGAACCACTTCACGATGCAAAGAATAACCTTTGAACCCTTGAAGAACTGTACTCTACACTAAATGGGAGTGTGTGTGTGTGTGTGTGTGTGTGTGTGTGTGTGTGTGTGTATATAATTTTATATATATAATTTTATATATATAATATGTTTATGTAAAGTTGTTTTTATGACATCACAAAAACAACTAACATTAGTTCCCATATGTGGACCATTTGGACTGAGGTATGTTTTGAAACTTTAACAATGTTTACATACTACATCAAACTCTTATTTTCCAAAAAAGTAAAGTCATTCCAGTTTTCCTGACTATGGGCCCTTTAAATGAGATCTCCTGCATCAGTGTTGATGCTATGAGGTTCATCAGAACATCCGTGGAGAACATCGGCTGCTAACGGACTGCATTAGCTGGTCAGATTGGTGCTGGAGGTCATTTCTGCTCGAACGTGGAGGAGAACGTTGCTGTGTCTCTGAGGTAAAGCTGCAGTCTGAGTGTGAAACGAGCTCTAACTCCGCGTTAATGAAGCTTCATTCCAAAATACTCCTCCTTCTTCTCAAAGTAGTAGCTGAACCGGGCCGCTGCGTACCTGCAGAGGAGAGAGGGCACACGCCGCACACAGATTAAAGGGACGGTTCATCCAAAACTCAAACGTACACAGCTCCCCCTCCTTACTCCAAATGTAGCTGATCAGCCAAGGCATGTCTGCTGTCTGAAGTTTGCCGGTTTAGTTTTAGCACTGGAGCTACAGCTAATGTAGCTAACAAGTAATGTAAGCCTACATCCCACCAATTAGCATGGGCCTTCTTTGCCGGTGCTAACTGCATGCCAAAATCACCACTCACTTGCATCAAAGTGTGTGGGGATGTTTAATAATCTCTAATAGTATGATCAGAGTTGGGATACCAACATAAAACAAGTTATTGGGTATTCAGAATACAGAAATTAACAGATAAATCAATGTGATCGGTTATTAATCTCAGTGTTACTGAGCTCTGCTAAAGCCTGAGTAGACTGATAAATCAATGTGATTGGTTACTAATCTCAGTGTTACTGAGCTCCGCTAAAGCCTGAGTAGACTGATAAATTAATCAATTTGATACTGTTGATCACAATGATTAATTAAAACTCTGTCTCTTTGGTGTTTATCTCTTTGATCTGTGTTATTGTCTTATCATTTTAAATTAATACCCATAGTTTCTTCAATTACTATTAAGCTTTAGCAGCTGACTGTAAAGCACTTTGAGCTGCCACTGGCTTGACAAGTGCTCTGTAAATAAAGATTTATTATTATTATTATTATTATTATTATTATGTGTGCCTTGTGTTTCACATTTTTCCGCTGTAGTGATTTGCTCTTTAATCTGGCAGACATTCCTCTGTTTACCATACAGGGTTTTACATTTATTTATGAAAGACTATAACTCACCGTAGGAAATCAAAGTCAATGGTGGAATGCTTGGCCTGTATCAGAGCCCAGAGACCCCAGGAGAAATGAGCCGCCTGGAGACACATTTACACACAAAACCAAGACAGCAGTTCAGAAACTTAAAGCAAGCTGTGATTCCTGTTTCAGCGTAAACCCAAATCCTCTTAAATTAAAGCCAAACGTTCTTTAACTTCATGTCCTGGAATACAGAGCCCTTCACTGTCCAAATGCTCATGAATGACATTCCAGTTTGTTATACCACACAGTTAATAGATTAGCTTTGTCAGTATGAGTTGTTGTCACAGAGCCCTGCTCATCATTTAGACTGTAAATATTTCAGTGAAATGTCTGTAAAGGGGAAACTCGGGGCTGCTAGTCACAGCACTGATATCTGCTACACCAGGTGGAGCTTTAAGGGTAAAATCTCCTCTCTAACTGCTAGAGATTCAATCTGAGGTGAGTTTTTCTGTGTTTTCTCAGAAGTTTTTCTTTCTTGTTTTTATTACATTAATGACAAACTACACAAACACACCTCCAACTACAAATATTGCAGCAATGCCTCTCCACTCAGCCACCTTCTGTTTTCTTTGCCACCCACCACTCTGACGACACTAGTGATGCAATCAGCTTGTTCCCCCCGCCAGCCTAGGTTTGTAGCATTAACTGGCTCGGCGGCACCAGCACACAAGTCATTCTGCTGCTGCTCGCTCGGGAGTCGCACAGCTCTCCGTCACCTCCACAAGTACTTCAGCCTTCACTGCCTCAGCTATGGCCTCTCGAGCAGATGCCATCTCAGCTCCTCCGGCAGCAGCATACCCAGGAAGTGCCCCAGCGATAACTCCTCCTGCACCATCTTCTCATGCTTGATATGCCTGCCGAACCATCATGCTCAGATCCACTGCCAGCTCACTTATTCTCTCTCCCTTCAACCACTGCCTCCCACGAAACAGATGCCTGGCCAACCACCCCACTGGTGCCTGCCTGAAGTGTCACTGATGGGCCGTGGCCAACACCGCCAGGTCACCATGCTACTCTGCCAGCAGGTCCATGAGCAAATGGAGCACTTTTCCTTCCAGGACCAGGCACAGTTGGATCGTGTTAATGGCTGCCACCGGCTGTCCTCTAGCTGGGCTCTGCTACTGAGCCTTACCGTGCTGTTTCTTCAGCCGTCTCCACCGCTGGGCCTCAACGCACTCTCCTTCCCAGTCTTCAGCCATGCTCTGTCTCCGTCACCGTCTGCCTATGAGTTTGTTGAAGCGCCATTCCACTCCTTGCTGCTGGGGGTGCTACCCCACTTCTGAAACCAATGTAGTGTTGGTGTAGAACAACATGCGGGAAACGTTGCGAATGCTCTTTTAATGAACAGGCGGCATGAAAACTGCCATTCCCTGAACCACTGAATAACACAGAGAACACCTGGGAAGGTCGTCAATAGTCATAACATAAAACCCACTTTAACTATCCCACAGCTCAGCTCAGCTCAGCACAGCACAACACAACAAAGCAAAGCAAAGCAACACAAACACATCTCCAACTACAACAGCACAAATACTGTCCTTTCTTACTGGGAGCTCAGCGCTTCCTGAGAGCCTCTTAACATGGCCACGCCTCCTGAGTTCAGCCTGTGGCAGACACCACAATATCAAATGTTCTTTAAATGGTCTTGCTGTTTGATGAGAAATAAACTTAATGTACAATGATGTGACGGCCAGCCATGAAAAGGGGCACAATATTCAAAACATAAACATGAAATAATTACATAATGATCCACTCATTTCATGATAGACAGCCTGAGCTTTTGTTACATCCTGGTTTATTTGGATGTTCGTCATTTGGTTTGTGAGTAAAAAAAAAATGTGACAACCAACCTTGTATTAGACGTTTTACCAAACTGTAAATACAACCCCATTTCATACACAGTTCATCACTGCATCCACAAAAGCAAGTTAAAACTCTAAAACACAAAGAAGAAACCAAATATAAATATGGAAAAGTGTCCTGTGGTCCAACGTGGTCCTGTGGTCCCTTTTTTGAAATCATGGACGCTGTGTCCTCCGGGCTAAAGACCACTCAGCTTGTTATCAGTGCACAGTTCAAAAGCCAGTATTCATGATGGTATAGGGGGCATTAGTGCACAAGGCATGGGTGATGTGCACATCTGTGAAGGCACCATTAACGCTGAACGATATACATGTTTTGGCAACATATGCTGCCATCCAGACGACGTCTTTTTCAGGGAAGGCCTTGATTATTTCAGCAATACAAAGTCAAACCACATTCTGCATGTATTACAGCAGCATTGCTCCGTATTAAGAGTCCGGGCGCTAAACTGACCTGCCTGCAGTCCAGACCTGTCAGCACTGAAAACATTTTGGAGGGTTATGGAATGAAAAATACAACAAATGAGCCCCCCAAACTGTTCAGCAGCTGAAATCCTATGTTAAGTAAAAATTTCATTTTCTAAACTACAGCAGTGTCTCCTCAGTTCCCAAACACGTAGTGTGTTAAAAGTAGAGGTGATGAGACACAGTGGTAAACAGGCCCCCGTCCCAACTTTTTTGGAACATGTTGTTGGCATTTAACTCAAATTGGGCAAATATTTTCAGAAAACAATAAAATTTCTTAGTTTCAACATTTGATATGTTGTTGTCTTTGTTGTATTGTCCTTTAAAATTATGGTTTACATGATTTGCACCTATTTTTATTTACATTGTGCACAGCGTCCCAACTTTTTTGGAAATAGGTTGTATATTTGTAGACTATAATGGTGGTTTAGTGAGGTAATGACGTCTATCACTGCAGATTTAAAACGCAGAGAAGGCCTCACCATTGAGAACTTGCAGACTTTGATGTAGAGTTCCTGCACTTCTCTCTCGGCCACTGCAGTGTCCACTCCGCTGCTGCTCTTCAGACTGTGCAGGTATTCGGTTAGCCAATCCCACTGCAGATCCTCACTGGGGTACAGACTATAATCCACATTATTCACCCCTAACATCAAAAACCGAACACAGTGCCGCTCGTTAGATAATTCTCAGAGCTGCTAAAGGGAAGAATTCATAAATGAAATATTAAAAAACGTTAAATATCACCTGCATATTCATTGAAGTGGTTGCCAATGTCGTAAGCTTGGTAGTTAAAATCAGCATATTCATAGTCAATGAATTTTACTACACCTATAAGAGGAAAAAACAAGCATCAGTGATTTGTATGCTAATGTAACATATCAGTACTCATCAGATATCAGTGTCTGATCTGACCAGTGTCTGATAGTGTCAAAACCAAAAAGAACGAGACAAAAAGTACTGAATCAGTTCAAACTGCGGCCCAAAGTAAAAACTATTAAACAAACATTGAGGTATTCAGATCTTAGATATTTACAGTGATTATATTCCGATCTATTTAAACTCAAGGCATTAATAGAGACAGTAATAACCTAAACATATACAAAATCATCATTTATAGGGTACTTTCTACTGGGAGGAGTCTGTCCCAAACCATAAACCCTAAATTTACTCTTGGGAAAATCATAATTATATTTTCTTAAGATCTTTATGATTTCTTTTTAAATGAAGTTGAAAGATTTAGATTTATCAAGAGTTTAATTAAAAAAAAAACTTATTAAAAAAAAAAAAGATGTACCATTTTTGTCACTACTGAAACACAGTTTTAGTCTGTAGGCGGAGCCTCATTCTAACCACGCCCCTGCATTTTAGAGCAGGAAGTGAGGCTGCATCCCTGTCCCTCATGGTCACATGGTGAGCAGTTAGATCCCATTGTTTTGAAGTAAATGTGTCCCACAGTCTGAAAATCATTAAGAACTGTCACTACCGAAACACGTTTTCTGTAGTTTTGTACTTTTTGTGTTTTTCATGAGAAATATGGTGATTTTCTGTGTGAACAGCTGTTCAAAGCTGTGTTTCTGGTCAGTTTTGGAGCTCAAAATGGGAAAATTGTCACAGAAACAGTCACTACTGAAACACTACTGAAATGATTGTTTAGGTAGTGACAACATGGGATGTTCAGTCATTACTTTTTATAAAGTAATCATAATTTAAGGTGTAGAGTCACTCAAAGCAGAAGGATTTTAGTCTAATCTAATCCAAGATCAGTTAAAGTCCTGAAATGTGTTTCAGCTCTGACTCTGTACCAGCTCAGCAGGATCATCCCGGTTTAGTGTGAACTCAAAACTGATATTCGTGTTTAATCTGTGGGACAAAAGCTGAAAACACAGCACTGTGACTGGTTCACACCAGTGGATACGTCAGTGAGTGATACGTTAAATATCTCTCGTTATTGCTCTTCCTTAAGGTTTAAATTCCTCCTGTTACCTTCAGTGGAGTTGTAGATGATGTTCTTGGTCAGGAGGTCGTTATGGCACAGTACAATCAGGGAGTCCACTGCAGTTAAGTGTCTCCTCAGGTCGTCCATCTCCTTCAACAAAATGTCCATGCTTGGAAGCTCCAGCCGGGAACTTGGAAGATAAAAAACAATGTTCAGAACTTAGTTTCCCAAATGGAACCCAGTACAAAAACGGGTTTGTTTTAAGATCTGTTTTTAAACTACTAGCAATCCATTAATAATGCTTTAGTAAAGAGAATCATTTCATTTATAAGCAGGCTTAGAAATGTGCAAATCGGGTAAAATATCCTGACAGCGTAAAGATTTTTTTTGCTTTTTATTTATAATGTTAAACTCTATTCACAAAAAAAATTATTTGAAGGATGTTTATTTTATTTTATTTTTTTTTTTGTCTCACTTTTTATCGTGTGTGTGTGTGTGTGTGTGTGTGTGTGTGTGTGTGTGTGTATATACATATAATATTGTGTATAAACAACAAATAAATAACAAACTGTAACCTTGTTAAGTAATTAATAAGGTTAATTACTTTAATTCTTGCTCTCCCTTTGTTGCTGTAGCACTGAGAATTTCCCTGTTGTGGGACTAATAGAGGATTATCTTATGTGTTACCTTATTTATAGGATGCATTAATAAGGTCTTCTGTAAATTAGTTAATGGATTTTGTTCATTAATCACTTAAATGTCAATTAGTTGTAATCGTTCAGTTGTAAGCATACCTGAAATCACTTTACAGTTCTTGATTAACATGTTATATAAACAGGTGATATTTAACTGAATTCAGTGATCACACAGTAAATGCTACTACCACCCAAATAACAGATGTCTGTTCTGAATGTCTGCATGTCCTGTTAATTAGAACTAAAACAACTCATTGTGCGGTGATTATCAGAGCACTGTGTGAAGGTGTGATGATAAAGTGCTGAGGCCTGTAATGCAGACACAGCAAAAACAAGTCAACTGAGCTGAAGACTGGAAACTGCCTGCAATTTACATAGCTTGTTTAGCAGTAACACTGACGTGGTGGTGGTGTGTTAGTGTGTGTTGTGCTGGTGCGAGTGGATCAGACACAGCAGTGCTGCTGGAGTTTTTAAACACTGTGTCCACTCACTGTCCACTCTATTAGACACTCCTACCTTGTCAGTCCACCTTGTAGATGTAAAGTCAGAGGCGATAGCTCATCTGCTGCTGCACAGTTTGTGTTGGTCATCCTCTAGTCCTTCATCAGTGGTCACAGGACGCTGCCCACAGGACGCTGTTGGCTGGATATTTTTGGTTGGTGGACTATTCTCAGTCCAGCAGTGACACTGAGGTGTTTAAAAACTCCAGCAGCACTGCTGTGTCTGATCCACTCTCACTAGCGCAACACACACTAACACACCACCACCACGTCAGTGTTACTGCGGTGCTGAGAATGATCCACCACCCAAATAGTACCTGCTCTGTGAGGGTCCATGGGGGTCCTGACCACTGAAGAACAGGGTAACAAAGTATGCGTGTGTGTGTAGAAACAAGGCTGGTCAGTGTAAGTATATCAGACTGTGGCTGAAAACAGATATAACAGCTGCGTGTTCTGGACAGGTCTCCAGCTTTAGCGGTTCTCCTGAAGCTTTGGTTTCTCACCTCTGCTGTAGAGGAGCATCATTTGGCGCAGAGTTCTGGAGTAAGTTCAGGTAATTGGACAGTTTTGACCACAGAACCGGCTGAAGAGAAGAGGCAGTCTTTGGCTTTATGGAGTGGAGTTTTCCCATCTCTGCAGCAATCAGCCTGAACATCAACACAGCACGGACTTCACTTCACAGACAGCACTGCTGAAGGTTTTATACACTTCTACAGCAGCTCAGCTCACTCCTCCTCATTTAGCTCTTAATGTTACTGCTCTTTTCTGTCCTTATACACATGATTTATATCTGCTTTAGGTTGAGTGACTTACATGAGGCTAACGTTTTATTCTTACTTTGACAAAATTATTTTTTATTTTTAATCTGTTAGCAGGATTGGGGATTGCCTACCTCGTGTGCTGTTTACAAATATGTTGTGGTTGTTAGAGCTGCGCAACATAATGATATTTATCCTTATCTTGATAAATTACATCACAATATGTCACAATGTGCTTTTCTGAGTGTATATTTTATATATTATATATTTAAAATTAATGCTCATAATTTCTTCTATTGCTTTTAAGCTTTATCATCTGTCTGTAAGGCACTTTGAGCTCCCACTGACATGAAAGGTGCTCTATAAATAGATTATTATTATTATTATTATTATTAAAGGTTGTTGTTGTTGTTGTTGTTGTTGTTGTTGTTGTTGTTGTATTATTATTATTATTATTACAGGGTTTCCGTTAAACAATCAAAGCTGAAATTGCACTTCTAATCAGGTAGCAAGAACCTTTTAACGGGGTGGTCAAGTTAGACCAGCAGTTTTAGGGGATGGCAAACAGCTCGGGGAAAAAAGATGCGGTAATTATGAGAGAACAATATTTGGTTGGGTAATAAACTGGATTCAGCTCTGCTGAAATCTAGCCAGCATCATTAAACACACACATGTTCTCAGCTGTAAAAAGTATTTAGCTTAGACATTGATATGCGATAGTGAATGCTGGTAGTAAAGGTGGGCGATATGGCAAAAAAATATCATGATACCTGAAGACATTTTTACAATACACAACATGTACCATGATATTTAATTCTTAGAGTATGAAGTTTGAAGGAAAAGAAAGGAAAATGATTTGTTCAGCGTTTCACTGCACTAAATCCAATTCAAATTCTAATTATGCTCACTTTGTAATGGAACGTGTACAACGTGTTCTTTGATTACTGATGATCCACATTAAGCTCAGAAAAACATACTGTGATTTTTCTCACAGTAAGGCTACAATATTCTCATATTGCCCAGCCCCAGTTGGTATTTACTCATTTTTTGATAGTTACCTCATCTTATCATCGTAGAAACTTTTAAAAAGGATTCTTCTTTTCAAGGGTTCTTTAGTAAAGACAATGGTTCTATATATAACCATTAACACTCAAAGAACCGTTTGCATGCTTACATGTTTGTTTGCATGGTGAAATGGTTCTTCAGCCTGATGGAGAATGTGCTGTATTTGGTTGTGTTTAGAACCTTTTCAAAAGGGGGTTCTTTTTAGCACCAAACAGGGTATGCTATTGAATCATTTCAGATTTATTTCCACCTTCAAAATGACCCATAATCTGTACAATTCCATTGAAAAACAAACTGAAATCATTTAGGGTGGAAAAATAAAAGTGAACTAAATGTGGTTACATAAATATGCACAGAGTTAACTTTGAGGTTCTCTGACTTTATGGCAACATTCAGTCTTTTTGGGTAGGAGTCTATCAGCATGGCACATCTTGACTCGGCTATCTTTGCCCTCTTCCTTGCCAAAGCGCTCCTAATCTGTCAGACTGCGAGGACATCTGTGTACAGCCCTCTTCAGGTCTACCCACAGATTTCCAATGGGATTCAGGTCTGGGCTCTGGCTGCGCCTTTCCAAAACTTTGATCTTCTTCTGGCGAAGCCATTCTTTTGATGATTTGGAGGTTTGCTTTGGGTCACTGTCGTGCTGAAAGGTAAAATTCCTCTTCACCTTCAGCTTTTTAGCAGAGGCCTGAAGTTTTTGTGCCAAAATTGACTGATATTTGGAGCTGTTCATAATCCTCTCCACCTTGACTAAAGCCCCAGTTCCAGCTGCAGAAAAACAGCCCCAAAGCATAATGCAGCCTCCACCATGCTTCACTGTGGGAATGGTGTTCTTTTGGTGATGCGCAGTGTTGGCTTCGCGCCAAACATACCTTTTGGAATTATGCCCAAAAAGTTCAACCTTTGTCTCATCAGACCAGAACACGTTTTCCCACATACTTTTGGCAGGCTTGATGTAGGTTTTGGCAAAACATAGCCGGGCTTGGATGTTTTTCCTTGTTAGAAAAGGCTTCCGTCCTGCCACCTGACCCCACAGCCCGGACATATGAAGAACACGGGAGATTGTTGTCACATGCACTACACAACCAGTACTCGCCAGAAATTCCTGCAGCTCCTTTAATGTTGCAGTAGGCCTCCCAGCAGCCTCCAGGACCAATTTACTTCTTGTCTGATGCAGTCGGCACTCTGTCCTGTGTGGTGCTGTCGCTTCGTCTGCCATGATTGGATGGGCTGCTCGCGTGCATCGTAGAGCCTTGTGCTGTGTGGATCCTTGTGTGGTCTTCACTGTACAAAGGACTCTTAACTCCATACCCAACACTGTACTGAACTGTAAAACTGTATCCACTTAGACACAAAACAGTATGTGCTGTTATCCGGTGTCGACCAGAGGAGGATGGGTTCCCCTTTTGAGTCTGGTTCCTCTCGAGGTTTCTTCCTCATGTTGAGGGAGTTTTTCCTTGCCACTGTCGCCAAGGCTTGCTCATTGGGGGCGTGGACCCGGATTCTCTGTAAAGCTGCTTTGTGACAACATCTGTTGTAAAAGGCGCCATATAAATAAATTTGACTTGACTTGTGTTTTCATAAATTTTTGAGGGACGTCCAGTTCTTGGTAATGACACTGTCGTGCCAAATTGAATCCACTTCTTGATGATCGCCTTCAATGTGTTCCATTGTACATCTAATGCCTTGGACATGTTTTTGTACCCTTCTCTGCCTGATACCCTTCAGCAGTCAGATCCCTTTGATGTGCTGTAAGTTCTTTACGGACCGTGGCTTCGGCTGTAAAATGCACAGAAAATCCTACTAGACCAGCTGAACTTTATATGGGGTTAATCAGAACCACTTTAAATGATGGCAGCTGTGTACTGATTACTATTTAAGATGAGTTTGAATGTGATTGGCTAATTCTGAACACAAACACATCTGCAGTTATAAGAGGGTGTTCACACTTTTGCAACTACATTATTTTAGTTTTGTTTTTTTTTCCCATCTAAATGATTTCAGTTTGTTTTTCAATGGAATTGTACAGATTCAGATTTTGGGTCACGTTGAAGGTGGAAATAAATCTGAAATGATTCATTTTGGTCTGATTTTTTTTACATGACAAAAACCTGGCATTTTAACAGGGATGTACAACACGTTCTCCATCAGCCTGAAGAACCACTTCACCATGCAAAGAACCATGCAAATGGTTCTTTTGAGTGTTCATGGTTGTCTTTACTAAAGAGCCCTTGAAGAACCACCTTTTTAAGAGTGTAGCTTACTCCATATACTGTAGCTCTCAGAAGTGTACGGAGTAAATTATTAGTGGTCATAATTCTATATAGATTAACAGAATAATAAGTGTTATTAATCACATTTGTAAATACAGTTTAACTCCTGAAAACCTGAAAGTGATTTTATCCTGTTTTCCATTACGCTATATGATAAATACTGTACGTTTAAAACCCTCTACTGTGTCTACTCTGTGCTGAACTACACTGAGGCACTTTTAAATGTTTTTCTAATTCCCTCCTCAGTCGCTCCATGACTGCTCTTCTTCTTTCAAATCTGATTCAAAGACTTTCTCTTCCTCCTTTACTGCTTAGTCTTAACTTCCTTTTTTGTGTTCTTTGTTATGAAAAGCAACCTTGGGATTGTGAAAGGTGCTATATAACTAACTTATTATTACGATTATCATTATTAATGTAGGAAGCCAGTGTGAGCTGCTTTCTTGGGCAAAAAAACTGAAAATAACCCTAAAGTTTGGGTCGTCTTTACTCTCCTGTGACTTACATTAAAAGTACAGTATATTTTTTCTTCTTCTGTAAAGTTTTCATTTTGGAGATACGAGGTTTTGTTCCAACAGCAGCGATTTATATTCCAGTGTCTGATTCCATACGGGTGCTACTGTCTACAAATGTGTTTTTAAGCTCAGCTTAATGTCTTAAAGAAATGACCGACTCTTCTGCTTTGCTAAGCTGAGCATCCTGTGCAGAAATTCAGGAATTCCCAAGCGGTGTCTGCTTCCTAAATCTGGAAAAAGCTCACTACCTCAGAGAGCATCTAACAAAGACTGAGGCCGGCTCTTAAACCCACGTTACACATTTCAGACCTTTAACTCATCATCTGTTTACATAACGCTCATCTTTCAAAATGCTGAGTGATCATTAACAGGCGCACACATGTTAATGTGACTCTGGAATCTGATTTGTCGCCTTTCAGGTGGGTCAGGTTAGTGTTTTCTGTCATCCTGTACAGTTAGAATGTGTCTGTGTGTCTGTCAGATGTGTCCCTAAACTTTCTTTAAGCTTTAGTCTTTCTTCTCTGCCAAAGGCCATTTTAATCCATGTGTCTTACAGCTTCCTGGACTTGGATTAGGTCTTAACTTGGACTGAATTGCAGTGTGAATCGTGATTCAACTCAATTTTCCATATTAAAATTAACAGAAACAAACACAGATTTAGGCGTAATCTGTGGAATTAGGCTTCATCCTGGACTAAACTGCAACATCAGTGGTGTTTCTGCATGAAAGATTCCATTTAGGCTTAGACTTAAAGGTGCAGTGTGTAAGATTTAGGGGGATCTAAACACCATGTGTTCATTAGTGTATAATCAGCTGTAACTATGAATCGCTGTGTTTTCGTCTTTGAATGATCCCTTCATATCTACATAGGGAGCAGCTCGTCTTCAACAGATGCTGCCACCGCCATGTTTCTACAGTAGCCCAGAACAGACAAACCAAACACTGACTCTAGAGGGCGCCTTTCACACTTTTAAGCTGAAGCAAGAGTTTGAATTTGGTGGTGCTGTAGCTCCGGCTGGAAGACAAGCACACTTAAAAAAAAGGTGGTTCTTCAGGGGTTCCTTTGTAAAGAAAATGGTTTTATATAGGTTCATGAAAACTCAAAGAACCCTTTCTAAAAGGGTTCTACATAGCACCAAAAAAGGTTCTTCTACTGTGACAAGCTTGACATCGTAACACCAGCAGAACCCTTTTTGGTGCTATTTAGAACCTTTTTCAAAAAGGTTCTATATAGAACCATCTACAGCACATTCTACATCAATCTGAAGAACCACTTCACAATGCAAAGAAACCTTTAAACAGGCAAAGGGTTTTTTGAGTGTTCGTGGTTCTATACAGAACCACTTTCCAACACAAGTAACCCAGTAAGAAACCAAAAAGAAGTTTCTTTAGGCGGCCAAAAAACCTCATAGAACATTTTTAAGCACATCATCACTGTCCAAAGAAAAACATGTATCTCCTTTATTTGTCGATCTTTAGTTTGTTGCATCATTTGAGCATGGTGGCCGTCCTTTACATCGAGTGAAAACGTCATGATGAGTGGACCAATAGAAATGCTCCAAAATACTTGGAATAAAATCTCTTCACATTGACTTACTGGTAAAGTTACCATTTTGGAGATTGTTTTTCTTTAGACAGTGACGATATACAGTCTCCTCTGGCCAGTGCTTTTGCCCTTGCTCTACACTGAAAACGTGGGTTTGAGCTCAAAACATGAATTTTAGATGATAGACCAGAATTTCAGCTGTTTTCAGCTGTAGATCCGACCTGTACACAGCAGGCTGTGTGAGCAGAGGGTCGTCCAGCACCGCTCCCTTCACAAACTCGTAGCAGATGCCGTTCTGAAAGCTGCAGTAGAGCTGAGGGCCACAGCCGTGCGCATGCAGCAGCCGGAACATCTCCAGCTCTCTCTTCCGGTCCACGAAAAGCTCCGTCTTGCGGCCATACACACGCACCAGCACCACAGCGGCCTCCCCCACCGAGCCCACATAACAGCCCAGCAGCTGATTGGTGATTCCCTCTGTAAACACCTGTTCACCAGCAAACAGTTACAGTATCCTATAGCAACCTCATCCAGACTTATTCAAATTTAAAAAGGGACAAACACAAATTATTCCACCAGTTATTAAACAGTTCAGAGTGGTTTGGTGTGAAACGCTCTGTTCTAGATAAACTTACTGAGTCAGAACTGTTTACAGTGGTGGTGATAGGAACCAGACGTCCCCCTCTAAAAGCTCCTCACAGAAAGTTCCTACATGAAATGGTTATGAATTCACTGCCTGATGACTGAGACACTGTTTTATGATAGTTTAGAGAACTTAAACTCCATTCATGGTGGAGGGATACATGCAGGGCGCTGTGAGGCAAAATAGTCCCCAAAGAAAACTTATTATTTCAGATTTTCCACTATTTTCCATCATCAACATTCCATATAAACTCAGAAGACTCGTGTAGGTTCACTGGTGGTTCTGGATAGTAAATAAAATGTCTATATCTGTGTTGTAGTCATGGCGACCCCTGGTTCCTATCACCGCCACTGTAAAGACATCTGAACCATTTCACACCAAACCACTCTGATTACATTTACTTTTACATTGTAAATGAAGTTTAACACTGTAGACAGAACTTCTTTTGGTCTGCAGAGCGTCAGGAGGAAGTCAGCTCTAATAAAGATGTTTACGTCTCTTGGCTTAATGCCTGACCATAATATGCACACTTAAAAAAGATGGCCATTCAAGGGTTCTTTAGAAAAGTGTTCTTTACATGGTGAAGTGATTCTTCAGATTGATGGAGAATGTATTATATATCACCAAAAAGGGTTCTGCTATTGTTACAAGATTGACTTTGTGAAAATAGAGGAAACTTTTGGTGCTATATAGGACGCTTTTCAGAAAGGTTCTATGTAGAGCTATTTACAGCACGTTCTCCATCAATTTGAAGAAACTTTTCATGATGGAAAGAAACCTTTAATCATGCAAAGTTGATGGTTCTATATAGAATCGCTTTCTTGACTGAAGAACCATCTTTTTGTAACAGTGTATGCTGTTCTCAACATCGTGATCAGAAATGAATGAGTAATTCCTGGACGTCTTTTGGTCATATGTTCAAGATACTCTCTCTAATATTTTGGGAAAATATGTACTCAAAGATCCACAGACTTTCCTTCCACTTGATGACTCTGCAGAATTGTTTTCTACTCATCAAAAAAGGATTTTTTTGGCCGGCCTCACAGCAAAAAGACTATACAGGAAATATGGTTTGAACCCTCCGTTTCTAAGCATCTTCTATGGGTTACTTATTTTCGGGACATCACTCTTTTGGAATGTATAACGTCCAGGATAAATAAGGTCAAAATAAGAACTGTGCCCTGGTCAGATACTGAGAAAGAATTGTTAAAAGCAAGGCGAGCATAGTAACCTTTAATAAGTGATCTGAGGGTGGAAACCTCAGTATACTGAGTTCATTCATTTGTCTATTTAGGTATTAATTTGTTTGTCTTTTCCTCTTGTGTGGTTTTGCCACTGACCCTCACTGCTGTCGTCGCTGATGTTGCTACTGATGTTTTGCTTTTTGAACATAGTTCTTGTGTTCTTTGTTTTTGCTTGTTAATAAAATATTGATCACAAAAAAGAAATTAATTAGTAATTGAGGAGATTTTGTTGCTCAGGAACAAAAAACACAATATTTCTATACGAAACAACTTCACAGTTTTCAGTATGTAGTAACCGAATTCAGAATTTCATTTAATTTATACCATAAAACTTGTATTTGTGCAAAATTTAAGTTTCATACTGTAAGAGAATGACCAAAGCTATAACCAAAGAAGAACAGTGTCAGCTCGTTTGTGGTAACGCTGGACTTGCCTTCATCTGAATGTCCTCTGCTTTCCACTGTGGCCTCAGAGTTTTAAACAGCTCTGTGATGCCGGCTCGAGGAGCACACTCGTCCAAACACACGTCTATGTGCAGCAAGTTCTCCTTGTAGTTATTCGGGATGGTGTCCATTCCTGCTTTTTAGAGTCCACAGCTAAACAGACTCAGTCCAGCACCTCAGAGAGGTCAGATCCACACTCAGTAGAAAGTGCTGAGTAGAGTGCAGTCAGTGGAAACTGGTTATTGAGACAGCATCAGGTGGACCTGTGCCATGTGTCTGACCCATAAAGACTGGGGGCTTATCAAAGTGCAACGTCCGTCTGGGCATCTTCACTGGCTGACCTGCGTCCAGGGTTTATACATTAACTCTAACGTTCAGAACATCCCGTTAAAAGTCTGAGAAATGTCTATCAGTTTAGTGTATAGAATCCAAAATGTGGCCTTGTGTTGTTATGAAACAGCGTGTTATGTAACCATGAGAATGTATTCAAACTCATACAGCTCAGACTTTAAACTTAAAGCTAAAACGAATGTCTATCTCGCTCGTTATGCTCTGTGAGTTCTCTCTGCACACTCAAACCCATAAATCCATACCTTTAAATCCCCACCCGACACTATTCCTGACAGCTCCTACCCTGAGAGGCTTTAAAAAGTTGCTAAAAGGTTGCTAAAAAGTTATCATTTTTAGATAGTTTCTATACTGTATATTACAAAGTTGGGACGCTGTGCAAAATGTAAATAAAAACAAAATGCAATGATGTGCAAATCATTTTAAACCCAACATTTCATCGAAAATAGAACAAAGACAACATATCAAATGTTGAAACTGAGAAATTTTACTGCTTTTTGAAGAATATATGCCTATTTTGAATTTGATGCCAACAACATGTTCCAAAAAAAGTTGGAATGGGGCAACAAAAGGCTGGCAAAGTTGTGTAATGCTAAAAAAAAACACATGGTGGTTGATAATATGATTGGGTATAAAAAGGCAGTCTTTCAGAAGTAAAGACGAGGAGGGTACATAATAACATTAAAAGATTCAGAGAATCTGGAGAAATCTCTGTATGTAAGGGTCAAGGCCAAAAACCAGTATTTGCTGGCCGTGATCTTTGGGCCCTCTGCATTGAGCACTGCATTAAAAACAGACATGATTCTGTAGTGAAAATCACTGCATGGGCTCAGAAACACTTCTGAAAACCACTGTCTGTGCATCCACAAATGAAAGTTAAAACTCTAAAATGCAAAGAAGAAACCAGATATAAACAGGATCCAGAAACACTGCCATCTTCTCTGGGCCTGAGCTCATTTAACATGGACTGAGGGGAAGTGGAAAAGTATGCTGTGGTCCGACGAGTCAACATTTGAAATTCTTTTTGGAAATCATGGACAGTGCATCCTTCAGGCTAAAGTTATCAGTACACAGTTCTAAAGCCAGTATTCATGATGGTTCAGGGGGGCATTAGTGCACATGGCATGGGTGACATGCACATCTGTGAAGGCACCATCAATGCTGAACGATATTTACAGGTTTTGGAAACATATGCTGCCATCCAGACGACGTCTTTTTCAGGGAAGGCCTTGATTTATCTCAGCAAGACAATGTCAAACCACATTCTACATGTATTACAGCAGCATTGCTCTGTATTAAAAGAGTCTGGGTGCTAAACTGACCTGCCTGCAGTCCAGACCTGTCACCACTGAAAACATTTGGAGGGTTATGAAATGAAAAATACATTAAATGAGCCCCCGATTTCAGCAGCTGAAATCCTATGTTAAGTAAAAATGGGAAAACATTTCACTTTCCTAAACTACAGCAGTGTCTCCTCAGTTCCCAAACGCTTACAGAGTGCTGTTAAAGGAAGAGGTGATGAAACACAGTGGTAAACAGGCCCCCGTCCCAACTTTTGGAATGTGTTGTTGGCATCAAATTCAAAATGGAGAAGTATTTTTTAAAAAACAATAAATTTCTCATTTCAACATTTGATGTGTTGTGTTGTCTTTGTACTATTTTCAATGAAATGTAGGGTTTAAATGATTTGCACATCATTGCATTTTGTTTTTATTTACATTCTGCACAGCGCCCCAACTTTTTGGGGAAATGGGGTTGTATATCTATATTGTTTAACCAGTGGTTTGTAGCACTTTTACAAATTTAATTTGATCATAAATGGATGTCTGCAAAAAGTCAAAAAAGTGTTTTGATCTGTTTATCTGGGCAGTAAGTGTGTTTTTGCCAGTTAAAAAATACACAACAACAAACAAATAAACAAAAATACAGTAGTCAGAATGTGTTTTCAGCAAAGTTATGTAGGTTAGAAGAAAACAGTTAGAAGAACACCGGTTTGGTTCCTGCTCTCCACCATCAAATGGATTTGTTCAATTTCATCAATATAAAAATACAGATAGACTCTAATACAGTACAGTTCTGTGTAAAAGTCAGAAACCATCCTTCATTTATTTGATTTCCTAGTCAAAACAGCCTTTAAGTACAGGTTATTAATTTTTCAGCATCAAGAAAAAAACAGTATGGACAAAAGTACATCACCCCTACAGGAGCATTTATGAACCCCATTCTAAATCCATAGGCATTAATATGGAGTTGGTCCCCCTTTGCAGCTCTAACAGCTTCCACTCTTCTGGGAAGCTTCTACAAGATGTTGGAGAGTCTGTGGGAATTTGAAAAGCTTCAAGTTGAAGATGAAAGTTTTAAGTGCTATTTAACAGATGGGGGCAGTTCTAGTCCCAGTCCCATTTCTTCTTTTTACTCCTACCCCTTGTTTTCGAGTGTCACTCTAACCCCTTGGAACTGAGTTACAGGGTAGTGGTTGAAATCTTCCTCTGAAATGGGACCCTCAAATAAAAAGAGCATCACTTCATTAACAGCTACCAGCGCTGCTCTGTAGGCGACCCTGCCAGTCTGCAGTGACAGCAGAGGAGGGTAAAGTTCAGCTCCTCACTGCTGGGCTTTAGTTACATTTAGGGCATCATATGCCTTCAAAGAGGGGGGCAATTATTTATTATCACCACCCCCTAATTCTTCAGTGATATGAAGCTGAAGTCAGATATTCACCAGATTCTTGTTTGAATTCTCCTGTTCCACCTTAAATGGTGCAGCAGTTACATTCTGGCTCTTCAGGTGTCAGAACTGCTGGACTATTTAAGGTGGAATGGTGAAGTTAGCTAGCTAGCTACTGAGACATTAGCATACTATTAGCGAAATTTTTATGCTTGTTATGAAAAAAAATGACCAAAATACACTGAAACTACATTAAACTAAGATAAAACAGTGGCTATTGTAATTTTTAAACAGAGAAAATTCTCACATTTGTGGGTTTCTTTGGTTTCTTGTTCTCCATCTTGCCGGTTTTTCTTTTTTTTCTCATATCACTCTGTTTGGAGTCTCTGAAAAACCTCCGTTTGGAGGGTCATGTAGCTCCAACACTTCACCCTCCCCCTCTATCTCAACAAGAATCGGGACACCCTACCCCTAGACGTGAACATGCAAAACAGAGGGCTAAGGGCTCAGTGGTAGGGGAGAGGGACTGGGCCTTGGTGTCTACCAGGTCTTTCAGGTGGTTGTTAGGAGCCACATTGTCTCTGTAGCTTTTAATCAGTTTTTCATCACCAGTTTTGGAAACATTTTAGGTTTTTTCACTTTGACTTTCTCCTTCTTTATATCTAACTTCCTCACAAATATCTCATAGAAATGAATAACTGAATTTGATGGCTGTTTTGACTGTAAACTAGATAAATGAAATGTGGTCTCTGACTTTTGCACAGCACTGTATATTATGCTGGGTCATTATAGAGGACAGAAAATGTTTTATTTCCCTTCACAGAGTCAGATGTAGATGAGGATTCTCATTAAGTTTGGTCACAACTTCCTCCTCTGAAGGCTCCTGGATGTGCTCTCTGCAAAAGAGACAAGCATTTATGCATCATTACGAAAGTAGACAAACACTGAGAACTGAAACATCAGCGGATTTCAGAAACTCAGACAGTCCTGATCAGTGACCTCATGATTCAACTCAGTTATGATTCTTTAGGAGTTCATTCAGTCCATGAAACTTCAAATTTCACCACAATTCAGTTTAATTAGATTATCATGGTTTGATTCTGAATCAGTTTAAAAGATACACTGAATAAACAAACAGAACGGGAGGAGCTGCTTACTCAGTAGTGGAATATAGATAATAAAAACAACACAGCTGAAAACTTCACTGTGGTCAAAAATGACCACATTCTTATTGAATATCATTATATTTGATTAGAACTGATTCAACAGATTGTAAATTGTAAAGTGGAACAGCGCAGAGGTTGATAATCTTTCTGAGGGTTGAATTCATCTAAAATGTTGCCTTGTTCATCTTAAAATTAAAATTTAATAGGTTAAATTGTTTGTTACCACATTAAGTACATTTTAGTTTACAATCTTGTAAAACTGATGCATTTTGACACCAATACTGTAGATTTTTCTTAAAAATGAGGAGGTTCCTGAGCTGTTCAGCCAGTCCTACCTGAACACAGATGCTTTCGTACCTGAACATGCGCTGGACAGGTGTGTCCAGGTCAGTTCCTTCACTGTCTGAAACACAGCTGCTGCTTCTTCTGTCCCACTTATAGATAAAGTTCTGCAACAAACAGGATAAAATTGTGTGTGAGGGTCAGCTTCACTGTTTTATAGAGAAAATCAAATGTACCCCCCCCACCCCCCAATCCCAAATGTAGGTTTGAGTCTTTAGTTTTGGGGCTAATGTAGCTAACAAGTAATGGAAGCCTATATCCCACTAGTTAGCACGATGCTAACTGCAGGCCTAAATCAGCACACACTCGCCTAACTGTGTGGAGCTGTTCAGTGTCTCTAATAGACTTGATTCTGTGGTTTCTGACACTGTATGACTCACTGTTACCTATAAACATGGACTAAAGTACGTTAGCATAGCTAACAGCTGAACTGGAAGAATGAATTTTGTACTGAAATCAGCCAGAATTCAAAACGTAGCCATCACTACATCTGTTGTAAACACATCTTCTCACCTCTTACAGAGTCTCCAGAGAGAGATTTTCCAGTTTACAGACTAGAAAAAACACCACCTGATGATGTTGATCTTGAAGGTGAGCAGAACTTTTGAAAAACCATAAGTACTTTGGGGCGGAAACATGAGGGCGGTGCTGTTTGAAATGCAGAGAGAAGCCATGTAGCTAACGTTACTGCTAGGAAGAAACATATAGTGGCTATGCCAACAGTCAGGATTCCATATAAAAACACAGAAAGGATTAAAACGGTGAATTTTGTCATCATAACACCACAAATAAACTGCTGTTTTAAGCTGAAACAGCGCATTTTCTCAATCTTCTTAAATTCTCCTTTAAAGGCTCTTCATATATCATATGTTTCATATCTAAATGCTCCGTTATCTTCATCACTACTTTCCAAACCCACTGCAGCAGCTTCAGCAGCTGTAAACTCTCTGCACGCCGTTTCACATGAGTCTCCGATGTGGACTGAATGAAGAATGAAGGGTTTCCGGCGTGATGGTCAGTCCTTAGTGATTTCCTGAGTGTCCATTGGTCAGTTTCACACAGAATGTAGACGGACACACGAATCCACTAGTTCCACACGGTGAGAGGCAGATGACATATCTCAGCCCCTCTTCATAGGCTCATAACTCCGGATGTGAGTCTCGTATGATCTCGTGATAAGATGGAATGGAAAGGGCGACTCTACAGATTCAGGAAGTGTTTGAACTGGATTTCTGAGCTGGATCATCACAAAGATACAGACACAGATATAGAAACAGAGAATTTGAGGTGTGGGGGAGTCTGTGGTCCCCAGAGGGTTGACAGTAAAATATTTGTGAAACTTTATATTCACTGCTTGATTATATGTATATAGAGGCCTGTAGTGCAGGTCAAGAAATACCTCCAGTATCAAAGCCACCAACAGGTTGACCCACATTACAGAGGAGGTGAGCCACCAGCAGATGAAGTAGATCTTCGACCACCTGCAGGAAGAGAAATCAGCGAGATACTTGCATGTGTTGGAATATTAGCCTCGGTGTTACTTGGTATGTGATCAAAAAGAAAATCAGTAGCATCACACTTTAACTCATACGCATAAACATGATCATAAAGCAGGAACAGATGAAGGAAGAGGTCCAGTGAGTGGACACAAACTTACTCTGAAGTGGACTTGGAGTAGGCCTGCAGGTAAACCTGCCAGTTGTTCAGCACCATGATGTTGTACAGCAGAACCAGAGCGGACTGAAGATGACAGTAATGAAAGAATCAGACAAAAGTCCAGTACATTAAACAAGCTTATCATCGCTGTTGGAGCAAAACCTCGTATCTCTGAGGAAGTAACTTTACAGGAGAAGGAAAAAGCGTTCTTAAAGGTCAGTTTTACAGAGTCCCGCAGGGGACGAGGGGTAAAAATAAAAATTCATTTGCGTGAACGCACGTTTTCTTTTATTCATGGTCATGATTTCTTAATTCGTTAAACAATTTGTACATTATTATTTAATCATGCTCATGTTTTCTTTTATTCGCAGCCATGATTTCTTAATTTGTTCTTTCTATTTCTTTTTCAGTTTGAATTTATTAAACTCTCATCATTAGACCTCATTATGGCAGACCAAATTAGAAATATACAAATATCTATCAAATCTATTAAATATACAAATATCTATCAAATCTATTAAACTCTCTCACCATTTGACCTCGGGCAGAATTGATCCCAGGCCCTCATAGCAAGAAGGGAAGGGATCGATTCCAGGCCGGGTGAGCAGGGTCCTCTCTGTGTGGAGTTTGCCTGTTCTCCCTGTGTCTGTGTGGGTTTCCTCCGGGTACTCCGGTTTCTTCCCACAGTCCAAAGACATGCAGTTGAGCTAATTGGACATGCTAAATTGCCCCTGGGTGTGTGTGTGTGTGTGTGAAAGTGAATGTCTGTCTGTCTGTCTGTCTGTCTGCCCTGCGATGGACTGGTGACCTGTCCAGGGTGTATCCTGCCTTCCGCCCGATGGCAGCTGGGATAGGCTCCAGCACCCTACCGCGACCCAGAGGGATGGGCAGTTTGGTTGATGTGTGTGGGTTGACCATTTGACCTCCAGCCACATAAATGTGTGTTGCGTTTGAGGATGTTGAAATGTTGACGCTGAACATTTCTTGCTGTAATTGTGAGACGGCCCCCAACTCTGCAGCTTGGCGCGAGAGCAGAAACAGTGCTAAAGTGGTTGCACTGTCTCTTCACCTCTGTTAATATAATCATTAGAAAGCGCAGATTAGTGAAGGCTGTGGTTGTAGTTTACTGTCTTCCTTCATTTGACTGTGAAACTGCAGCTGCACTGATGAATCTACAGGCTGTTCCATGAAACTGTCTGGCGGGTTTTGATGAGCTAGTTTGATGCTACAGTTTCCTCATAACGCCCCAGATCAGAATCAGACCTAATGAGCATCACAGTCTGTTATCACATCAATCTAACACGTCAAAACCCGTCAGGCAGTTTCAGGGAACACCTCTCTTTTACACAGGACCAATAAAATGGTCTGTATGTACTATGTTATTTTTGTTCATGCATGATTCTAAAGAAAACATGCACAATAAAAAAAAACGAGAATAAAATAAAAAATCGTGGCCACAAATAAAAGAAAACAGAAACCAAGAATACAATTAAATTAAAAGAAAATATATATATAATTAAAAGAAAACAAGAAAATAAATTGTTGATCATGGGACTTCAGAAAACATGAAAACATGCGTACAAATAGCAAAACTCTGTACAATGTAAGTTAATGTAATAATATTTTACTGCAAGTCATTTGGGAGCTTTTCTGTTGGTTCATTCATCATGAAATTTTGACATACTGTAAAAAGCAAATTTTCAAAATATGTAAAAAAAAATTAGATACAAGGTTTTGATCCTACAGCAACGCCATGGTTCTGTAAACTTAGCCAGAACATCTCTCAATAGAACAATTAAACATTGAATGCATTCTGATGTCCCAAACAGAACCAGGCTGCTCACTGCAACCTGTCAGCTGCTGTAGTTAAAGCGTCGTATAAAGAGGAGCTTTAGTATTGATCACAGTGTATGTGCTTACAGTGGACTGTGTATTGATTACAGTCAGCACACAGTCAGGGCTGAGGACTCACTGTTTTCAGAGCCAAAAAATATTGTCAGCCGTCCCAAAGTGAAAACATTGAACTGCTTTGTTGACGTTACACTCTAAGTACACATTGATTAAAACATCTCTCTCATACTCACTGCAAAGTCATCAAAGTTATTAGACCAGTATCCCAGCTGCTCATACGATCCACACTTCATTTTAGTGGTGTTGATGTTGGAGCTGAGTCAGGAACACAGACAGGGTTCCACTGATTAGAACATTTCACACCAAACCTTTGTTTACATTTTATTTACTCAATTATGAAGACATTTGAAAAATCATAACAAAGAAACACTCATTAATAATCTGACACACCTAAATGCCATTAAATCTTGATTATAATGTTTATACCTGTGTACATGTTATTACAGTAATGCTCAGAAATATCCACTTAGATATACAAGTGATGATTATTATACCATAACCACTCAGTTAAGGGTACCTGATGTTAGCAGGAGCTGTGATTGCCCCTTTAAAGAGCCAAACGCCGAGCACTGCAAACACATAATACACCACCTACAGCACAGAGGAGGCCAGAGACACGTATGAATCATTATATGTATTCCTGCATAAAGTGTGAAGCTCTGCTGCTGGTTGTTAAAGCTCTAAATGACCTTAAAGCTCCTGAACGTCTGTTTATGATCTCAGATCTGCAGATTCTGACCTTCTGAACTCCTTCAGTAAAACACAGAAAACGTGGAGAGACTCTTTCAGTTATTCTGCTTCTAAACTGTGGAGCTCAGCTCAGCTTTTATTAGACAGTCGAGCTCAGAGCTCACTTTTAATAAACATCTGAAAACGCAGCTCTTTAACTCAGAGCTTCAGTGAAACTCAGTGAAAGTCATATAAGTCAATAACACAGATCAGATTAAAGAGATAAAGACCAAAGAGCCGTCTTTCTGGTCTTTATCTCTTTGATCTGATCTCTGTTATTGACTTATATGACTTTAAATATTAATACTCATAGTTTCTTCTGTTGCTGTTAAGCTTTATCTCCTGTCTGTAAAGCACTCTGAGCTGCCACTGACATGAAAAGTGCTCTATAAATGCAGATATTATTATTATTATTATTATTATTATTATTATTATTATTATTATTATTATCTTAATGTGCTGTTGTATTTGTAATCTGCAGTACACAGTAAACCCTACAGTGTTAACTTAGTAGCTAAAGAGTTCATTTCAGCAGCACTGAGGACTGAATACAGTCACACACAGTAAACATCAGACTGTTCACACTCAGAGGTGGAAAGTGATGAATTCACTCCTCAGTATTTGAGTAAATTTCTCTCTAACAGTCCTTTTCTGGACAGAATTAAATCACAGTACTTTTACCTGAGTTCATTTCTGATAAAGTATTTCTGCTTCCCTATTTGAATCTTTAATAACATTACAACAATAAATAATAAATAACAATAATGTGCATTTCTGCTCATAAACCAATTACAGGAAAGTACAGTTAAATCTAAAAGACCCTGAAAACCAATCAGAACAGAGCAAAAACACTTCAGCACTGAGTTCAGCGACGAGACGTTTAGAGGAGAAATAATGGAGAGAACGTTAGCAGCGAGGAGCGGACTTTACTCAGTCATCTTCATTCTTCTTTAAATAGCTAGGATAGCGGCGCTAATATTAGCAGCTAACTCAGAAACCAGCCAAGATCTCTGCTTTTAAACTGGGTTTATGTTTCTGCACTTTATGGGTTTAGCAGCGGAAAACAAAGCACACAGCTATAAAAGAGCTAATATAAAATGCCCACCACTAATATTCCAGCAAAAGCTCTGAGATTCTTCACCAGGTCCAGCACAGTGCTGGCCACCAGGGCCATCAGCTAAAAGACACACAGAGACGTCATTACAGTAGCATTTCATACACATTTCCCATTTATCCCACTCTAGTCTGATATTATCTCTGATGTCTACATATGGCCTGACCTTACCTTATTGTTTGTCTTAAAGTTAGCCAGTGTCCAGAATTTGAAAGAACAGTTTGGTACCATATTTCAAAATAAGGTCTCACTTGCTGTCAACAAACGCCTAGATGCTGATTGTTTTGTACTTCTGTTGGCCCAAAAATAACAGCACCATCAAAAGTGCAGTGTAAAACACTCACTGTACTAGCACGCTTATGGGATTTGCAGTAATATGTTAGCGCCAAGCGAATGATGAGCTAATGATATTGGGGCTTCTAACAAACAGTTGAAGAATATAACTGTTTATAGCTGAAATTAAGCGTGGGTTTCACCAACAGGGGTTAAATTAAGCAGAGTTTAGAGCTAATCAAGGATTTGTTAATCTAGGTTTCATTTTAAACCGAGTTGTGTTGCACCACGTAATTTTAAACATGGATTAAGAAGTGATCAAAGCCTTAATCTGAGATTAAAACCTTAACCAGCCATTCATTTTGATTGATGGATGTGGCAGTGTAAACAAACAGCAACATGACTCTCCACACTAATCACTGTCTGTATTGATGATCTCCTAATGGGATCTAAAGGTGTCCCACAGGAAACTAGTTGTCACTAATGACGACAATCTTCAGCTTGGTTTTCGTGAGTTTCTGTAGAAGCCTGTTTGTTTTTTCTGCAAATAAACCCGACGTTATGTCTTAAACTCAGGATAGGTTTTATTTTAAAAATTAACGTATTTAATTACATTATTATTATTATTAGTAGTAGTAGTAGTAGTAGTAGTAGTAGTAGTAGTAGTAGTATGACAATGTTAAAATATATTCAGTGTTAGTCTTGTTGCCCAACAGTATGTGTTTCACTGTTTTTGCTCATTAAACTGAGAAAACACTGTCGTGGCAGAGCGGCACTGACATCATCGATAGGCTGACGGTGCATGTCAGCTCTGTGTCAGCAGAGGGCACCGTTTAACCAGCACTGAGAATATTTTAAAAAACAAATTGCTGCTGTCGGAAGAAAACCTTTTATCTCCATTTTTGTAGTTTTTCAGTTTTTGACATACTTTGAAAATGCCTTTTATCCCTATACATTGTAGGTATATTTCATGATGAATGGACCAAAAGAATCGACCCAAAATGACTTGGAAAAAGTCTGGTTCCATTGACTTACATTAAAAGTAAAGTATGTTTTTTCCTTCTCCTGTAAAGTTACCATTTTGGAGATACGAGGTTTTCTTCCAACAACAGCAAAATGCTCTGTGTGTTATTCTGTAAGTTGCAGTTTTACAGTAACAGGTCAATAATTACTTAAATCTAAAGCTTAATACAGAGAATTATTAGAGTAGCCAGTTAGCCTGTTAGCTCGGTTAGCTATCCACCAAGCTGTTCATCCTCGATCACCTAGTTCAACAAAACCACGATCCTACATGGAGGATATTCAGTCTTCAGCTGTTACCTCATCTATACGCAGTTTGTTACTGTAAAACATGTTTTAGTGAAACCCGCTGCTGTTTATGTTCTTCTGTTTCAGTGACGCACACAAAAGCTACTAGAGTGCTAATAGCGCCCCCTTGGGGGGAGAATCGTTAACCATCAGGGAGTGAGTTACTACAAAGTCCTTATAAATGTTCTACGTTTTATATTATATGGGGGTCATAGTTTCATTCAGATTTTCTGTTCTGCACATTTTTAAACACATTCTGTAAATTTAAACCACCGAATTCGGAATCTTAAACTTAATCCCTGAATGAAGTTTAATCTGAGTTTATAGTAACGGTGCAACAGGATTAAATTTAATCTAGATTTCCTGCAAAAGTAATCTGTGAATGATGGTTTAAATCTATTTAAGTTTGATGCAACATGATCAACAGATAAACCTTGATTTAATCCAAGATCCCTGTTGGTGCAGACAACCCTCAGTGTTGTAGTTCATATATGGGCAAAGCAGCAACAGATACAGACTGATTGCTCTGTTAGTTTCAGGGCCAGACTAAGAGCCTTTGGTCCTGGCATTAGAGTTATGGTGCCCTGCCCTCACTCACTCTGCAAACATTACCTATCACACAGACCACGTATTCACTGAGTCACCTTGTCACCGTTTTGCTGACTTCTACTATTCATTTTTCACAAAGTATCTCACTGAACTCACATCAACTCCTCAGCTTAAGATGAGCCGGGTATTTAGATGAGAGGCCTTCAGCTCATCGGACAAACACCTCTTTATATCACAGATGCTAAAACCACGATTTTGTCTCTGTTTTATTCACACAGACGCAGTCGTCTATCCAAATTTAAAGGGGAACTCCGCCAATATTTCAAAAATTCTGTGTAATTAAATGGTTGAGATGTAAACAGTTGAGTGGTTCAGAGCGGTTCAGAGTGGTTTGGTGTGAAACGCTCCGTTCTAGAGAAACTTACCGAGTCAGAACTGTTCACAGTGGTGGTGATAGGAACCAGACGTCCACCTCTAAAAGCTCCCTCACAGAAAGTTACTACATGAAATGGTTATGAATTCACTGCCTGATGACTGAGACACTGTTTTATGATAGTTTAGAGAACTTAAACTCCATTCATGGTGGAGGGATACATGCAGGGCGCTGTGAGGCAAAATAGTCCCCAAAGAAAACTTATTATTTCAGATTTTCCACTATTTTCCATCATCAACATTCCTTATAAACTCAGAAGACTCGTGTAGGTTCACTGGTGGTTCTGGATAGTAAATAAAATGGCTATATTTGTGTTGTAGTCATGGCGACCCCTGGTTCCTATCACCACCACTGTAAAGAGATCTGAACCATTTCACACCAAACCACTCTGAATCTCTCTGTTTACATCTCACACACTGAAACATGCAGAAATTTTGAAAAACTGGTGGAATTTAAAGCACACATAATGATGGTTTTATGGTATTTACAGCTGGATTATTATACATAGACTGACTTGTGTGTTACGTAATTTAAAATAATGAAATGTTTAAAAAATGTGTTATGTTTTATGTCTTTTGTGCTGCATCCATTACGATTCTTAATTCTATTAGGTGAGCAATGAGCCCCCCATGTTATGTCATTAATGTCTTAATCAGGGTGTGAGGTTGTATGTCTGGTGGTTCTTGTATGACATGCAGTCTGGGTTGCCCTCAAAAAAAAATTCCCCTGGTGGGACAAGGTAATCAAATCCAATCAAATCAAATCAAATGTGTTGTCTGATAATTACATTTTTTACAAGTTTTTAAAGTGCTACCCCAGGCTGTCACCCAGGTCACCCATATGGTAGATCTGGCCATGGTTAGTTTGCTATAGCCGTTAGGTTATGGTACACATCAACATTTAAATGTGACCAGTAGCTGGACAGCTCGTTACCTTCAGCAGAATTACTGAAACCTGAATTTTGTCTGTACTTTTGTCCATGTTTATAGATAAAAGTCTGTCATACAGTGTCAATAAACTAACACTGTCTGTGTTTACATGCAAAGATTTTGCTAATCTAATTGAATACATTCTGATTATAGATTTAGACTGAGGTGTTTATTCTCACTCTGCTCAACAATCTGAGGAAAATCTCTATTTACATGCTCACTAAGAAGTAATCAGATCCAAAATGACGCGCATGCGTAGAGAAACGCTTAGTGTAGACGTTACCATGACGACCAGCATCACGTGAGTCCAGTCAGAGTGAGATGAGCAGCAGTGAGCAGTGCTTGTGTTTTTAATGACTTTAAAATGATGTCAGACTCAGGAAAACGTCCTTCACATGTCCTTATTAAAGAAGGCCGAGAGGAAGACGTCGTGTTCTGAGACACATAAGCTGGACGTCCGTCCCACCGCCGTCTTTTAAAGATCAGAGCATAAACTTCGTCTCCTCTGCAGACCAGTTTCTGCTCCGCCATGTTGAACGGTATAAACTTTCACTATGATGTGACGAACATGATCAGAACGGACTTAAACTTTCCGATAGGGAATGTAATCAGATACAGACGTTTACACGGATATTATTCTTCTATTTAACGGATATTTACAGGATTACCCACCTCGATCAGTCGGATAGAAACTGTATTCTGAATGGCCTCAATCGGACTAGACTATTCAGATTGAGGCGTTTACATGGACGGATTCTATTCTGGTTGAGCTATTAGGATTATTAATGGATTATTAGACTGCATGTTAATGTGGCTACTGTTTAAAAGTGACCAGCCATGATTGGACAGCCAACCTTAATGTTGAGGATGACCCGTAAGAAGCGGAAAACGACAAGCATGTTCATGAGCCGAGCCGTTTCCCACAGAGACAGCAGACCTTTCTGACTGGAGCTCCTGCAAAACACACACACACACACACACACACACACACACACACACCTTAAACACACACAGGTGCGATTCTAGGATCAGAGCTTTAGGGGTGCCCACCCAATGAGAATGGATCTCACCAGCTGGAGCTCGGCAGCCACATCAGAGCAAAGACGTACACCTGAAGAGCCTTTAGAGAGAAAAACAGACAAAGGGCCTGTATTTATTCTCTTTTTCCCCTGTAAGTCACTCGTTTTCTGCATATCACTGCTGTCAGAACAAAACCTCAAATCTCCAAATGATAACTTTTTCATTTGTCTTGTTTGATTTTGTTTGATTTTAGTGTTAAATTGTTTGTGTAGTTCAGCTCATTTTAGTTTAAACTGATTAAACTTCATTTTATTTTATTTTCAATCCATTTGAGCTGTAAATGCTGGGCTGCGCTGAAACCCTCGATGTGTTTCAGAGTGAAAATAAAGGCTGACTGATACTGTCAAACTTTATTTCTTAAAAAAGGGGCTTCTATGATTCTTTAAATAATTATGTAATGTAAACAGTGTATAGCGATATGACAGAGGGTAATCTGAATGAAGAGCTGTCACTCTGTCACTCTGTCACTCTGCGTTTTGGACAGCAGTAATAACCCTAATGCACCTACGAGCAGTAGAAGAGTGAGGCAGCTGTCAAAGATGTTGATCCAAAAGGAGAGGAACCTCCTCCAGCCTGCGGCAACCAGCTTCACCGCCAGCTCAGACACGTAACAGGCAACGAAGAAGCAGTTTATTAACTTAGAGATAAAACAGAACAATCAGCTCAGAGTTATTCACTACTGATCATTCATATCAAATACTGTTGTTCTGCAGGTTTGCAGAAAAAGCTAATTTATTGGTATGTGCGTGTTTAGGTTTTAGTTATATCATAGAAACTGAGCTACATTTATAACAGTATGTACCTCAGTGTAGTGTCTCTCTCGCTGTGCCGGAGTCTTGTGAGAGTCTATTACCAACATTGTCTGAAAAAAAAGAAATGATATTGGTAAACTGGTGATGGATGTGAAAGGTTTGTGATGGTCATGCAGGATTTGACCACTAGAGGTCACTGTGAGCACACATTTTACACTCACAGGTCACTGAATAGTCAGGGATATTTGGTTAAGTTGAATTAAGTCATTTATGCCCAAACACTTCAAAAAGTACAGTAAGAAAATTAGCCACATATTTCGTTCTGTTGTGCAGAAACAGTTAAAATTTAGTGACAGGTCACTGCCTGTCCAACCAATATCTGGTCCTTTTATTAACCCTTATTATTGTTTCATATCTCTCATATTGATCAAAGCTGCAATTTTGGACAAAAATCCTGAAATAACTTCAGACAATAATTTCTCTCAAAATCTTACATATATCCATAAGTTACATATATATTATTGTAGCTTGGCTTGTTCTGAATCAGGCAGAACCATTTGTTTATTCCAGTTGTTGCAAGAGTCATTTGGTTACTGTACTTTTTTAGTCTTTCATCCAAAAGGGTAACTTTTTATTGTAGATTTTCAAAAAAAAAAAAGAATGTTCTGTTTATCTCAATTAAATTAAATTCTCATGAAGTGATAAAATGAGCCAATATCTCAACAAACCACCATCAACATTTTAATTACCACCTTCACACACACACACACACATATACACACACACACACACACATACACACACACACAAAACACACAGAGTGTGTGGTGTCTATAAATGCTTCCCTTAAGATCCCCTTTTTTGTCTCTCCTTAAAACCCTCTGTACACAGACACACACAGAACACATATATACATATAATCTCTCTGCTGTCTGAACAAAACCTCAGATCTGTCTCAGATTGTTGTTTTTCAGTTTTTGACATAATTTGAAAATGCCTGTTGCCCTTTGCACTGTGTTGAAATGTCATGATCATTGGGCCAAAAGAAACGGCCCAAAACCACTTGGAAAAAAGTCTGGTTCCATTGACTTACATTAAAAGTAAAGTAAGTTTTTTCCTTCTCCTGTAAAGTTACCATTTTGGAGATATGAGGTTTTCTTCCGACAACAGCGACATATATACACACATATGCACACACACACACATATATATATATATATATATATATATATATATATATAAAAAACAACATGTTATATGGTGTAAAACAGTTTTCTGGGCAGTAAGTGTGATTTCGTGTTTTTGCTAGTAACATTTGAGTAAATACAAATAAACATAAATACAGTAGAATCTGTAGGTGCACAGGTTTGGTTCCTGACTTCTCACTGCTGTCCAGCGTCACATTGATTAGTTCAGTTCCATCAACTGATTTAATTTAATGATTAGATTAAATTGTTGATTAGATGAAGCAGTTGATTAGATACTGGACTTCCTCCAGGAGAGATTTGTACACGCCCACACAGAACAATCACAGTGGACTGTTTGCTTGTTTATTTGTATTTATTCTAATGTTAGTGTTTTTGAACGAATACGTGCTTAAAGCTGAGATAAACAACTTTACAGATTGTTGTCTTTTATATATGTAATATTCTCTCTTACAAAAATGCAGACGACGTTAGCGAGGGCCACTGTGTTGGTCAGAACGCTGAATGTTTTGCTGCTGGAGAAACGCTGGAGTGCGCTGAGGAACCTGGAGGAGTACAGCGGAACCGCAGGACGCTAAACACAACACAAACACACAGACGCACACAAACAGTCCTTCATCAACACCACTATTACACAGCAGCGTTTATAACTCAGTAATTACCTCATGAAGTCTGTCTTTGTCCAGTTCCTCAAACAGAGCCTGAAACGCGTCTCTCTCCATCAAACCACTGTAGGACCGCAGCGCTCGCTGTGCAGAGGGCAGAATTTCAAATTAAGACCAAGAAACAAACTACATGACACACAGAATGATTCATTAGTTTTTGTTTGTTACTAAATCGAAAATTTAGTTTATCAGATGTATTTCAATGCTATCAAAAATCAATAGCACAGATTTCATTTGATCTTTATTTCCCTAAATATATACATTAATATAAATTTAGGGTTTGAGCAGTTCCTCTGGGGGTCTTCAATTGGCTCTTTATGGGGTCTTTAATAAAGACAGAGGTTATATATACAACATGACAACTCTATATACCACTACCTGCTGTTACAGGTCATAGAACCTTTTTTAAGAGTGTACCTTTATAATGGCCTGTCTGTAGTAGGAGCTCATCTTCACCCTTTTCATGACCTTCACTATAGTCTTCACACGAGCCGTCTCACTGCAGGACCACAGAAGAGCCATTTACACTCCCCGTCCACTTTATTAGGAACACCCACCTTGTGCTTCCACTAACTGGCCACTTTATTAGAAACACCTACCTGGTAGTTCCACTAACTGGCCACTTTATTAGAAACACCCACCTTGTACTTCCACTAACTGGCCTTTAGAAAATGCCCAACACCAACTGTACAAGAACAGACGAGCTCCATTGTGTAACTGTACACCAGCATAGAGGAGCTTTCAGAGACGGGTTTCTGATAAAGTGAATAATGTTTGAGAATAATCAAAGTCACCCCCCCCCACACTGATCATCAAAGAATCCACAGAAACAGTAGCTCCTGAGCCGACATACGTTTTAGCCTCAGAGTGGTGCGGTGGTTGGACCTCAGTGCTCAGGAGCTCAAAAGCTGCACGGATCCCCATCCTCCGCCTCAGAATGGACGCCTTTATGGACAGCTGTAAACCGGTCAGATTAAATTAGTCTTCACATTTCAAATTACATCCTATATATATCCTCCTTAAATCCTTATAGTTTTTGTGTAAGTATTTATCCTAATACATTAACCTGTTAACATTTAAGTAAACAGAAAGGCCAAAGGGTCTGTGTGTGGTACCTTATTTTTTCACATGTAAGTGTACTCGTTCAGTAAAGTGACTCTGGTTCTGGTTCTGACTGTGATGACCCGGCTCAGTAAAGCGCAGGTGTTAGAATGCATGTGCTCACCAGCAGGTAGCCTCTGAACTGGTTGTAAATCACTGCGGTCAGGAGATGCATCAGAAAGTACGTCCCTGAACATCAGGAGGAGAGAGTTCCCTCAGTAACGACACTGTAAATACAGCTCACACATCCGTCAACAGTAAACAACAATAACTCCACACACACCAGATACACAGCTCTTACCAAACCCACTGTAGAGAATAAAGAACAGGGAGTACAGTCTGTTAGTGGAGTAAGCAGGAATCATCACTGCAGAGGAGAGGAAAAGATCAGAGTCAGAACTTTACATTATGTGAGTGGAAGCACAAGGTAGGTGTTTCTAATAAAGTGGCCAGTTAATGGGAGCACAAGGTAGGTGTTTCTAATAAAGTGGCCAGTGAGTGTAAACACAAGGTGGGAGTTTCGAATACAGTGGCCAGTTACTGGACACACAAGGTGGGTGTTTCTAATAAAGTGGCCAGTTAATGGGAGCACAAGGTAGGTGTTTCTAATAAAGTGGCCAGTGAGTGTAAACACAAGGTGGGAGTTTCGAATAAAGTGGCCAGTTAAAGGGAGCACAATGTAGGTGTTTCGAATAAAGTGGCCAGTGAGTGTAAACACAAGGTAGGTGTTTCTAATAAAGTGGCTAGTGAGTGGAAGTACAAGGTAGGTGTTTCTAATAAAGTGGCCAGTGAGTGGAAGTACAAGGTAGGTGTTTCTAATAAAATGAGCCAATCAGTGTAAACACAAGGTGGGCTTTTCTAAAAAAGTGGTTGAGGAGTGTATGTTCACCGTCGGGGTTGTTGGTGGTGGTCAATAGGACCAGTAGAGAGGTCAGGGACTGTGGCAGGTCTCTGAAGTAGCTCTCCCATTCAGCATTCACCTCAGAGTCCTACAACAGCAACACAGACATGAGCTTGCTTCCCCTCTAAAGATGGTCTGCTATTAAAGCACAGTAACAGAGACAGAACCTCTCCTCTGGCGAACAGCAGCATGCCAAAGATGGTGAACAGAGCCAAGTGCAGGATCAGCAGCAGCACAACACTGGAGAGAAGAGGAGAGGAACACTCAGCCTAATGCAGCTCGTTTTCCTTGTATGAAGTTTCCTACAGCTTTTCCTTATTTTAGTCCTAGTGGCAGCTGCATTCTGAATCAATTCATTATGAAGCTCGACTGGTCCAAACAACAGAACTGTACTGAATCGATCGTGTTTTGCATCGACTTATCAGACGTATTTGTGACTGTGACAACCCGCCCCTGAGTCTGTTACAGTTAACCCCACATGGAGGGTAAGTTGTAAAGTTCTTTCAGCTGACCTGCTCTGAAACAGTAAGAGCTCGGAACACAGTCTACATTTGCATTTCATCCTCTTGGAAAGTCAAACTCTAACTTGGTTCTATAAGGTTCTATCTGCAAGCCAATCAGCATATGTGCAAGAGGACCAGTCAGGTTCTGTTGCTTTGTCCTGTCTCTGCACTGCTCAGCGACTGCGGGACGAGTTTATAAACCTTTGAGAAACATGGAAACATGTTGCTGAAACTCTGCCTGTCGTCTTACAGCTCTTTAAAAAGTCTCACTGTCTTAAATGTAATAAATATTAAGCCTTAAAGGTAATTAAATAGTAAACAGCTAAACTGATGCGGTCTTAACTACCACATAAATATAAATATATATACAAACATAAATATCAATACAACATAAATCCATCATCTTTTTCTTCTTTCTCCCAAAATAAGACGTTTTGGCTCATTAAAGTCACATTTTTGATATAAAACTAAACCTCACAGTGCCTTTAGACTGACCTGCTACACTGACCTGCTACACTGACCTGCTGGGACAGATTATTACAGTAGCTGTTTTCCTAAAACTGACCTCTGCACTGGACAGAATAATTGGCACTGACCTATATACTTAATCTGCAATGATTTTTGGAATAAGAAAAAGATGATTTGTCCTAAAACAAGAAATGAATGATAAAAAATAAACAAACAATAAAAATTAATGTCATAATAATGTCTTAGAAATCATTAAATTTAAGGTTCTGATAATGTAGACACTCTGACACTCTGCTTGGTTCTATCTGCATTTGACCTGTTCCAAAAAACTAATTTATGAATCCTCTAGGATTTTGATATCGTACATTTAGAATACATTTAGCGTGTCTGTCACTGTCATGTATGAAGAGGTGTGTTCCACATATCAGTTCTGCTATTTGGAATCCAAGATCTTTGAAGCTCAGTATTTCAAAACTGCCCAGGACACAGACAGAACCTCATCATTCCAGGGGACGATTTGTAGCAGAGATGTGTCAGTTTGCTTGTATAAAATATACGAATCCTCCTATAATAGTTTTAAAGTTCTATAGTAAAAACAGAAGGTGTTCCTTTGTGCCCCGTTCTCCTCCACTACACTTTCTAAGACACGTCTGTTCCCTGATCCTCAGTGTCAGTGAGTCTGAGAGCGCTGTAGGAGGTAGAGTATGAATACCTGGCGATCTGTGGGAGAGTCATTTTAATGCACTTTAAAGTTTTCTTCATTAGTGAGGAATTCTGGAGCAGAAAGAACGGACGCAGTATCCTCCTCAGATGGAGATTATGCTGAGAAAACACAGAAAAACTGAGTTATTGAATTATTCAGCATCTTCTATGAATTATTCAGTATCTACTATGAATTATTTAGTATCTTCCATGAATTATGCAGTATCTACTATAAATTACTCAGTATCTACTATGAATTATTCAGTATCTAATATGAATTATTCAGTATCCAATATGAATTATTCAGTATATATTATAAATTACTTAGTATCTACTATGAATTATTCAGTATCTTCTATGAATTACTCAGTATCTACTATGAATTATTCAGTGACTACTATGAATTATTCAGTGACTAGTATGAATTATTCAGTATCCAATATGAATTATTCAGTGACTACTATGAATTATTCAGTATGTACTATGAATTATTCAGTATCCAATATGAATTATTCAGTGACTACTATGAATTATTCAGTATCCAATATGAATTATTCAGTACCTACTATGAATTATTCAGTATCCAATATGAATTATTCAGTACCTACTATGAATTATTCAGTATCCAATATGAATCATTCAGTATCCAATATGAATTATTCAGTACCTACTATGAATTATTCAGTACCTACTATGAATTATTCAGTATCCAATATGAATTATTCAGTACCTACTATGAATTATTCAGTATCTACTATGAATTATTCAGTATCCAATATGAATTATTCAGTACCTACTATGAATTATTCAGTATCTACTATGAATTATTCAGTATCCAATATGAATTATTCAGTACCTACTATGAATTATTCAGTATCCAATATGAATTATTCAGTGACTACTATGAATTATTCAGTATCTACTATGAATTATTCAGTATCCAATATGAATTATTCAGTGACTACTATGAATTATTCAGTATCCAATATGAATTATTCAGTACCTACTATGAATTATTCAGTATCCAATATGAATTATTCAGTACCTACTATGAATTATTCAGTATTTACTATGAATTATTCAGTATCCAATATGAATTATTCAGTAACTACTATGAATTATTCAGTATCCAATATGAATTATTCAGTATCCAATATGAATTATTCAGTATCTACTATGAATTATTCAGTATCCAATATGAATTATTCAGTACCTACTATGAATTATTCAGTATCCAATATGAATTATTCAGTACCTACTATGAATTATTCAGTATCTACTATGAATTATTCAGTATCCAATATGAATTATTCAGTACCTACTATGAATTATTCAGTATCTACTATGAATTATTCAGTATCCAATATGAATTATTCAGTACCTACTATGAATTATTCAGTGTCTGAAGCAGAAAGAACAGAAATTATGATGAAAAAAACACAGAAAAACACCAAAAGGCCAGCATTTTAAATGGATCTACACTCTTAAAAAGATGGTTCTTTAAGGGTTTTTCAGTAAAGACATTTAAAGAACCATTTACATGCTTACAGCGTTCTTTGCATGGTGAAATGGTTCTTCAGATTGATTGAGAACATTTATAATATGGTTCTATATAGAACCTTTTTGAAAAGGGTTCTATATCGCACCAAAAAGTGTTCTCCTACTCTAACAAGCTTGACAGTGTAACAGAAGAACCCTATTTGGTGTTACACAGAGCCAACACGTTCTCCATCAATCGGAAGAACCAGGCCACCATGCAAAGAACACTGTAAGTATGCAATAGTTTGAGTGTTTATGGTTCTATAACAATCTTTTTAAGAGTGTAGTGCTCTATCTGCCCATGAATAAAGATGAAATATTTAAAAAATGACAAAATGAGACGTAAACAAAACATTCAAGAACAAACAGTAAAAAGCTCATAACATCTTTTAGACATTTATATCACAATTCATTCACTTTTACACGACCCCTCATTATCTCTCAAAATGAAACTCTGCTTTTAAGACCGATATATGTAAATAAGCGCGGCTCTGATTGGCTGTCCTATAGTGCTCTTCAATTAAAAAGCAGGCTAAAACGCTCAGAACTGCAGTGAGTGGGCGGAGCTAAATTGCTGTTGGCTGAATGGGTGAACATGTTTAAGGTGCTTGTTTTAATGACATCACAAGGACTATGAATTTAAAATGGGCTGTTTATGCAGCTTAGTTTCCATATATGGACTCTATGCACTGAGGGGCGAATGTTATAAGTGTTTATAAACATCACTCTTGTGATGAAAACTCAGTTTTCTCTGATACTCTGATGCTCTTTAACTGCAGTTGTGGGCAAAATGGAAAACAGAAGAAACTCTGACAGTAATATACGATTCACACTTCTTCACAGATGTTATTCATGGCCACCGTCCAGTCAACAGCAGACAGCAGGATGACCAGCATATATCCCATCAGCCACTTGCACCTCCAAAACTCTTCCCAACCAACCAGATAAAACTAGGGAAACACACACACACACACACACACACACACACACACACAGTATTACGGAAAATGGAGTAGACAATAAAAACAACAGCAAATAAAGTTATTGATTTATTTAGTTTACTCATTTTTTTTTCATTATGCCGTCCTTCAATATTTCATCAATACGAGTTCTTGTGTAAACTATACTGCTGCACACAAACTCAGTGCTGTTTTAAGTAAGGAGGTGTTTGGAGAGAGTTTGTGGAATGTTTGTCTGATGTGAGAGGAGCTTTCCCACCTTTACAGAGAGATCCAGCGTGAGAAAGAGGAGACACAACATCTCCACAGCCTCCGTCACTCCACACGGGGCCTCCACAGTGGGCTGCTTATAGCGCAGATCAGAGGTCACGGACAGGGAGGAGGGCGTCTCCACCAGCGCGAGAGAGAGGAGGAGAGCAATGACCGCTTTCAGAGCCCTACACAAACACGCAGAGAGATAGTTAACACTTAGAGACTGCAGTTACTGAGAGGAGGAACAGAGCGTGCTGTAATAATTAGGAAGATCTGGATGGTTTATTAAAGGGCCCATAACTTACATTTTCTCATATTTAAAAAGCAGAGCTGCTTATAACTTCAGCCTGAACGGGTAAATATTTGTAAATGAGTTTGTTTTTGTGACATCACAAAAACAATTAATTCAAAATGGACCGTTTTTCAGTATAGTTTAAATATTTGGACTGGTGAACAGTATGTTTTGAAACTTTTATATTTTTACCATGTTTACATACTATATCAAACTTTCTTATTTAAAAAAAGGAAAATGTATTTTGCCATGATGTGTGCTCTTTCATATAAATCATATTTAAAATAAATGACTCACCACTGGAAGATCCTTGAGAAGTACCATCTGTAAATTTGAATTGACCTTTGGTCCATGCGATGATTGATGGATCTATACTGAGAAAATAAAATTACACAAAAAAACAAAAATGACATGAACAGCATCGTTTTCAACTCCACACAAAACACATTCAGATGAGACAGATGTTGTTTACTAATAGTTGATGTTTTCATACGTTAATGGCGTCTTCTATCAGCACCACAGCCTGCTGCAGGTTCAGCTCTTCTTCTGGAGAAAGAACAGACACTTTTACAGGATTCAGATTTCTACAGTGTTTTCAAAACCCAGGACAGTATCAATACGCCTTTACCAGTTTTGTTTTGACACTGGCTGCAGCTTTTGATACAATTCACCATAATATTTTAATAGACAAGCTTGAAAACACAGTCAGTTTAGAGAGACAAGTTTCTGCCTTTAGGTTTTACTTGACAGACTGCTTTCAATTTGTCAGAGTAAATGGACAGTTGAACTGAACATAGAAGTACGCAATATGGTGTCCCACACGGCTCTGTTTTAGGGCCCTTACTGTTCTCCCTTTATAGCTCCCAGGTACATAATACATAAACAAAGTGTTGCCTTTCACTTTGTGCTGATGATGCTCAGTTATGTGTCAGCTCAAGCAAATTCAAGAAAACAGTTACACGTAATGGAAGACTGTGTTAAAGACGTAAAGTCCCCCCGCTAAACTCTGATAAAGCAGAAGCACTGCTGATGGGTCCTAATGTAACTCAAAATAAGGTTGCAGATTTTGTCTTTGACCATAATATTTTTTTAGTGTAACCAAAAGCTGCTGTTAGATTCCTTGACGCTATATAGCGCTGGATAGAGTGTCATATCAATAATATCTCTAAGGCATTCTATCGTTTGAGAACATGCTATCCCTACACTGTCAGAGAAAAGGGGACAGTGCAAGTACATTTTTCATTCATCAAGGTAGAAATGTAGAGTAAATGTACCATCAAAAGCACATCAGTCCAATTGTTTATCTTATTTTTTTGCAATTTATTTACTTTTTCATGGCCTAATGTTTAAACAATAAAAAAAAAGTCACGTCAAAATAAGAGTCAAGGCAGGGTGTATGGAGTCAATACAACTTAATATTATTACAATGGAATGTGGTACAGTCATGCTCCCTGACTAAAGGTACTGAAGACATAGTCTTGAGGGTTCCACCTCAGTGACAGTGTAGTACCCTTTTTCTGAGAGTGTACAGAGAAATAAGTTCATGCTTTGTTCATTATGAACTAAATACTTCATTGGTTGATTAGTTCAGTGTGTTTCTGGGTGGTTGCTGCTGAAGAAGTCTTTCCGCAAACATCTAGGATGTTTCGGCTCAGTGAGTGGAAGATGTGTTTATTTATAGAGCTTCTAAACTCTGGAAAAGCATTCTAGAAAATATCAGGAGTACAAGCTCAACAGCTGTTTTTACATCCACATCAAGAACATATTTGTATTTGCTAGCACATGCCTGGAACTATAATGCTTCATTTTTTCCTAGTCAACCATAACAGAAAGGGCTCCATTATGATACTGAAAAAAATACTGATTTGTAACAATAGGGGAACCCTTTTTGGTGCTGTACAGAACCATTTTTAAAAGGGTTCTTTAATCCCTAAACGGTCTAGGGCCCACCAGCAGGCCCAAAAGTTTACTACACACTTCTATAGCCAAAGAATAGTTTAACCAGTTTTGAATTGGATGAAGTGCCTGTAGTTACTGAATAATAAGCCTTAGTATGCAATAAGCCTGAGATTTTAAGGGGTTAAAGAAGCAGATACAGCTGAAGAACCATGTGCCTGTGCAGTGATTTTAAACAGAACCATCGCATTTACTAAAGAACGCTTGAAGAAGCTTTTTAAAAGAATGATGTTGTTTGTACTTGTGCTGTTATTTTCATTTAGACTGGCCTTCTTGCATAAAGACCTTTGAGAACTTTGAGATTCTGTAAATAGAATAAAAACAGCTAAAAAAAATTATATTATATAAACTCACTATCTTTCGTAATCCTATTCAAATCCATCTATGCTTACAGACTGTAATTACTCACCCCCCTCCACCCAAACAGACGACCTCCTGTATCTGGGATCGGCCGAGCCGTAGCTTCGTGGTTTTTTCAGAATGCTGCCGGGTGTTAGAGCAAAGCTCTCCATACTTTCGCATTATTTGAGCCAGATCTTCAGAAGAGAATCCCCTCTGAGCAGATAGTTCTGCTCCTCTGAGCTCCTGTGTCCCGTACACCATCACGCTGTGTCCCTGATGCTATTTCACACCTGCGTCTGGACCTGCACGACTGCCTTTTCACACTTACAGACGAAGATCCTCAAAAATCTAACGCAATAAAGTCCAACTGACCATAACATCCTCACAGACACAGAGATGTGCTGTAAACACAGAGCTGGACATACTAGCCTGTGCGTTTATATGTTACATTAGGCTGAGAACACTTATATAAATATGTAACTTGTTATAATAACTTCTTTATCCTCATGTTGTTCAGTTATTAATCTCACCCCTTTACCCAAACAGATGATCTCCTGTATTCGGTATCTGCTATGAAACTAATGTGTGAGCTGTGTGGTCATGAGAGTGAGGAACTGAAGTGTGGAACCACATACTGATCCTTAGAGTTTAAGGGGTTAATTTAATTCCTTTACACTGTCTTCAGCATGACAGTATGTTATTTAAAACCATTTATAATAGCATTCAATGTAAAAACACCATGAATGCAAATGGGTCATTCTACAGAAACGTCCATTTTTGTGTACCTAGCATTTACAGATATTACACTTGAAAACATGTTAGGGTGTTATTTTATGTTTTTTTTATGTTATTTTAACAATTACACCTTCTTGAGCCTCAATTTAGCAATATTGGTTTTTAAATCAATCATAACTTAACTCCAATAATCTATATGTGACTATGGAATATATGAATTAAATGACATAAAGAAAACAAATGCCAAATAAATATTATAAAATATATAATGAAAGTTGTTGTCCCCAGGAGTCGTGTCACTGGTGTTACTGCGCAACTAAAAATCTCTGATTTTGAAATAAAAGTCACACTGATGACATCACTCGACTTCCTTTTACCTGTTTTCTGAGGATCTATGAAGAAAAGCTCATGGTGAGTCCACTGTGTCTTTCAGTTATCAGAGATTTTGTCATTTAGCTCATGATGTCATATGAAGCTTTTAGCTGAAGTCACTGGTGTGACCAACTTTATTCTGAGGTAACTGTGAAAAAATAGAATACAAATGGATTAAATTACATATTTTAGTGGATTTTTCATGATTGACAATGTGTGGTTTGATGCTCTGTAGCAGCCATTTTATAAAATGCATTGTTCATTAAAAATGTCTCTGGTGTTTCCTTTATTATGTGGAACACCAGTGAGGATCAGTAACACCAGTGACTCCTGGAGAGAAAAGTGGACGTTTCTGTAGAATGACCCAAATGTACAGTAACAAGTAACAAGAACGTTTCGTTTTCAGAAAGTAGTTGGTATCTTGTGAGCTTGAAGAACAAAGATTGGTTCCAGCTATCACACGGATTTATTAAATTCCATCAGCAGCTGATCAATAAAGAACTGATAAGCCAAAAAACAGGTATTGGATGATAATTATAAATAATACTGGGCTGCTGCACACATAGCGTATATAGAAGCATGTTTCTCATAGGCTACCTCCCAAAATATCGTTTCTGGGGTTGCCTACTGAAAAAAACAGTACAGACCAGCATGAATTCCATGCATAAACTGGTCTAGCTTGATGATATGCTGGTCTAGTGCTGGTCTGTTGCTAGTTTAGCCGGTCACTCAGCATAGTCATGCCAGCATACCAGCATCCAAAGCACAACATATGCTGGTTTTACTGGTTACCAGTACTTCACAAAGCAGGATTTCCCAGTTTAGCCAGATCTTAAGCCCAAAGTCAAGTCTGTCCAATATGAAAAGAGCTAAGGAGCATTATTATTGGACAGTTCTCATCTTCAGGCTTAAGTTATCTGGCTAACTGATAACTCTTGCTTTGTGAAACACCTCCAGCTATGCTGGTCTTAACTGGTTTTTCTAGCGGGGTAATTACAGCAACAATCTATAAATGAAATATTGTACAGGGTGTCCCAAAAAAATTGACCTCATTTCATAGTCTAATAACAGCCAATTCTCCCTCAAATGATCTCAGATTTTAAGAAAGTGTGTAAAAACTAACCAAGTTTAATTTTTAATGTTTTTTAAGGTGAAGAACGGTGTCCACTAGAAATGAAAAGGCATTTTGAGTGTTAGAATCTGCTCAAACACAGTCAAACAGGAGTGCAGCAGCATTTTCCAGAAAATTCAATAAAAATGCACCAACTGGACAGCAGATTTGGACACGGCACAAAAACTCAAAGAGGAAGGCTGTCTGTGCTGGACAAAGGGGTCTGGACGACCACCAGTATCGGAAGATATTACATCTGTGAAGCTGTGAAATCAGTTATTAAATCTACATCCCTCTGAATTTCTTGTTCGAATTTTGATAAATAAATCTTGTATTGTTCAACATGAAGCCTGTTTAATTTCGTTTGCCATGTAGTTACTCAGATACTCACATCTCAAATGATGTCAGTTTTTTGGGACACCCTGTATAAATTAATAATCTGTTTAATAATTAATTAATAATTAAAGTCCATCACTCGAGGGCATTTTTGAGTCAGAATGCTAATAATCACAGTATTTTATAATTTAATTTAGTGCCAGATCCTTCCTGATCGCGTTTTCCTGTTGCTCTGCTGTTTTGCTGTTGACGTTTTGGGATCCATGATGTTTGTAGGCAATAGCAGCTCTGCGGACTACACATCCCACGATCCTGTGCGGTGCGTTTTCAACCCTTCGCTAATCGTATCATCCCCAGGCTGCGAGTGCGGGCTCAGGCCGGGATGGCAGCGTGAACCCCGGGGTGTTAGCTCTTCTGCGCCGCCAGGGACCCTCAGGCTCTCTGTTTCCGCTGAAAATAAAGGAAATAAAGCGATGAAAATGGACGTGAGCGCCGTTATAGAGCAGATGGAGACGGGCGAGCAGGACGCAGCGCTGGCCGCCTTACAGAGATACAACAAAGAGGTAAAGCTCACAAAATGGAATTAATCTGCTGATCAGGCTGAGATTGACTGAGATATAACATGATATGTATGTGGACGGATGTGTCCGGATAGATTGCAGTGCGGTGTAATGAGAGAGCAAAGCAGCAGCACTGATTCAACATCAGCATCCTGGAATAAAACTCATAATAACATAAACACACCAGCATACTCTTAATGTACACTCCTAAAAGGATGGTTCTTTAGTGAAGGGAATGGTCCTATATAGAACCAGGGACACTCACAGAACCATCTGACGCTTAAATGGTTCTTTGCATGGTGGAAATGTGTTGTATGTGGTTTGTGAAAATGGTTCTATATATAGCACCAAAAGGGTTCTTTAGTATGTACTCTATTAGTATGACTAAACGCTTGTAACAATAGCAGAACCTTTTTTGGTGCAGTACACATTTATTTCCATACACACCATGCACAGAACCATTTAAGCATAAAACAAGTTCTAAATAGAACCATTACCTTTAATAAAGAACTCTTGAAATATATATACATATTAGTAGAACATTAAAGTAGAACAGAAAATATTAATAAGAAGCTGGCAAATAGGAAGCCAACTTCAGCCTCGTGCTTCTGTCCTGGTTATTTAGGAAACAAACTAAGCACTGTTATTAAGCACGTGTTATTAAGCGTGTGTTATTAAGCATGTGTTATTAAGCGTGTGTTATTAAGCATGTGTTATTAAGTGTGTGTTATTAAGTGTGTTATTTCTCTCTGTTGGGTGGTTTATTTGTCTCTGTTTGGCTGCCTGAATGTCAGTAAACTGCTAAAATGCTATGAAGCAACTAGAAACTTCAGGAACTGTGCGTGCTGTTTCCTTGATGTTGCTGCACGCACACACACACACACACACACACACACACACACACAGAAAGTAGCTGTGTTGCGTAAGTCTTCAGAATAGAAAGCCAAAACAGAAGCCCTGAGTTGGACTGCGAGTAAGGATCAGCAATATGACAAAAATATAGCATCCTTGTGATCTGTGACATATACAAGAAACATTTGATGTATGTACAAATATGTACAGAAGCTTTTATGACTCCATTCTAAATCCATAGGCATTAATATGGAGTTGGTCCCCCTTTGCAGCTCTAACAGCTTCCACTCTTCTGGGAAGCTTCTACAAGATGTTGGAGAGAGTCTGTGGGAATTTGTGTCCATTCAGTCAGAAGAGCATTTGTGAGGTCAGACACTGATGTTGGACGAGAGGGTCTGGCTCACAATCTCCGTTCTAGTTCAAGGTGTTGGATGGGGTTGAGGTCAGGGCTCTGTGAGGGTCAGTCAAGTTCTTCCACACCAAACTCACCCAGTCAGGCCTTTATGGAGCTGCTTTGTGCACTGGGGCTCAGTCATGCTGGAACAGGAAAGGTTCTTCCCCAAACTGTTCACACAAAGTTGGAAGTGTACAGTTGTCCAAAATGTCTTGGTGCTGAAGCATTAAGATTTCCCTTCACTGGAACTAAGGGTTCTAGACCAACCCCTGAAAAACAGCCCCATATCATCATCCCTCCTCCACCAAACTCTATAGCTGGCACAGTGCAGTGAGGCAGATGTTTTTGTTTGTCCATTCATCATGAAATTTACACACAATAAAAAGGCCAACAGGCATTTTCAGATTAAGTCAAAAACTGAAAACGGAGATACAAGGTTTTGTTCTGACAGCAGTGATATATTTATATACATATATAGACATCAATAATGCGAATGTCATAAGTGGATCTAAGAGAAAAATGCAGGATAAAAATATTTTTTAAAAATTGCTAAAAAAAAATAAATGAGTGAAAAAGGATGATGTCATAGTGGGCTGCCATCCAATCAGCTATATGTTACTGTGCAGTTTATGCAAATAAACACCTGTTGTTGTTGTTGTTGTTTACAGGCTCTATAATTGGTACAAATCCTTATTTTTATTATGCATGCAGTTGTGCAGTGTTCTGGAAGCACTTACCGTACACATCATATACTCAGAGAAGAGCATTGAGATGGAATTTATCACAATAACAATGAAATATTGTTATATTGACCAGTCCATTGGCTGTGATCCTTCAACTTTTATTATTTGCCCTCTTGGGGCAATATTTAGTTTACTGTTAACTGTTTCCACGTAGCCTGTGGACAAAACCACCTACAAAACTGAAATGAGAAATATGATTGATACAGAAGATGTCTGTCAGTTTGTCAATATGATATATGGGCTTTTTTTGTCACAAATAGCTCTGAATTTGTTATCATGTATTAAAACAGCGTTAAACAATATTATTATGGTAAATAATTGTATGTATGGTACATGTTAATAACCACCACACAATGACAGATGGCTGAGGCTAAAGGCTAAATCTAACAGGTGTACAAAATCTTACGGGCACCAGTTTATATAATACCATAACAAAGCACAGCGTAGTTTAGTGCAGTGCAGTAAGTGAATATAATATCGTATGATATAATAGTGCATAAACACTGATTAATTTGTCTTGCAGGCAACATCAAGACATCAGCAACACAAATAGATTCTTTCAGCCACGTCAGATCCCGAGGATCTAAACGGATTCGGTTTGATCCTGATTTTCCTGAGCCGACTGTATCGGTTAGCTTAGCTCAGCACGCTAATCTTCTGCCGGGCTGTAGGAGGGAATTAACAGCGCTGTGCTGATGAGCGAGACTTAGCAACACACACTGCAGATATACCAGCCTGGAGGAGTTATTAGAGTCAGGATTATTAGGTTATTGATTTTTCCAAAAAATATGGATGTTATCGAGTATTAAAATGAGCATCTTTGTGATTATAACAAAACACAGCAGCTGTAAAAGTGAGCAGCATTTGGGTGGAAAAAGGCACCTTTTTAAACGAGTTGTGAGTTGTGCTATTATATATTAATAAAGGTGTTCATAATAATGATTTCTCAGTGCTGTCATTTATTCTTGCTGATATGTTCAGCACCTTTGTTTTAGGGTTATCATGGTTGTGCAGAATACTTTGAAAAAGTAGTGATTTATGAATACTGAATACACTGTTCTTAATGTGTTCAGTAACATGTTCTAATTCAGTACGTAAAATGGACATATTCAGAAAATGTTTAGAATACATTTACAGTGCATCTTGGTAACTGATCACATTGATTTATCAGTCTACTCAGGCTTTAGCAGAGCTCAGTAACGCTGAGATTAATAACTGATAACACTGATTTATCAGTCTACTCAGGCTTTAGAAGAGCTCAGTAACACTGAGATTAATAACTGATCACATTGATTTATCAGTCTACTCAGGCTTTAGAAGAGCTCAGTAACACTGAGATTAATAACTGATCACATTGATTTATCAGTCTACTCAGGCTTTAGCAGAGCTCAGTAACGCTGAGATTAATAACTGATGACATTGATTTATCAGTCTACTCAGGCTTTAGCAGAGCTCAGTAACACTGAGATTAATAACTGATCATCACACTAATTTATCATTCTACTCAGGCTTTAGCAGAGCTCAGTAACGCTGAGATTAATAACTGATCATCACACTGATTTATCAGTCTACTCAGGCTTTAGCAGAGCTCAGTAACGCTGAGATTAATAACTGATCATCACACTAATTTATCAGTCTACTCAGGCTTTAGAAGAGCTCAGTAACGCTGAGATTAATAACTGATCACATTGATTTATCGGTCTACTCAGGCTTTAGCAGAGCTCAGTAACACTGAGATTAATAACTGATCACATTGATTTATCAGTCTACTCAGGCTTTAGCAGAGCTCAGTAACGCTGAGATTAATAACTGATCATCACACTAATTTATCAGTCTACTCAGGCTTTAGCAGAGCTCAGTAACGCTGAGATTAATAACTGATCATATTGATTTATCAGTCTACTCAGGCTTTAGCAGAGCTCAGTAACACAGATTAATAACCGATCACATTGATTTATCAGTCTACTCAGGCTTTAGCAGAGCTCAGTAACACAGATTAATAATAGATCACATTGATTTATCGGTCTACTCAGGCTTTAGCAGAGCAATATCACATTTTCAGTACAGTATTAAAAATTTTATGTATGTAAATATGAACCTGTATAAATGACATGACCCTCACTCTTCAGAACAAACTGAGTGATCAAAACTGCACAGTTAAACATACTTTAACCAAAACAAAATAAAATGTGCCATAATTACTTTTCCCCTATGTAGTTGTGCATTAAAATGCAAACATGTGTTAAAATGTTCAAAGTGTGTTCTCTGTAGAGGTTGTGCTTATTTTCACTTTTAAAAAATCAACAACAACATGGAACTGGGTGTTTTTGGTTGTACTCAGGGGTCCTGTGCGGTTAGATGCGGTGGTGTTAAGATGTTTTTGTGTTGTTTTTCTCTCTGCAGAAGAGCCAGTGCTTCTCCTTCCCCTCAGAGGAGCAGGAGGAAAGAGAGGTACAGCAGCTCCACCACACTAAACACTCAGCACCTCAGTACAGCACCAGCCACACCACTGTTCAGCTGTATTCTGCTATAACATCAGTTAGCTGATACACATACAGACAGTACTAGACAAGCACCTTGGCATTAATATCAACATATAGGCCTACCAACGGCACAACAGCCCGTTTCTCTCACAACATGCAACATTAGCTTGCTAGATTAAAAAACATCAGATAGCTAACAATAACATAAAGAGTGATCTGTGATTCAGTGCAGCAAAGATGAGGACTGCTGCTAATGACTGTAATGTGTTGGTGCTGAGTGATAAAGTAAAGAAACCCTCCTCTGCACTACTAACTGGAGCCACCACACCACAGACAGTCACCACAGACAGACACTGACCTGTGTGTGTGTGTGTGTGCATGCGCTCACCGCAGCGTCTGGGAGAGCGGGGCAGGGGAAGGGTAGGAGAGAGAAAGTGGATCATATCATTTGCTTATCAGAGAAAAATGTCAGTTTCTAATAAAAACAACAAAAAAAGACTTTTTACTCTTATTTTTAGGGGTGCTAGGACTCAATATAGGGTGAAAAGGGGCTAGACACGCCTATGGTAGATACCAAATAATTCATACTGGATACTGCATAATTTACAGTAGTTACTAAATCATTCATAGTAGGTACTGAATAATTCTTACTACATGATGGATAATATGAGTAGTTACTAAATAATTCATACTATATTCTGAATAATTCATAGTAGATACTAAATAGTTAATACTAGATACTGAATAATTCATAGTAAGTACTGAATAATTCATACTAGATACTGACTAATTCATTGTATTTACTAAATAATTAATAGTAGCTACTGTATAAGTCATACGAGATACTGGCTAATTCATAGTATTTACTAGATAATTCTTATTAATACTGAATAATTCATAGTAGATACTGAGTAATTCATACTGGATACTGGATAGTTTATCGTAGTTACTAAATAATTCATAGTAGTTACTGAGTAATTCATACCAGATACAGAATAATTTATAGTAGATTCTTGCTGTGGTCAGAATAAGTGTTTATTGCAAGGTAGTTCCAGCTACTTGTAATGCTATTGCATATCTGTTTATGAATCATTTTATTTCACCTTTACTTCATCTTACTTTCATTTATTCATTCACATCTTACTTTCAGCCTTGACATAAACTGTTTTTGATTGGTTGTTGTTAAGCCTGTGTTCTCTCTTTTTGCATGCTGTTTGTGAAAGAGTGGAGCGCTGGAAAAGGTACACAGAAGCTCACAGTGGTAGATGTAGTGGAAGATTGACGCACATCACAAAGTTTATTTCTGATTCTTTCCAATGGAGAATAAACTTTGAGGTGTTGTAACATGGCACTGTGTTTGAAATCTGCCATTTCATTCCCGTCCAAACACGAAAGACGAAAATACAAATCACAGACCAGGGGCTTCTTCAGGGGCTCTTTAGTAGAGGCAGAGCTTATCTGCTGTATATGTTCTGTAAAGAACTTTTAAAAGTGGTTCTGTATAGCACCAAAAAGGGTTCTGCTGAAAGAACCTTTTTGCTACTGTATAAAACCCTTTTTGAGTGTAGAGCAGAATAAGGCCATGCAGGTTTTGTCAACAAAAGCATGGAATTATTTTCACTCATAGCTCATTAAAGTCCATTTTCCAACCTCTTTATCCCCTAAAATTAAACAGGCTGTTTTGCAGCTTAATTTCTATATATGGACTGTCGTGGATAAACATATGAAATGGCATAAAGTATATGTATAACTCATGAAAAAGACATGCCATGAGAGTGTACCTGTACCCCTACAGGGGAAAATACCTGCATAATTAAGTGGTTCAAACAGAGCGGTTCAGAGTGGTTTGGTGTGAAACGCTCTGTTCTAGATATACTTACCGAGTCAGAACTGTTCACAGTGGTGGTGATAGGAACCAGACGTCCACCTCTAAAAGCTCCCTCACAGAAAGTTCCTACATGAAATGGTTTTGAATTCACTGCCTGATGACTGAGACACTGTTTTATGATAGTTTTGAGAAGATTTTGGCCTTAAACTCCATTCATGGTGGAGGAATACATAATATGCAGGGCGCTGTGAGGCAAAATAGTCCCCAAAGAAAACTTATTATTTCAGATTTTCCACTATTTTCCATCATCAACATTCCATATAAACTCAGAAGACTCGTGTAGGTTCACTGGTGGTTCTGGATAGTAAATAAAATGTCTATATTTGTGTTGTAGTCATGGCGACCCCTGGTTCCTATCACCACCACTGTAAAGACATCTGAACCATTTCACACCAAACCACTCTGAATCTCTCTGTTTACATCTCAAATACTCAATTATGCAGACATTTTAAAAAATTGGTGGAATTCCCCTCACATTAGCCTTAGAATTCGGCTGACCCCTCCTGCTCATTCTGATGTTGCTGTCTGTTCTTCAGCGTCTGGGGAAGCTGGTTTTGGGTTTTTTGGAGCGTGATCTTCAGCCATCCTGTAAGCTGGCCTGCCTGGAGACCATCCGCATTCTGTCTCGGGACAAAAGCAGCCTGACTCCGTTCACCAGCCGCCACGCCGTCCAGACGTTGGCCCGGCACGCAGCGGTCAGCCTGGGGCAGGGCAGCCGGACGCCAGAGATGCCGGACATAGATGTGATTGTGGAGGCTCTGAAGTGTCTGTGTAACCTGGTGTTTAACAGCAGCGAGGCACAGGAGGCGGCGGCGCAGCTGCAGCTGGTGTTCGGTGTGGCTGAGAGGCTAAAGCAGTGCCGCGAGCCACAGTGGAACCACGACGTTCGCTTTTTTGATCTCCGCTTGACCTTCCTGCTGACAGCAATTCGTGTGGACGTGCGCACGCAGCTGGCCCGCGAGCTCAGAGGCGCTGCCCTGCTGACCGAAGTGCTGGACGCCACACTGGGGCTCCGCTGGCTGGACACGTACGAGGTGGCGCGGGCCGGAGCGGAGGGGCAAAGTGAGGTCCCCCCGCTTGGCAGGATGGAAACGGAGAGAGCCATGGAGATCCTGAAGATCCTCTTCAACATCACGTTCGACACCAACCGCCGCAAAGTGGACGAGGTGAGTGATTATGGGCTGCTTCTGAACGTCTGGGGACCCTAAATGAGGGGGGATCCTACCGGTGAGCCCCCATCCACACCAATCATATTGCTTTATTTTGTACACAAGAATGGAAAAAATTCTTAATACTTAAAAATGGTATAGAAGTGTGCATCTGCCTGACTTCAGTATATTTATTTGTTTACTTCTGCATCTAGTTAAGTTGGCTTGACAAAGCCAGCTTACTGTTTTTCATTTAACCTCTTAAATGGCCAGGGCCCACAGTTTTAACCTAGAACCAGCTCAGCCAGTTTGCATTGAAGTCCCTGTAGTTACTGAATAATAAGGCTTAGTATGTAATAAGCCTGAGATTTTAAGGGGTTAATTATTCTAGTTTATTCTGTTATGCTTTTTTGGACCATTTTCACTGGTTGCAGTTTACTAGCTAGAACCACAAAACTTTGCAGGACCATAGAACCTATACATTAATAGTGCACTGATTGCACATATGGTTTTAATACAGCGTTTGTTTAAAGCATTTGTTTGTTTCCGGCGGAAATGAATGTCGGAATGTGTTGAAATTTCACATCTAACTGCCGCAAATGATTTCACAAAGAGCGTCTCTTATAGACATTACATACAGACTCACATACATACTAGCACACATACACACACATATTAGCAACCACCTGGGATACCTTTGCCTTGCAACACTTTAGCAACCACCCGGTATTCCATAGCAACAGCCTAGCAGCACCGTGTCATTCACTTGGGATACCATCAAAACAGCCCAGTCCCACCTTAGACACCACATGGGATACCATAGCAATGCCTTACATCCACCTGGGATTCCATAGCAACAGCCTAGCAACACCGTATCATTCACTTGGAGTAGCATCACACCAGCCTAACACCTGAGCAACCACTTGGGATACCTTAGCCTCAGCCTAGCAACACCTTAGCAACCACCTGGGATACCTCAGCATCGGCCTATCAACACCTTAGCAACTACCTGGGATAACAGCAATGGCTTAGCAACATCTTAGCAACCATCCAGGATTCCATAGCAACAGCCTAGCAACAGTGTACCAATCACTTGGCATACCATCACAATAGCAGTAACACCTTAGCTACCACCTGGGATACCATAGCAACAGCCTAGAAACCCTTGAAGTAATTAAAATACCAGTCAATAGTTTGGAATCTCATAACATTTTGTGTTATTTTGATGCAATAAAAAAATTCTGTACTGTAAATATCCATTTATATTACCTTTATGTCAGGTTTCTGCCTTGAGATTTTAATCTCCACTTTTGAAATATTATGGATTAATATGGATATTAATCTTATTATAAATAAATTACTGATGCTGCACAGCTTTGTCTGTCATTTTAAAACCTTCTACAGCTCTGCTCATCATTCTGGAAGCATACAACAGAGCAGTGTCTTTAATTTAGACGGTGTTTCAGAAGTGACTCTGTGTCGGGCTGTTTATGTGTCTGTAAATCCCTCAGTTAATCTGGTTAACGTAATCAGTGTATACTGTACTGCACTGTCCTGCAGGAGGAAGCAGCCACCTACAGACACCTGGGGGCCGTACTGAGACACTGCTTAATGAGCACAGCGGAGGGAGAGGAGCGCACAGAGGAGTTCCACAGGTACACACACACACACACACACACACACACACACACACACACACACACATACACACACACACACACACACATATACACCAATCAGGCTTAACATTATGACCACCTCCTTGTTTCTATGCTCATTGTCCATTTTATCAGCTCCACTTACTATATAGGTGCACTTTGTAGTTCTACAGTTACAGACTGTAGTCCATCTGTTTCTCTGATACTTTGTTAGCCCCCTTTTACCCTGTTCTTCAGTGGTCAGGACCCCCATGGACCCTCACAGAGCAGGTACTATTTGGGTGGTGGATCATTCTCAGCACTGCAGTAACACTGACGTGGTGGTGGTGGTGTGTTAGTGTGTGTTGCGCTGGTCTGAGTGGATCAGACACAGCAGTGCTGCTGGAGTTTTTAAACACTGTGTCCACTCACTGTCCACTCTATTAGACACTCCTACCTTGTCAGTCCACCTTGTAGATGTAAAGTCAGAGACGATAGCTCATCTGCTGCTGCACAGTTTGTGTTGGTCATCCTCTAGTCCTTCATCAGTGGTCACAGGACGCTGTTGGCTGGATATTTTTGGTTGGTGGACTATTCTCAGTCCAGCAGCGACACTGAGGTGTTTAAAAACTCCAGCAGCACTGCTGTGTCTGATCCACTCAGACCAGCGCAACACACACAAACAAACCACCACCACATCTGTGTTACTGCAGTGCTGAGAATGATCCACCACCCAAATAGTACCTGCTCTGTGAGGGTCCATGGGGGTCCTGACCACTGAAGAACAGGGTAAAAGGGGGCTAACAAAGTATCAGAGAAACAGATGGACTACAGTCTGTAACTGTAGAACTACAAAGTGCACCTATATAGTAAGTGGAGCTGATAAAATGGACAATGAGCGTAGAAACAAGGAGGTGGTCAGAATGTTACGCCTGATCGTTGTATTTATTATAATGTAAGTAAAAATCTGAGACACATTCAGACACTGAGAAGCTGCAGGAACACCACAGTCAGTTTTCCACACATACAGAACAGATGTAAATGTATTTACATACACAGTGACACACGTTCTCCTTTACCTGCTCCGTTTCTACAGCCTCAGGTTCCACCTTATAAAACCACTGTGATGAATTAGAACAGAGCTGTTGGGATTTCAGTCTAATTAGTCCTCTCAGAAAACAGGCTGTAATAAAATGAAACAAGCTCAGGGACACAGGAAGTGCAGCCCCTCAGCACCCCCTGGACTTTTTAAGTTAATGATGTATTTTTATTACATTCGAATCGCTTCCCTCATAAACAGGTGGCCGCTTTGGGGCGTGTTTGGGGCACTGTTACAGTCCAGTCTAGGGTAGAGGTCTGTGCAGGACTGTTTTTTCAGTCTCGCTGCCACAAGATTTCATCCCGCTCCCGCAGTAAATTGGAATAATTCGTCCCGCTCCCGCCCGCAACCGTCATCAGGCTCACTGTGAGTAACTTCACCAAACGCCATTTATTCCCAACTAAACACAAAACAGGAATTAAACCATAGAGCGGTTATTTTTGGTGTTCTGCTGGGCAGCTGTGGCCGTCGGACTGAAGGCTCTGTCTCTGTAAACTACGAGAATCTGCGTGTTGTTCACGCGATCGGCTGCTTCACAGCTCTTTAGAATGACTTCATTCACTTTAACTGTTTTACTGTTATCATTTTATGTTGTTTATATATGATTTAATAATTGTTCAACTTTATTTAGGTGGTTCATTAATTTGCACCGTTTCTCTTCACGTTGCTTTGTACCGCTCCGCCTGGAGAGCGGGCTGCAAGATATCGTGGCAGGCCCTGCAGGTCCAGTGGGAATCCGCAGGAGTGCAAACCTGTAGTCGAGGGTCAGGCTGCAACAGAGAATGAGAGAATACAACAAACTGAGGGTTAATTAAAACAAACAGCACTCGTCCCCAACTTCCCAAAAATATTCACAGGGTTTCATAGAATCTACTAAGACTTTCACAACATTAGGCAAGGCAGGTTTATTTGTGTAGCACCTGTCATACACAATGGCAATTCAAAGTGCTTTACACAAACAGAAAAATAAAAGCATTAGATAATAATGCAGCTTATAACATTCCTGAGATCCAGCACCTCCAGCTTTTGCAAAGACAGTTACAGAAGCATAATTAAAAGAAAGTTGAAAGTAATAAAACATAAAAGAGAAAACTATTTTAAAAGATAGAGAGGCCTTAATATTTACAAAGAAATGCAATGGCGATGATAATAATAATAATAATAATAATAATATCGTTCTCAGTCATTCTCAGCAGCCTGAGTCAGGATAAGCACCAAAAGTTTCCACTTTCAGTCACTGAATAGCAGCAGAAACTGATCACAATCTTCCTTCGTAATGCCAACCTCTAAGCTGTTAATCAGTCTTTGGGATAGCTGTGCTAGCAAAGTGTCCAGAGACATCCTTTGATAAAGCTTAGAACAAACAATATTTTACTTATTTTATTTTATTGTCCTTTATTTTAAAAAACATGTATCTTGTATTACATTTTTACATGTAACGGAAATGAATGTAACCAGATTTCTTTCCAAATAATTTAGGACCATTTCTGTTGGTCTGTTCATCATGACATGTTAACACAATGCGAAGGGTAAAACAGGAGCCTTGAAATATGCAAAAAAAGTGAAAAATGGAGATACAGTGTTTTTGCGAGACAGCGACGATATATATATGTAATGCACATGAGGAATGTTACCGTCATATGTCCTGCAGTCACACAGTGAACCTGTTGGGGAATCTTCCTCTGCCGTGTTTGGACGTGTTGCTGATGCCGAAAGTGCAGCAGGGCTCCATTGAGTACATGGGGGTCAACATGGACGCCGTTAACATGCTTCTGGACTTTATGGAGAAGAGACTGGACAGGGTGAGCACATCTGACCACCATTCTCTCCTCCATACACATGACACAGCCAGACAAAAACATTAGCATTAGCTCTCTTAAATGACAGTAATAACTGTTAACGACTCCCGGGGCTTCTCTGAGTCCTGTTACCTGTTGAGTCGATTATTTTGTGCACTGGTTGCTGTTGTTTTTAGTGTCTGTTGTTTGTATGTGGCTGCATGTGAGGATGCAATGGGGAATTCCTGCTCCAGCTGCTGCTCTGAGCTCTGACAGCACCGCAGCAGGTGTTTACTTGCAGTTCAACAGTAATGTGGTGTTCCTCTGATCTTCAGGGAAATAAACTGAAGGAGACACTGCTGCCCTCCCTCAACCTGCTGACCGAGAGCGCCCGCATCCACAGGGAGACCAGGAAGTTCTTACGGATGAAAGTGAGATGAAAGAAATAGTGTTTACAGCACATCCATTAAGAATCAGTAAGAAATATTTTGATTCATTAAAATTGTCATGCATGTGTGTCGGTGCTCAGGTGCTCCCCCCACTGCGGGACGTGAGGAATAAGCCTGAAGAGGGTAACGCTCTCCGGAACAAATTGGTGCGTCTGATGACCCACATCGACACAGACGTGAAGACCTGTGCTGCGGAGTTCCTCTTTGTTCTGTGCAAAGAGAGCGGTGAGAAAAATCACCCTTAAATTTTCTATTGTTTATATTTATATTGTGAGTTTTGGAAATGTGATCGTGCCTTATGTGTTCACTCACTGGCCAATTTGGCTGTAAAGAAATTGCAATTAGATTCATTAAATAAGGACTAAGCACCCAGCCTCCTTCACGAGAATTACTTAACAGATGTGCAGCACAAGAAATATTCCATTAGTATCATTGAGTTCATGTGGTAAAGGAAAGAAAGGCATACATATGGAAATGTTGGATTGACAGGAGTTGAAATCCCCCTTGTGTCCTGTATGTGGCAGTGTCACGATTCATTAAGTACACGGGTTATGGAAACGCCGCCGGACTGCTGGCCGCTCGCGGGCTGATGAGGGGCGGCGGGGAGCCAGGCCTTTACTCCGAGGATGAGGACAGTGACACTGAGGAATACAGAGAGGCCAAACCACAGTGAGTAAAACTATAAACTAACAAATGAACTGCATCTACAGTCGCGCCACACCGGAAAAACTACATCTACAGTCGCACTACACCAGATAAACTACATCTACAGTCGCACTATCCCACATAATCTTCACCTACAGTTGCACTACATCAAATAAACTAGACCTACAGTCGCACCACACCAGATAAACTACACCTACAGTCACACTACACCAGATAAACTACATCTACAGTCGCACTACACCAGATAAACTACATCTACAGTCGCACTATCCCACATAATCTTCACCTACAGTTGCACTACATCAAATAAACTAGACCTACAGTTGCGCCACACCAGATAAACTACACCTACAGTCACACTACACCAGATAAACGACATCTACAGTCGCACTACACTAGATAAACTACACCTACAGTCACACTACATCAGATAAACTACACCTACAGTCGCACTACATCAGATAAACTACACCTACAGTCACACTACACCAGATATACTACACCTACAGTCACACTACACTAGATAAACTACACCTACAGTCACACTACACCAGATATACTACACCTACAGTCACACTACATCAGATAAACTAGACCTACAGTCACACTACACCAGATAAACTACATCTACAGTTGCACTACACCAGATATACCACACCTACAGTCACACTACACTAGATAAACTACACCTAGTCACACTACACCAGATATACTACACCTACAGTCACACTACACTAGATAAACTACACCTACAGTCACACTACACCAGATATACCACACCTACAGTCACACTACACTAGATAAACTACACCTACAGTCACACTACACTAGATAAACTACACCTACAGTCACACTACACCAGATATACTACACCTACAGTCGCACTACATCAGATAAACTACACCTACAGTCACACTACACCAGATATACTACACCTACAGTCGCACTACATCAGATAAACTACACCTACAGTCGCACTACATCAGATAAACTACACCTACAGTCACACTATACCAGATATACCACACCTACAGTCACACCTACAGTCACACTACACCAGATATACTACACCTACAGTCGCACTACATCAGATAAACTACACCTACAGTTGCACTACATCAGATAAACTACACCTACAGTCACACTATACCAGATATACCACACCTACAGTCACACCTACAGTCGCACTACATCAGATAAACTACACCTACAGTCACACCTACAGTCACACTACACCAGATATACTACACCTACAGTCGCACTACACCAGATTAAACTAATTAATGCTGATAAACATCTTCTGTGCTTTTTCGAGTTCATCGCAGTTTGAGAAACGTCCAGTCCTGCCTGTATGTGATGTGTTGTTTTTCTGGTCAGTATTAACCCTGTAACAGGCCGCGTGGAGGATGAGCAGCCGAATCCCATGGAAGGGATGACAGAAGAGCAGAAGGAGTATGAGGCTATGAAGCTCGTCAACATGTTTGACAAGCTCTCCAGGTACAGAGAAGGAGAAGCTCCCTGTCCCAGTTAGGAATGGTTACCAGTTTTGAGTGTTTTTAGTAAGAACATATATCACTGGTATAAAACCAAGGGCTAATCAAACCATCTCATATTTTCATAATTTCAATAATCATATAACATCTTTTTTAAATGTGATGGTGGAAGTAAACACCACCAGCCTCCCTGCACAGCACACACCAGGACAACGCACACATTTGTACAGTTACAGTAAGTAAAGACTAGCAGTGCTGATGATAACTTCATACTTATTTAAACTTGAATGAAGTACAAAGCGTAGTGAGATGATTTCAATGTGTGATTAATAATACTAAAATAATTTTGAGAACCTTTGTGTTGGTTGATAACACGATAGTAAATTTAGTCCCAAACCTTTCTGCTCTTATAAAAGGAAAAAAAAGAATGACTTGCATATTTTTTGTGATTATTCCACTACGATCATTCTACGCTGAAGAAAAAAACTGCATTCTGCAAACCTGTAGGCTTATTTGGTGATTCGGTACAGGAAAATAAGCAGGTAGTAATAGTAAATAATAGTAAAATAAACATGTGACAATGTAGTCTTTAGCCATGTAGACCTGACTTTCTCGCTCATACGTTCGATCAGATTTAGCAGATTGAGGATTCTCCACAAGGGGGAGCTTTAAGCACTGTAGTCACATCACAGAAAGAGAGGAAACCCACACCAGCAGGAGCTCACCTTGCGTGTATATGAACTAATAGTCCTTAAACAAATATTTTCACATGATATTGTTTAGGTCTGAATAAATCTGCTAGTCTTTACCAAGAGTCAGTTATCAGAAAATGACATTTTATAAATGAATATTTTATACAGACAGATCAAGAAGACACGATTTCTACTAAAACATTTTAAAGGCAGGAATTCCCCAGATTTGATTTTGCTTTTCTTGTTTAAGTCAGAATAGAGAAATAACTGCTGGACGTTTTTCCCTCAGGGATCATGTGATCCAGCCCATGAAGCTCGACGCGGACGGTAAGATGACGAAACTGGAGCCGCACGAGCTGCACTGCCTGTCCCAGCAGCCCTTCATCAACCCCCACCAGGACGAGGAAGAGGAGGAAGAAAACTCCGACTGAGCGTTCTACTGCGGGCTGATGATGTCATCACGCAATAAGGGGAGGAGGCCGAATAGATCCACAGCACACATACAGCAGCTTTTTAAACATAACTCCTTCAGTGACCATCATGCTCTCTGTCACACTGCACATGCACAGTTTTCCTCAAACACGCACTTTCATTCCTACGTTCTACGTTGTGTTCAAGTGTTCTGTCGTTCTGTTCGGCCATTCTGCTTAAAATTTGGGTTCTGTTCAGTCGTTCTGTTCAGGTGTTCTATTTAGCTGTTCGGTTCAGCTGTTCAGTTGTTCTGTTCAGCCATTCTGTTTAACTGTTCTGTTCAGCTGTTCGGCTGTTCGGCTGTTCTTGTCAACTGTTCTGTTCAGCTGTTCGGCTATTCTGGTCAGCTGTTCTGTTCAGCTGTTCGGCTGTTCTGTTCAGTCATTTTTGTAACTGTTCTGTTCAGCTGTTCATTTCAGCCATTCTGTTCAGTTGTCCTGTTCAGCCATACTGTTTAACTGTTCTGTCTGACTGTTCTGTTCAGCTGTTTGGCTGTTCTGTTCAGCTCTTCTGTTTAGCTGTTCAGTTGTTTTGTTCAGTTGTTCAGCTGTTCTGTTTAACTGTTCTGTCTGGCTGTTCTGTTTAACTGTTCTGTCTGGCTGTTCTGTTCGGCTGTTCTGTTCAGGGTGTAATATTTCCTGGCGCTGCTGGCTCGTTCAGGTTTGGTCTCTGTAAAGTTGTTTAGAGTTTAGGCTGCGTTCACATTCGCTAAAAAAATTAAAAGTCGGTCAAACCTAAAATTTTAAGTCAACCTTTTGCGTTATTTTTTCTAATTTTCTAAACTTATTGCAATCAGAAATCCTCCTTTATGTTACAGTTTAAGTGGCGCTTACTCAAAAAAACAGTGTGGTTGCATCTTCATTCGCTAAAATCGCATAGTTTGTTGTTGGTTAGTTTGATCATTGCAGTTACCATAAATACACTATGGCTCCCCCACCACACAGAGCCCCCCCGGTCCTCGAGATTCCACCAGGATTCAAGAAACTGAGAAACTTAGCTGAGAAAAATAAAGAAAAAAAGCCATGCAAGAGGTCGACTTCAAATTTGACCTGACTTTTACTTTTACAGTGTTACATTATTGCTCAGCTCTGATTTTATCATTCAGATCTGATCTTTTTGCTTTGACGGTTCACTTTTGTGTGCGCAGGGATCCGTCTTAAGTGTGAACACGTCTGCTGAATCAGTAACGTCATGCATGATGCACACTGAATAGCAAAACTTGATTGAGTATTTAATGTCTTTAACGAGCGATTGAGTCAGGTATCAGCGCTGATTGGACCATAATGATGCTTCAGAGGTGTAACTGTCATGTTAGGGAAGAGAACTTAACTCAAATTAATCTAAACAGCTTGATAAATAATATTAAATAGGATGTACATGTACAGAAAAAAAAATAATAATTGACTTATAGAACCATCTACAGCACGTTCTCCATCAATTAGAGGAGCATTTCACGATGCAAAGAACCATTTATGTATGCAGAGGGTTCTTTGAGTGTTCATGGTTCCATGTAAAACTATTTTCTTTACTAAAGAACCCTTGGAGAACCATCTTTTTTGAGTGTGCAGTTGCCATGAACAACAAAAAAATTGTTTGATAGACAGTCCATCATAAAATGTCCTCCATTTTCATCTCCACTGTATGATGACCACAGCGAAGTGTGCACGCACAGTCTGACTGTTCTTATTATTGTCGCCATGGCAACTTGACGGACACGAATGTGATCTAGGAGTGCGTGTGAAAGTGGATCGGATCCACTTTAGAAAAGATCAGCGTTCAAAAAAATCACTTAAGTGTCAAAAAATCAGCTTTGGGTGGTGTAATGTGAACGCAGCCCCTGCAGCCCTTTTAGGTACAAGAATGAATTGAAACACGTTCTAAACTGTTTTATAGTTCTATTGAGGTGTCGTGCTCTGCTTTAATGCACTGATATTTATTTATTTATTCATCCTGGGCTTTAGCATCAACTGAAGCAGAGCAAAGCGCTACATATATCACAGCATATGGACACCGTACGGCAGCGGACGTCCTCTAAAACCTCTTTATTTTGGGTTTGACAGCTTCTCTGATCACTCCTGCTCTTTTGGAAGTACAATCATCTGCTAAAACAGTGATTTTCTGATTTTTGTTCTCTGCTAAAGGGGAGAATTACTCTATATTGTCTTAGATGGCCTTGTGATATTTTGGTAAAGAATATGTAAAGTATGTATGAAAGATTAAGAATGTGATGTACTTAATATAATTTGTATCATGCTGTGTTACAAGATGTTTTGTTGTGAAATTAATGATAAAATTAAAGAAAGTTGAATTTTCGTTGTCCCTCATTTAAAATTTCTATTCACTTTTGTTAATTTTGCAGCTTTTTATCCAGTAAATGTAATTCAGATGCTTTTTGGGGAATTTTGAAAATTCTGTGATATTGCTCCAAGTGAGGATAACACTATTCTTGAGGTGACCTTTTACTTACGATAGGTATTTTACCATTATAATTCTAACTAACATTAATTATTAGGATTCATAATACATTTGTGTTAAGTTTATTGCAGTTGGAGAAAAGCGCTCCTCACAGTCGAATCTTCCGTTCCACCTTAAATGGTGCAGCTGTTTCTTTCAGGCACCAAAATGTAACTCCTGCACCATTTAAGGTGGAAAGTATTCATTCATTCATTCATTTATTCATTTATTTATTTATTTATTTATTTATTTGACAGTATGACACTATTTATGCATGTAAAGTTTGTCCTTGTGTTAATCTATTAGATTTCTCCTAAACATTAAAAGGGTTACATACGTGCAGCATAATCAGCTCTTGATCGGCGTTAAAGTTCATTAAACAGAAAATAACAAAAAAAATCCATGAACAAAATTTCTGTGAGGAAGCTTCTACAGGCAGTAAACTCTTCAGACGTCTGGTTCCTATCACCACCACTGTGAACAGTTCTGACTCGGTAAGTTTCTCTAGGACGGAGCGTTTCACACCAAACCGCTCTGAATGACTTTGTGTACATCATAACCGTTTAACGTTTTGAAAATTCGGTGGAGTTCCCCTTTAGGGACAGCTCGTTTTCTTCCGTTGCGTCTCGGTCTCCCCCTGGCTGTTACGCTCTTATCCTGCCGCTGGGTGTCGGTGGCGAGCTAACGGCGATTCACGCTAAAATTCAAAGAATAAGAGAGTCGACAGTCGGACAGTTAGCAGTTAGCACGCTACGCTAACGACAGCGCATCGTTGAAGCGATAAACAGTAAAATATTGAATTTTCAGGATGAAAGACGCGGTCGGGTTTCCTCAAACTGCAGCAGAGCAGCAGCGCCACGCCAGAAATGGCAGCAGAATGGCACAAACTGGAGGATTGTTACAACAGAAAGTAAGAATAAAGCGGCGAGGCTGAGTCACTTAGCAGCGGAGCTAACAGGGAGAAACAGTAATAACAAAGATATAATACCATAATAACGCGGCGTTAACACAGCCTGGAGGGTTGTTAATGCAGGAGCAAAGCATTTAATACAGTAGGGAATGATTCCGTATAGTAATAACACGGATTTAATGTCCTTTTTAATGTCCTTTTTAAAGCTTTTGATAAAAAAAAAAATACGTTAAAGTATGAGTTTAGTTAAGTCTCTAGCTTATTAATAAAAGCATTTACTTCAAATGTATCTACTGTTTGCCAACATCTGCTCATTACGACCCAGACAGAACACTCCATAATTCAGTGTGTGAGGTGTAATCAGAGAGATTCAGAGAGGTTTGGTGTAAAATGGTTCAGATGTCTTTACAGTGGTGGTGATAGGAACCAGGGGTCGCCATGACTACAACACAAATATGGACATTTTATTTACTATCCAGAACCACCAGTCAACCTACACGAGTTTATATGGAATGTTGATGATGGAAAATAGTGGAAAATCTGAAATAAGTTTTCTTTGGGGACTATTTTGTCTCATAACGCCCTGCATATTATGTATCCCTCCACCATGAATGGAGTTTAAGGCCAAAATCTTCTCAAAACTATCATAAAACAATGTCTGCGTCCAAACCGCATTCTACTGTACTATATAGTATGTCAAAAACAGTACAGCACCAACAGATGTCCATCCATTAGTATAGCATGTGTAGTATAGTAGTATGTGGTTTTGGGCTTAGCTAATGTCTCAGACATCAGGCAGTGAATTCATAACCATTTACTGTAGTAACTTTCTGTGAGGGAGCTTTTAGAGGTGGACGTCTGGTTCCTATCACCACCACTGTGAACAATTCTGACTCAGTAAGTTTATCTAGGATGGTTTTTTGGTTTCATTCCAAACCACTCTGACTCTGTTTACATCTTAACCATTTAATTATGCAGGAACTTTTCCCCCTTTTAGCCCAGAGTGAGAATAGGAAGGTTCTTTAGGTTTATGCCCCTCGTACAGGCGTTACTTTTTTTTTGTGAGAGATAAGATGGGTTAGGGTTAAGATAACTGATCTGGATACAGAGATTTTAGTGAATGTAGTAGCTCTGTATGAAATGTGTTTATATTCATCATATTTTGCCAAAACACATAATGCTTAAAAGCAAAACACATCACAGACATCCAGTAAATGTTATAGTGACACATATAAACTCCTTCTTCACTGTATTAAATAGGACTTTGACAATACTTTGTGAAATCATGATATCACAATGCAAAACTGCATCAACAGTATTTGCAAACGATCAGCACCAGTCTTCACCTCACTCCACCACTCATCCTTCCTCCCAGCTGTAGTGTCATTACTAAGCTGTGCAGCAACATGATTATAGTAACAAATTTTTTCCTTTGCTCAAATTTTGTTCAAAATAATGTGAGAATGCTGAACTGTGGACCCAGTATCGTGAATCGATTCATGGGCTGAGTGTATCGTTGCACCCCTTCTATTATACCCTCCGCTATGTGCTGCTGAACAGCTCAGCCAGCTGTAACTTACAGGTCTGAGATGTTTTGCTTTTGTTTGAAAGGTTGTGGCACCAGCTGACACTGAAGCTGACAGATTTCGTGCAAGACCCCTATTTCTCCAAAGGTGACGCCCTCATCCAGGTAATGCATCCGTAAATCAAAAAATAAAACTGCGAGTAACAAAACCATGAGCACTTTAGCACTAAGACACGTTAACAGCATGCTTATTTTTCTCTGTTGTTGTTTTACAGCTTTATGAAAACTTCATCAGTGATTTTGAACACAGGTGAGTTTGTGTGTCAGACTTGCTTAGTTTCTGTTTGAGAAAATGATGATCTTAGCAAAATGGTTGTGATAGTAATTTTGTACTGAATTCAAATCTGTTTTTAGATTTTTTTCTATCCTTTAGGGATTTTATGTGATACATTTGAATATTGCAAGAAAACAAACTTTAACATTAAAATAGAAAACATGATTACATTATATCCTAAATGTTCTAGAGCTCTTCCTAGAGCTCTTAGAGTTTTTCCAAGCTGGAAATGACCCGATAAAACTGCTCGCGGTGCTCGTCACCGACAGCGCTGAGATTCAGAGGAAAGCAATTCAAACAAGAGTCCAAAAAGATTTTATTGTTAATGACGCTCCACAGCTCTGTACAATGTCAGCAGGTCACTCAATATTTCATGGTAGTTTTCTGCTTTATGATTTACCAAAAACTTATTTTCCTTCCTCTTCTGTTCCACGTGCTGCCATTTTAGGGCTGAACAATTAATTGTTTTAATATCAAAATCAGAATTTGAAAGAGTGCAATTATCAAATTGCAAGAGCTGCAATTGTATTTATATCTTACCTAATTCAACATTGTTTACTAAGTTTTAAGTTGGGGAAATTTAACCTGATAACACAGTTCAGGAACTGGGAGTCTGGCCCACTACACAGCCTGAAAAAAAAAGAATGTGCTGATCTTGGTAAAAAAGGAAAAGAGCTTAATTTGTAATAAGAAAATGTGTATCAATCAAAATAATCACATTTAAATCCCAATATGTTCTCATATGGGCTGCTTTTGTGAATAACTTGTTCATTTATATATTGTTTTTTGTTGAAAAATTACTTTTTGTATTAATGTGGATTAATCTTTAGAAAATAATTGCATTTAAATTGCAATCATAGTATTAGCCAGAAAAAAATGTGATCGATTAGATATTTGATTAGATATTTTTCCTAAATCTTTCAGCCCTACACCTTATCTTTTTTTTTCTCCACGCCTATTTTAACTGATTGCATATTTGAATTCAGCGTATAGTATTTATAATGTTATGTGACAGTGTTTACCACCGTAATTATCGTCAGTAGTTTAAAGCCTGTCCTCTCTCGAGTGCCTTTGTTCTCTTTTTCATTTTCAGAATCAATCCGTTGTCGTTAGTAGAAATAATCCTCCACGTTGTCAGACGAATGCCAGGTAAAATACTTCACATTACAATACTTTACACGTTCTGTCGCATTATTGTGTGGAATACTAACCTTGTTGACTTTCAACAGACCCAAACACTGCCATAACTTTTCTTGAGAAAACGAAAGAGAAGGTATGTCAGCCTTACAGGCTGATATGTTTGTCTTCTTTACTTCTTCCTTCCTTTTCTCTGTAGTTGATGTAAGGAGGTGGTATAATTTGAATTTTCTGTTTTGTGGTTTCCTCAAATAAGGTGAAAGTGAGTGATGAAGCGGTTATTCTCTGTAAAACGGTCATCGGCAGCCTCAAACTGGACATCAATGATTTACCTGCTACTAAGGTGAGTCACACAGGACTGGGTTACTTTAGGGGTGGGTGATGCGATGTCTTATCATTATGGTGATCAATTGTATCTCCAAACTCTTTTGAGGGTCATTCTACAGAAGCGTCCATTTTTGTGTCCCTAGCGTTTACAGATATATTACACTTAAAAAAACGTGTTACTTAATTTAGCAATATTGGATTTATTATCAATTATCTAGAATTCCAAGTACCTCAGAAGAGCTCGTCCCCACAGTCATGTGTGAAGGCTGAGGCCATATTTTGAAGAAAAAACATGTTTTTCTGCAATTTTAACTGCAATAATCTATACATGACTATGGAATATATGATTTTAATGATATAAAGAAAACAAATGCCAAATAAATATTAGAGGAAAGAAGAAAGAAATTCATACACAAACTTTATGAACTCACTGTGTGCTGAAGTACCTCTGCACATCCCTTATTTAGACTACGATGTTATGTTTTTTGCCATATCATCCCTCTTAGGTTATCTGCTGTTTTTTGCTGTTGTTTATTGTTTAGAAACTGATCGAGGAAGTGGAGGAGATGCTGAACAACCTGCCGGGCGTGACGTCTGTACACGGGCGATTCTACGACCTCTCCAGCAAATATTACCGCATTATTGGAAACCATGCGCTCTACTACAAGGATGCTCTGCGGTACCTGGGCTGCGTGGACGCGAAGGACCTGCCAGGTAATCCTGACCATTGGAGAGACTGTCGCAGTAGGAATAAAGCCAAGCCACGCCCACTTTTCCCCCTTGTAATGTCATTTATCAGCATCTTTGGGCCAAAAGAGATTCAGTATGTGCTTCAGATCCACAAAGAAATCTTCCAAGATGGGCTGCATGATTACAACACAGAAATGTGCAAAGCTAAACAATCCTTTTTCTCCAGTGTTATTTATAATAATATTACAAACAGCAGAAAACTCGCCGAACTAACAAAGTCACCTGCATATATGGCCCCTGAGTTAGTATCACCTGACAAATGTAATGAGTTTGCATGCTTTCTAACACTGAAATGCATAACATCAGACAAGCAATTAATACATCTCTATCCACCAAAGAGTCCATGTCCTCTCCATCACCACAAAGATATCATGGTTAAAATGTCCCAGTTTGGTGCTGTCAGTAATTAAATCGATACAGTGAGTTACCAACCAATTTTTTTGAGAATGTGTTTCACTCAATAACAGCAGGCATACTTCAGATAGTAAACACGTCACTCATGTTGGGCATTTTTCCTAACAAATTAAAAGCTGCAGTTGTGAAGCCTCTCTTTAAAAAGAGAAACTTGGAGCCAACTCCTGAGTAATTACAGGCTGATTTCAAATCAGCCTTTCCTTGGAAAAATTTATTGAGAAATTTCTCTTCAAGGAACTTACTGGCTTTCTGTCCTTAAATAGCCATCTAGACAAATTTCAGTCAGGTTTTTGGCCTAATAATAGTACTTAGACGGTTCTTATTAAGGTTATTAATGACATTTGTTTAAATACAAACTCTGGAAAAAACATATGTTCTGTTACTGCTCAATCTCAGCGCTGCCTTTGATACCATTGACCACAAAATTCTCATAAATAGACTTGAGAACTGGGTTGGGATCTCAGGAACTGTCCTAAAATAGTTCGGTTCACACCTGCAAGGAAGGGACTACTTTGTGGAAATAGAAAATAATGTTATAAATAATATGTCCCCCCAGGGTTCAGTTCTTGGGCCATTTCTTATTTTATACATGTTGCATCTTGGCTAAATCCTACAAGACTACGGGATATCTTCCCACAGCTATGCAGATGATACTCAGATCTACTCGGCCCTCTCCCCAGACAGCTGTGGTTCCCTTGACTCACTCTGTAAGAGCCTTGAGCTCATCACTGACTGGATGGGACAAAACTTTCTGCAGTTGGATGAAGATAAAACAGAGATTATTTTATTCAGGAATAGCAGTGAGAGGCTCAGACTAGCTGCCTATATGGATTCAAGAACCCTAAAATCTAAAGATCCTAGTATGTAACCTTGGTGTACTGATGGACTCTGATCTCAGTTTTAGCTGATACTGATGCTCAAGAAGCATGAAGTGACCAGGTGTAAACAGGAAGTCACCATCTGTACCTTGATGTATTCCCGAGTGGAACTGAGTTAGCTGGCTGATATGACACATGACTGTTTTGTTCAGTTTTGCTCCTGTTGTGATCGTGTTTGTGTTGCTCATCTTCCTGCAGAGGCGGAGCAGCAGGAGAGAGCCTTCACACTGGGATTGGCTGGACTGCTCGGGGAGGGCGTGTACAATTTCGGAGAGCTGGTATGTGATCGGGAAGTAATGTTGTTCATGTTGTTTTAGTGTCTCTGCTGTGATGGGTACAGGTGTGAGTCTTTGAGCAGACAGCAAATCAATAGACGATTCTGTGATTTCTGATAAGATTCAAAAGCGATTTTTGTAAAATAAGAATGATTTAATGCACTAAACACCGATTTGATTCAGTAAATCATCTCTCTACACTTCCAGCTTCTTCAAGAAATATTAAAGTGCATTAAAAGTGTGAAAAATATTAGCTGATCAAAATGATGTGACCACAGACCACGAACACAGGGATGTCCCAGTACTGCTTTTATTTGCCTCTGATTCAGTTTAACGATCACATTGAAAAATGAATGAAGGGCTGCACAGGTAGTAATGAATATGCTGTTATCATAGATATTTGACGACTGTGTTGTTGTTTAAAGTTTGAGACGACTGACTGTTTTTCAGCTGATGCATCCAGTGCTGGAGTCTCTGAGGAACACAGATAAACAGTGGCTGATAGAGACGCTCTACGCCTTTAACTCGGGGAACGTGGAGAAGTTCAGAGCCCTGAAATCCGCCTGGGGGCAGCAGGTGAGGGAGCAGTCTGAGGTCAAGTCCTATTGTAAAGATACATTAAAACTATTACAGAAAATTTGCTGTAATTTCTAGCTGTGTAAAACACTTCATCCTCTGTCTGAAGGTGGTGATTCCACTATATCAATTTTGGAATATTAGAAATGATTGATTATGTTTAATAATATCAACTAAATGAAATATCACAGTATGCACTCACTTTGTAGGCCAAAATAACCTTCTCAAGCATTCAGTAGAAAAAAAACATAAAACTAAAACAAAGGCAGTTTGCTGTATTGTTTTTATTGTTTATTTTCCACAGCTGTGTAGTACATATGACTGGGTGAACTAATGTGTCCAGTGTATTTTTAACAGTAATTCCTACCAAAAAATTAATCAAACACATTGAATTATAATAAAATCCTCAGATTTCTATGCCTAAAAACGTCTGAATGGTTAATGATATTGCTGACAATACTTTTGAGCTGCTGTGTGCGAGAGTTTGGGTGTTCCTGTTCAAATTCCATGCTGTTAATTCTCTAAGCGCAAATAACACGTCCTCTACAGAGACACACTTCTGCTCATTTTAATACACAGTTACTGTTTATTTGCTGAATTTAACAAATTCAGGAAAAATTAACACACAAAATGCATCCTGTGTGTTTTATGTTTTATTTTTCCCCACTGTGTTAAATTCAGTGAATAAACAGTAATCGTGTATTAAAATATGCAGAATTGTGTCTCTGTAGAGGACGTGTTTTCTTATTTAGAGTCAGCAACAACATGGAATTTGATGAGGCATGGTTAAACTTTTGCATACGACTGTAGATCCAAATTTGTAAGCTTACAGTTCCAAAAACCCCTAAAACCTCACCCCCAAATTCGTCTAATCTGCCTCTAACACGCCAAACAAGCTAGCTAATGAAATGCTGCCATTAGATAACAGAACAGTTCTTCTCTGTAAGAGGTGATGTTTATTTCACTGCGTGGGATGTGTTCTTTCTGGGGGTCTTTTTTAGCCGTGCCACATCAATGTGCTAATGGCAGGCTTGTGCATCAGACAGTGTTGTTGAGCGCAACAGCACCCCCTACTGTGTGCTCCATGTTCAGGAGATGTTGGATTGGTTTAGAAATTTCACTCTCTATTTGTTCCCGCCCTAATAAGTCAATGTTCCCCCTCCAAAATCTAACAGGAACGCTCTGCTGGGATGTAGTGATGTGTGAGGCATTTATGGTGTTTATGCTGCTGAATATGTGTTAATAGCTGCGTCTGTGTTCCAGCCTGATCTCGCAGCTCAGGAGCCCAAACTCATGCAGAAGATCCAGCTGCTGTGTGTGATGGAGGTAAGACATTTCCACCTGCAGGACTCAGATAGTTCTGGGTGGCGTGTTGTTTGTATCTGTATTGCTGTATAAGCAACAGAGCCGGAGAGGAAGTGTGTGATGGTGAGTAACATCACGGCAGGGATTTGGGCTTTTGTACAAATGTTAGGCAAAATAAAGAACAAAGTGAAGCAAAGCAGCACTAAACGTTGTATCAGACGTGCTTTAATATCCTTCCGCCAAATAAAGTAGTGACCTTAAGTTTTACAGAGCCATACAACTAAATATCAGGTTGAGCTCAGCTTTTTCAGTGTTTTCCCGATGGAGTGGAATGTGGATTTGTTCCTGTCAGTTTTTAAAGCGATTGCTGAATTGTATTCTCCTCATTTCTGACGATTCAGCCACACCGTGGAGAAAGGAACCGTTAGCTTGATGCTAATATAAGACTGGAAATTACTGTGGAAATTAGCATTGTCATTGTCGTGACAATTTGTTGAGCAGAGACGACTTATAAAGTGAATGTTTTTACTGTAAACAGTGCTACGTCTTGATATGTTCATTATTATGTGACAGACAGTTAAAGTGTTGATGAAGTGACTGCAGTGTACAGTGAACATTGTCCAAAGTCCTCTTTCAGTAGTCTGTGGTTGCTTGGAAACAACAACATAACAGAATGAGCAATGTTTCTAGGCAAAATATTTATCTTGATTTTATATTATTTATTTTATATTATTACTGAATTATTCATTGAAAAATCATGTATTTTATGTTTTATATTGTCAGCCATTTGCTAAAAGCATTAAGTCGTGAGAGGCCGTGTGTTACGTTGATTTTACTGCGAGTAAGGGACGTTATTAGGCACGATGTTAAGCGGAGAGAAAAATGTCTAAATATGATCAGATTTTTGCTAAATAAGCACATCAGAGTGTTTTACACTAGACAGCTTTTTGAAAGAGGCACAGCGCTAGGCAGCCAATTATAAAAGAGCTCATTTAGCTCATTTACATATATCAGTCTTAAAGGCGCAGTAACAAAAATACAACTAAAATATATATGTATAACCAAAATAATGAATTTTGACTGTTTTTGGTAAATAAACTCATACAAATGTTGTAAGCTGATCTCTGTTGGGGGAGAAAATTGTAGGATATGGGAACCTTAAATACAAAATTCACTTGATTTGTGTGGTCAGTTTAGAACTGTTTTACAGTAAATGTTTTCTGATTTCCACTTGTTTTCCTAATTTCTCCAGATGACTTTCACCAGACCAGCGAATCACAGGCAGCTCACATTCCAGGAAATCGCTCAGAGCACCAAGGTCCCGGTGAACGAGGTGCGTTCCACTACCTCTGAGTAAATTAGAGAACGTGGCTCGTTTGAATCAGTTTTAGTTTTGTGGGCTGAGTCTCTTCGTCTCTTGTCGACATTACAGGCATTTGTTTGTGTTTGTTGGCTTAGAAAAAGCTTAGCAAACCCTTAGAAATCACGATTATTGCCAGAAATAACTATAAATAATAGAATATATATACAATATAAATAGAAAAAAATATATAAATTGTTTCTAACTTGCATTTCATTGAAACTAGTGGAGCAATTGTGTTAAAGGGGAAATTCAGAACTTGAATCAATACCACATTTGTGTTTGTAAGTAGAAGAGGTCCTGTTTCAAAAGGTATTGTTTTGTTTACAGTTTTGTCAATTTTTCTAACATTAAAACAAAACAAAAAAGTCAGAAGGGCACACTTAAACCTGTCTATGCAGAATGTAATTGGTTATAATAATGATTCTATTTACATGAGAAGGTGGGTGATGTGATTTTTTTTTTTTCCTGTGTTTCCCGGTGATTTTAGTCCTGTCCGAATGGGCCATGTCAGTCGACTTCTCAGCGCTCCTGCATCAGTAAAGATTCTGCCGCCTTTTATTTTCCGTAAAATGAGCCACAAAAATAGCCGCAGGTTATATTAATCCCGTGCGAATCTCCTTGTCAGTGAAACACTCATATTCAGTGGAAAAGGAGTGTCTTAAGAATGGAGGCGTTTACTTGTGTTCTCTGTGGCTAAAATCAAGCTGTAACATCACAATCTAACATGTACAAACTAGAACTCTTAAAAATTACAGGAAAAAGTTTGCTATTATGCGGTGAAGTTGACTGTTTGCTGTGAATACCCAAGCTAACACACACACTAACACTCAACAGACTCAGGACCAGAAACCTCAGCGTACTTCTTGCGAAACGAAATTCTCGAGGGTTGCGTGAAGCCGAAAGCATCTTCTTAGGCTTACAAGCTCGCATACTCTCTGCGGGTTCGTTTTGCCTGACGCGGACGCTCCGCTAATGCGGGTGATGCTATGACATTTTGCTATGAAAAGTTTCGTGACTGCTGGAAAACGATTCTTTTATTAGTTCTAACAGTGGCGACGCGTGAGTCCAGAATGCTGCCGCTATTCCAGGTGAAACCGGAAAATTCAAATAAGAAGCCTCGTCCTTGTATGAGCCTAAATATAAGAAGCTATATGTTTTGATGCTTAATACTAGTTAATACTACCGAATAGTAGACGTAATATCTTACATTTAGGAAATACTCATTGTTTATTTAACAAATGCGCGTTTAACAGTTAAATATTGCTCAGCATGCGTTTGTAGAAACGAAGGTCCTCATAGACTTCAATATTTTTTCATGGCAGGCCCTAATGGTGATGCTAAAGGCACAGTGCATTCGCTTAAGATAAGCCAGATGTTTAGGGTCAGTGCATCTTTTTTATGTCTTTTTTACTCTTTCCTGGAGTGAAGGCGGTGTGTAAGTGTGAGTAGCTCCTCCCGTCTCTGTCATTTAGACCAAGAGTTCTTATCCTGTGCGAATTGGCCATAAATGTTAGACGTTCTGTGGTAAACTGGTATTGTACCACCTCCCAGTGTAAAACTAATCCCGTCTGAAAAGGGCTTAATAACTACAGACTTGTAAGAGTTGAGTTTCTCTGTAGACACAAAAACTGTAGCTCCTCTCCTGTTTTGCTGAGTGTGTTTTTCTCTCTCAGGTGGAGCTCCTGGTGATGAAGGCTCTGTCCGTCGGCCTCATTAAAGGCAGTATTGATGAGGTGGATCAGAAGGTGCACATGACGTGGGTGCAGCCGCGGGTGCTGGACCTGCCACAGGTAACGCAAACTCCTCCCACTTACACCTGCACTGATCTCAGTGTCACTACAGTAAGATGGAGGGTTTAACGGCATTCATTCTAAAAACGAGATGAAGGCTGGGTTTACACAGTGAGATTGTCATGCAACATTAGTTGCTTGAAACCTACATGAAACTGCACTAGAGTTGCATAATGTAAAGCGTCCTGGAACTCATATAAAACTCAGCTGCAAGAGTGTCAACTTCATGAAACGGCCAATCATAACATGATCATGTTGGACAACATACTTTAAAATGACAGATTTTGTGGGATTAATGGACAATGAAATAAAATGGAAGATGGTTTATTGGGTGGATGAAAGGACCACCCCCCCCACCCCACCCCCCTTGACTCAAGGGAGCTAGATAGGTAGGTTTTCTGTTTCCTGGCTCTCTGAGCCATGACAACAAACAGCCGCGCTAATGATCATCTCGGTTTGAGCTGCTTTTGAAGATCCTGATCCCTCTGACGTTTGTGAAAAAGTTCTGTTTGCTGGAACAAAGCGCTCCGTCATCTTGGTTGTTGTCATGCCAACAGCAGTGGCGGTCATGAGCGGTCAGTGAGTTTTTGTCGCTGGCGAAAGATCACAAAAATTAAACAGAGGGTGAATAAAATTTCAAATTTTCACCGCCTGAAAAATGTGCAAGATTTCATCAGTTATACACACACTCATATTAATTTACTGTCGTCCAAATACATTGCATTCAGTGTGTAAAGGCTTTAACTGGCAAGTTGCATAGAAATTACAACATGCAACTAGTTGCATGAAAGTTTGAGCGTGTAAAGCCTCAGACTAGGGTTAGGTACCAACATAAACACTGTAAAAGCAGCAATTTGGTACCTTTAAGACTGATACACAATAGCTGTTTTTCTATTTTATCTACTGTTTTCCCCTAAAAATGTGTTTCTGAATGCTGTAGTGAGTTTTATTTGATTTGTAACGTGATCTAACAAAGCCAAACGTGTAGGTTTTGTCACAAACTACCTTTTTAAACACTGAAAGTTATGACAGTATCAGTCTCACATCAGTCACACTGTCATTCGCTGCTGTCAAAACAAAACCTCGAATATCATTTTTCAGTTTTTGACAGAATTTGAAAGTACCTGTTGGCTTTTATTTTGTGTATAAATTTCATGATGAACGGTCCAAAAGAAACGATCCAGAATGACTTGGAAAAAACTCTGGTTCCATTGACTTGCGTTAAAAATGAAGTATGTTTTTTCCTTCTCCTGTAAAGTTACCAATTTGGAGATACGAGGTTTTACTCACACAGCAGTGCATTGCTGATCATCGGAGTTACTGAGGCAGGATCCAGTTAAAAGAAGAGCAGATCTGCTCTCAGGCGCTCAGCTGTGCAGAGGCTGGGCTCCAGTTGGGCGTATTAACCTGATCTGCTGACCGCAGCTCGTCCTCTCTGCTGAATTTGAGTGTTTAGTGCAGCAGGCGGTTTGATGGGAGTTCTTGTTGTGCCTGTGTGCAGATCAAGGGCATGAAGGAGCGTCTGGACTTCTGGTGTGGAGACGTGAAGAGCATGGCGATCCTGGTGGAGCAGCAGGCGCAGGACATCCTCACATAACCACGCACGGCCCAACACACAGACCCGTCAGAACCTGTTCTTTACCTGTGATATGTTAGTGCATGACTTTACATACTTCATTAAAGAGACTTTCTCAGAGCTTCTGTGTTTTTCTTAGCAGTTAATTGTTAGGTGATTGTGTGGGGAAGAGTCAGACTGATGTTTAGCAAAATTAGCTATTAATATTATTTCTAATACAGATAAATAAGTAAATAATATTATTGTCATTATTGCTGTATAGAAATATCCATCTATGCAGTATTTAAAGCAGTAGTTTGACCAACGAAGTCATTTCCTGATTTTATCCCACAAGTTTTCCATCAGCCAAGTCAATTTTTATGTCTGAAGTTTGATGTCTTTAGTTTTAGCTCTAGAGCTACAAGTCTACTGTAGCTAACAATAGAAGCTTATACTTGTTAGCCACTTAGCATGGTGCTAACTGCATTAAATCATCACACATTTGCTTCAGAGTTGTTCAGAAGTCTCACAGCTTTTCATAGATATTTCCCTAACGTGCCAAATCAGAACAAACTTGCATTGCAACTATTTAATGTTCTTTCTGTATAAAGAAATCTAATTGGTTCATATATTGTAGAGAGGACGGGGACTACAGTTCTGCCTTTTTATGTCACTAGCATTCTCATTTGTTGGAATTTAAGATCCTGTTTTAATTTCAAGTCCTCATTATCTGCCTCCAGCAGTGTCGGGATAATTACTGAAAAAATAATCCGTTGCTTATGATTAATTACGTCTCTCAAAATAAAATGGGATTCATTTATACTCATGAAAAAAAAGTAATCTACTCACCATTTCTAAATTAATAAATCCACATAAACACATCTGTACCAACTGGGAACTGAGAGAAAAACTCATTTCAGTGTTTTATTAGAAATAAACAAGTTCACTGTAAACACCATTAACCTTTCCACGCCAGCGGACAGGACAGTCATACCTGATGAACAGCTGATGGTATTTAAAAAAACTAGCCAGAAGAGACTCAGAAGAGCTGCCTCAATATATATTTTGCTGTCATCCAGCTCAAAATACACCTTTACCAGACACCTGAACACAGCCAGGAGCGGTAAAAAGGTGTGATCTGGGTTACAGCAAAATTAGAGCAAAAGATTTGGAGCGGTTTGGGGTCCCTGAGGACTGGTTTAAGAACTGGGTCTATGTTCTGACTGACTGTGGTCCAAATTAGTGTTTAAAGCAGTCGAACAGTGAACACACTTAGAGTCTTACATACTCAGACCAACCACTTCAGTAACACCACCTCCCTGTTTCTACACTCACTGTCCACTGTATCAGCTCTGCTGACCATATACACCGATCAGGCATAACATTATGACCACCTCCTTGTTTCTGTGCTCATTGTCCATTTTATCAGCTCCACTTACTATATAGGTGCACTTTGTAGTTCTATAGTTACAGACTGTAGTCCATCTGTTTCTCTGATACTTTGTTAGCCCCCTTTTACCCTGTTCTTCAGTGGTCAGGACCCCCATGGACCCTCACAGAGCAGGTACTATTTGGGTGGTGGATCATTCTCAGCACTGCAGGAACACTGACGTGGTGGTGGTGTGTTAGTGTGTGTTGTGCTGATACGAGTGGATCAGACACAGCACTGCTGCTGGACTTTTTAAACACAGTGTCCACTCACTGTCCACTCTATTAGACACTCCTACCTTGTCAGTCCACCTTGTAGATGTAAAGTCAGAGACGATAGCTCATCTGCTGCTGCACAGTTTGTGTTGGTCATCTTCTAGTCCTTCATCAGTGGTCACAGGACGCTGCCCACAGGACGCTGTTTTTAGTTGGTGGACTATTTTCCGTCCAGCAGTGACACTGAGGTGTTTAAAAACTCCAGCAGCACTGCTGTGTCTGATCCACTCAGACCAGCGCAACACACACTAACACACCACCACCACGTCAGTGTTACTGCAGTACTGAGAATGACCCACCACCCAAATAGTACCTGTTCCGTGAGGGTCCATGGGGGTCCTGACCACTGAAGAACAGGGTAACAAAGTATGCAGAGAAACAGATGGACTACAGTCTGTATTTGTCGAACTATGCGGTCAGTGGAGCTGATAAAGTGGACAGTGAGTGTAGAAACAAGGAGATGGTTTTAATGAAGTGGCTGTCGTCTGCTACTGTTAACATGCCTGAAATTAGATTGCACACCAAAACAGTCACACTTATAACAGGAGTTTTACTTTTAGGGAAGGACCAAGTTTGTTTTAAGGACCTTCTCTGGTCCACTATTTAAAGAGCCAATATCATGGAAAAAAAAACAGTTTTCGCTGCTTTTTGGAACAAAACATTTTGATGTAGCATGTAAACATTAAAATGAAATTCTCGAGTCCATACAGTCTAGATGAGCTGCAAAAACAGCCCGTTTTAAATTGTTTTCATGACTTGAAACACCAACACATTTGCATACATCATCCTATTTTTTCTGCCAGCGTTGAGCCCCGCCCACTCACTCTGAAGATACACTATATTGCCAAAAGTATTCGCTCGTCTGCCTTCACACGCATATGAACTTGAGTGACGTCCCATTCTTAATCCATGGGGTTTAATATGATGTCGGCCCACCCTTTGCAGCTATAACAGCTTCAACTCTTCTGGGAAGGCTTTCCACAAGGTTTAGGAGTGTTTATGGGAATTTTTGACCTTCTTCCAGAAGCGCATTTGTGAGGTCAGACACTGATGTTGGACGAGAAGGCCTGGCTCGCAGTCTCCGCTCTAATTCATCCCATAGGTGTTCTGTCGGGTTGAGGTCAGGACTCTGTGCAGGCCAGTCATGTTCTTCCACACCAAACTCGCTCATCCATGTCTTTATGGACCTTGCTTTGTGCACTGGTGGCAGTCCTGTTGGAACAGGAAGGGGCCGTCCCCAAACTGTTCCCACAAAGTTGGGAGCATGAAATTGTCCAAAATCTCTTGGTGCTGAAGCATTAAGAGTTCCTTTCACTGAACTAAGGGGCCGAGCCCAACTCCTGAAAAACACCCCACACCATAATCCCCCCTCCACCAAACTTTACACTCGGCACAATGCAGTCAGACAAGTACCGTCTCCTGGCAACCGCCAAACCCAGACTCGTCCATCAGATTGGCAGATGGAGAAGCGTGATTGGTCACTCCAGAGAACACGTCTCCACTGCTCTAGAGTCCAGTGGCGGCGCTTTACACCACTGCATTCGACGCTTTGCATTGCGCTTGGTGATGTAGGCTTTGGATGCAGCTGCTCGGCCATGGAAACCCATTCCATGAAGCTCTCTACGCTGTTCTTGAGCTGATCTGAAGGCCATATGAAGTTTGGAGGTCTGCAGAAAGTTGGTGACCTCTGCGCACTATGCGCCTCAGCATCCGCTGACCCCGCTCTGTCATTTTACGTGGCCGACCACTTCGTGGCTGAGTTGCTGTCGTTCCCAATCGCTTCCACTTTGTTATAATACCACTGACAGTTGACTGTGGAATATTTAGTAGTGAGGAAATTTCATGACTGGACTTGTTGCACAGGTGGCATCCTATCACGGTACCACACTGGAGTTCGCTGAGCTCCTAAGAGCGAACCATTCTTTCACTAATGTCTGTAGAAGCAGTCTGCAGGCCTAGGGGCTCGGTTTTATACACCTGTGGCCATGGAAGTGATTGGAACACCTGAATTCAATGATTTGGATGGGTGAGTGAATACTTTTGGCAGTATAGTGTATGAGGAGTGTTTTGGCCTGCGCTGCTTTTTAAAGTGTAAAAATGAGTTGTGATTTTTAGGTACATGATCACACAGACATTTTAAGTGAAGCTCAGAGGGGAAACAAAATGCAAGACAGTGTAGGATAAGGGCTCTTTAAGCTCTTACAGGGTTAAAAGCTTTATTATCCTCTACAGCGTCTTTCTCTGACCCTAAAACTGAATCATAGCAACGTCCCACACAGCTGCACTGCGTTGCTATGGAGAGCAGCGTAATCTCCCTGTTTATCTGCTGGGAGAAGCGTGAAGAACAGCATTCGCCCAAAAACAAGCTGCTCCAGTCTGAACACATCCACTGCAGGCTTTACGTGCAGTCTTAGACAGGAAAGATGGTTCTCCAAGGGTTCTTTAGTAAAGAAAATGGTTCTATGTAGAACCATTAACACTCAAAGAACCACTTGCATGATTAAGATACATAGATAGACAGCTAATAGATAGATGAACAGACAGACAGACAGATAGATAAAGAGACAGATAATAGACAGAGATAGATAGACAGATCTATATAGAACCTTTTTGAAAAGGGTTCTATATAGCACCAAAAAGGATTTTTTCTGTTACGATGTCAAGCTTGTATACAATAGGAGAACCCTTTTTGATGCTAATTATTAGTTTTTAGCAAATATCTGCTGTTTTCTAAATTTCTATATATTATGATATAGTTGTATTCCTAACTATTACACTATAGTAGCAATATTACGTCATTCATATTGATTCCTGTTCTCTTATTGATCCCTGTGAAGTGTAAAGTGTATTTACAGTTGTGGTTTCTGAACACAGGACGAGGCGTTTGTTTCTGTAGTTTAGTAAATTAAATCATTTATTAATCAGAGATTAACAGGCTGTTTGGAGAGGAATGCAGACGACAGGACGGTCAGCACGAGCGGTCACTCAGGGACGTTTCTTGTAGTTCTCCAGATTTGCCAGGATCCACCCGGACGGGACCAGGATGGTCACAAACATCACAACCATCGCAAAGGCCTGCTCCTGCAGTGGACAGACACAGGGAGGCGCTAATGAGCTCCGTATACAAGTTATATTGAGGAATGACAATAAACACCACTAGACATTTACTCAGTTCCATATGCTCAATAAAAAATAGTTCATACTGAATAAATTATAATAGATACTGAATAATTCATACTAGATATTGAATAATTCATAGTAGATTCTGAAAAATTCATAGTAATGAATGAATAATTCATAGCAGATACTGAATAATTTGTAGCAGATACTGGACAATTCATACTAGATGCTGAATAATAATAGTAATGATGGAATAATTTATAGTAGATGCTGAATAATTCATAGTAATGATTGAACAATTCATAGTAGATATTGAGA